TCTATGCTTGTATTGCGGTGAAGAAGGCCACAAAGTTGGAAACTGCCCCAAGAAGCAAAATCGACGTATTATCAAGACCAGGGGTGTGTTTATTCAAGAAAACGAAGATGCCCAGCCACAATAGGAACCGTGCGGCTGGACATTGAAATATCGCAACAACAACCAGGTTCCTTTCTTTCCACTCAACCTACCCTTTGTTTTACAATCCCTTTGCTTATTGGCCCTCAAAAACTGAGAACCTTAGCATTATTAGATTCAGGAGCATCTGCTTGTTTCTTAGACGAAGAATTCTTAAGGCGTCATAAGATCCCTTTAGTACAAAAATCCAAACATGTTCACGTTGAGGTCATAGATGGACGACCTTTATTGTCTGGTAGTGTCACCCATGAATCAAAACCTATAGAAGTGACGTTTAAGGACCATAGTAGTCATATTATTTTCAATATTATTAGAACCCCATCAAATCCTGTTATTCTTGGTCTTTCCTGGTTGGAAAAGCATAACCCATCCATAGATTGGAAGTTGCGGAAGATGACCTTTCCCACAAACCCATCCAAGAGCAAGCCTAGTAGAAAACCCCGAATAGAGAAATCCTTATTTATTGGAGCAAGAACGTTTATAAGATTGTCCAAGGGAGGCACACCGTTTGTCATTTATGCGGCTTCAACTACCGGGGAGAAGATCTCGACAGCAAGTATACCGGAGCAATATAAGGATTTTAAAGACGTGTTTCAAAAGAAAAATGCCGACATGCTACCGAAACACAGACCATATGATTGCGCCATAGACTTACAGGAAGGAGCACAACCGCCTTTTGGCCCAATCTACAATCTATCGCAGATGGAGTTGGCGGAGTTGCGGAAGTACATCAACGAGAATCTAACCAAGAACTTCATGCGTCATTCAAAATCATCAACTGGAGCACCCATCTTATTTGTGAAGAAGAAAGATGGCTCGTTGTGGATGTGCATGGACTATCGAGGCCTCAACAAGGTAACAAAGAAGAATCTTTATCCGTTACTCTTGATTTCTGGTCTCTTAGAACAACTTGGACGTGCAAGGATCTTTACAAAAATTGATCTAAAGGGAGCTTACAACCTCGTACGAATCAAGCAAGGAGATGAGTGGAAGACAGCATTCCGTATAAGGTATGGCCATTTTGAATATAATGTCATGCCCTTTGGTCTTACCAATGCTCCAGCGATCTTTCACATATGATGAATGACATTTTTCGAGAGTACCTTGACGATTTTGTTGTCATCTATTTGGATGATATTTTGATATTCTCCAAAAATGAAGAAGAGCATAAAAAACACGTTCGTTTGATATTGGAGAAAGTATGCGAGCGAGGACTATATGCCAAGTTAGAGAAGTGTTTATTTCACCAAATAGAGATAGAGTTTCTGGGGTTCATTGCGACTACGAAAGGCTTGAAGATGGACCCCAAGAAGGTGGAAGCAATTGTGTCTTGGGAGGTTCCGAAGACAGTTAGAGACGTATAATGCTTTCTTGATTTTGCCAACTTCCATCAGATCTTTATCAAGAATTACTCTCAAGTTGCTGCTCCTCTCACTCGGTTGACATGCAAGGATAAGCTGGAATGGGGACCTCTAGCAGAGAAGGCGTTTCAAAACCTGAAGACTGCATTTACTACGGCTCCAATCTTGGTACATTCAGACTTTACAAAGGCCTTCTATTTAGAAACTGATGCTTCGGATTTTGCTTTGGGAGCTGTACTTTCACAAATGGGAGAAGATAAGAAGTTCCATCTGGTTGCATTCTATTCTCGAAAGTTCTCTACTATTGAAATCAATTATGAGATCCACGATAAGGAACTTCTTGCTATAGTGGATTCTTTCCAAGAATGGCGTCACTTTCTTGAAGGAGCTGCACATCCAGTGACCGTATACAGAGATCACAAGAATTTGGAGTATTTCATGTCGGCTCGAGTTCTAAATCGACGTCAAGCTCGATGGAGTATGTTGCTATCTAGGTTCAATTTTATTATCACTTATTGACCTGGAAAGCAGCAAGGACTATCTGATGCCTTATCGAGGAGATCGTATCTTGTACCAAAGGCTGGAGAAGCAGCGTTTGATCAACAATATACGACATTGTTGAAGCCAGAGCAATTTCAGCTTTGCACTACTATTATGCCAATTGATGCTGACTTCCTGAATCAGGTACGTGCCGTAACCATTGAAGATTCAGTAGCCATTGATATTAAGCATCATGCCAATGACGACAAGTTCAAGGTGGAGGGAGATCTTTTGTACTTTGAAGAGCGGTTATATATCCCAAAAGGACCAGCACGACTCCGAGTTCTTCAATCTCGCCACGATTTTCCAACTGCGGGACATTTTGGATTCAACAAGACCTTGGAGCTTATTTCTCGAGATTTTTGGTGGCCCCAAATGTGGAAGGATGTGAAAGATTTTGTCCTCTCCTGCGACATCTGTTCAAGATCCAAGAATCCTCGGCATCGCCCTTATGGACTCATATAGCCATTGTCGATTCCACGTCGACCATGGTCTTCAATTTCCATGGACTTCATCACGGACCTGCTATCATCGAACTCATTTGACAGCATCTTTGTCATGGTAGATCGGCTTACAAAAATGGCACACTTTGTCCCTTGCAAGAAGACATTGTCCAGTGAAGTCACAGCAAGGCTCTTTCTTGATAATGTGTATCGATATCATGGACTACCAGATGATATCGTATCAGATCGAGGAACCCAGTTCGTATCAAAGTTTTGGAGATCTCTCTTTGAGATACTGAAGGTGGATATCAAGCTTTCTTCGGCTTTTCATCCTCAAACTGACGGTCAAACGGAACGGGTGAACCAAGTCTTAGAACAATACTTACGATGCAACATCAACTATCAGCAAGACGATTGGACCACATATCTATCGCTAGCCGAGTTTGCATATAACAAGACCCTCCATGCGTCGACTCAATACACACCATTCTTTTTCAACTATGGATATCATCCAAAGCTTGATTTATTGAGTCCATCAACAAATAACAATCCAGCAGTTGAAGGATTTGCGAAACAACTATCAGAGCTTCAAAATACGTTGAAGCTTCAATTACAATCCGCTCAAGAATCCTACAAGGCGTCTGCAGATAGATTTCGGAATCAAGCACCTACTTTCAAAATTGGAGATAAAGCATGGCTTCTTTGACGGAATATCAAGACCAAGCGACCATGTGATAAGTTGGACTATCGAAGATTGGGACCATTTATCATCCAAAAGCAAATCAATCCAGTGGCGTACCGTCTGGAATTACCAGCTTCTATGAAGGTACATCCAGTCTTTCATGTTTCTTTGTTGGAGCCTTATCGAGAGACATCTTTTCTTGGAAGAGTGCAATGTCCGCCACCTAGTATTGAGATCGAGAACCACGAGGAATATGAGGTTGAAAAGGTGTTGGATTCTCGGCAAAGGTGGGGCAAGTTGGAGTATCTTGTTCATTGGTGCGGCTACAACATTAATGAGCGAACGTGGGAGCCAGCTGAAAATCTCACCAATGCGCCACAAAAGGTACAGGAGTTTCATCAACAACATCCTCATAAACCTAAGCCGGTTCGACAATAGCTTCTTTCTGAAGCTTGGTCACCCAAGAATATAAGAAAGGAAGAGAGCACCACCAAAATTCGTAGTTGATGTAGTTATTTTCTCCAAGATAAAATAGAATTTTTTCAGTAGCCATAGTTTAGTCTTCTGATATGGATAGCCAAGAGATAGATACTATGTCAGTCAGATTATCTCAACCAACTAGTTCACGAAGGCGACCCCGAGATGAAGAACCACCTGCACCACGACGATGATGGAGGATACCAAGTAACCGATCACTGGTGATTGTATTTGAGTCCGAGCCTGCTTACGATGGTCAACCAGAAGGCATATTTGCAAGACAATTTCACAATGAAGACACGGAAGTTCATCCTTGGTCAGAAGTTGAAGGAGTGGGCCACTATCGTTGGCTTCAAGGGCCGATGAATCACTTACCTCGTGAACAACAATTGGAGTTCATAGCAGACGTTATGCGACAGATCTTCATTTTCTTGCGTTGGTACTGATTGACAACAACATTACTTCTCAGAGACCTCGAAGCTAAAGGAGGGGGTGATGTTAGGGACATAGTCCTTAGAACCTTCTAGAGACAAGTTTCTAGAACCTTCTAGAGACAAGCTTCTAGAACCTTCTAGAGACAAGCTTCTAGAACCTTCTAGAAGCAAGTCTCTGGAACCTTCTAGAAGCTTCTTAGTTGGTAGAAGATGTTCGGGACATAGTCCTTAGAACCTTCTAGAGATAAGTTTCTAGAACCTTCTAGAAGCAAGTCTCTGGAATCTTCTAGAAGCTTCCTAGTTGGTAGAAGTTGCTTGAGAAGCTTCCCAAATAAGAGTATATATTGGAATCGAGGCTGAAGAGTTCTTTAGTCTTGATAACACATTTCTTGGAGTTTTAGCTCACCTCTCTAGTGTTGTTCTTGTATTCATCTGATTAATCTAGTTCTTGCCAATTCTTCTTGAACTTCTTGGTAGATATCAAGTCTGTATTCTGTGTCCGTGACATGCACAAACACACACAAACTACCCTCAAATGAAGCATTCTTCAAACATTTTTCTCCTATTTCATCCACCTTCTTTGACACCCGTGTATTTGTGACCAACACTCGAAGTGGGTGGACTAACCAAACCACACTTTTAAATTAACAAGAGATCATGAAATACGAAAAACTAACATGCGTGAGAAGGGACGGACTTAGATGTTTATTTGGTATTAGGTCCACATGGTATTGGACCTTTGTTGGTCTTAGGTCTAGCATCGGTCTTAGATCGGTTGACAACAACCCTGACGCCGCGAAGGATGCAATCCCGCGGTGAAGGAGACGTCGACGGTTCCGGGTGGAACGGGCACCGGATCCTGAAGCTCCGGGCAAGGAGAGATGGCGGCAGCGAGATCCCTCCCAGCGAGTCACAAGATGGCCGATGTCGATTGCGGCGACGAGGATTTGCAGGGCGCAGATCCCTCCCCAGGATCTGTCTGACTGCTCCTCCGTTTCTTATCCCTCCTGCTCGCGCTTTGCCTCCCTCCGGATTGTGGTCCTGCTTCTTCTTTGCAGTTGACCATGCGCCTCTTATCTGCTCTGAATTTCACTGCAGCGACGGAGACCGCCATTTGGTCCAGCCCCGAGGATGCGGCTGCTGCACCGCGCGCGCGGGAGCATAATCGCCGTCCACCCCTGCTGCTGCCCCTTTTGAGTGTCTCGGACCTGACCAGTTCCCTTCGGCTTTGATCCTCATATTCAGTCGCTGATCGTAGCCTTTGACGCACTTCCCCCTCGTGGTTAGTCGACGTCTCGGGGGGTTTTTTTGAATTTAGGGCTTCGTTTTCTAGGTGTTGGGAGTCTCGAAGGTGAAGAATTCTCTGAATGGCGGTTGATTTGGTTCAAATTGTACAAGGTCCTGGTGCTGGTTGACGTTGTGGGAACAAGCATCTTTCGAGGGGATAGCTTTGTGAAATTGGCAGCGGGAAATTTCTGGCTCCCTTTGTGTGGCCCTTGCTGGATTCCGCTCGTCTGTGTCAGTCGGTACTGATGAAGCGGCTCGTATTATACTTAAATTTCGCGTAAGGTGATTCCGGTCTCTGTCTCTTGAATACGAGGTTTAGTCTCGGAAATTTTCAATTTCTCTCTGTCGGCACCGCATGCTGGTAAATTTGTCCGGGTAGTGTTTATTCTCGTCTCGAACATCTTTCCTGAACATCGACATGGCCATCTCAAATCCGCATTTCAGCACCCTGGGGTTGGCCAGCCCTATCTGCGAATCCTCTAGAAAAAAATCTCCTCTCTCTTGCTCATTCTCTAAGACAATCGCTCATCTTCCTCAGCAGCTTTGTGCCGCAACTTTTCAGCTTCAGAGTTTTGAGGGGAATAGCATCCATACTCGAGCTTGCGACAGGGGAGCTCGAGCAGCGGTTGCTGCTGACACCTCACCGATTTCAACCAAAGGCGTCTCTGGAACTGAGGAATACGATGCCATTGTTATAGGCTCTGGCATTGGGGGCCTTGTTGCCGCTACTCAATTGGCAGTTCGAGGGGCTCGGGTCGTCCTTCTGGAGAAATACGTCGTCCCAGGTGGGAGCTCCAGTTACTTTCAAAGGGATGGCTACACTTTCGATGTAGGTTCCTCTGTGATGTTTGGGTTCAGCGACAAAGGCTCCATTAATTTGGTAACAAAATCCCTGGCAGCCGTCGGACGTTCATTGGAATTGATCGAGGATCCAGTGACAGTGCACTACCACCTCCCTGGTGATTTGTCCGTGCAAGTGCACCGGGAGTATGACAAGTTCCTCGTGGAGCTCATTAGCCGGTTCCCTCACGAGGAGGTCGGTATCCGCGCCTTCTACGATGTAGCCTGGCAGGTGTTTAATTCCTTGAATGCGTTGGAGCTCAAATCTTTAGAGGAGCCTCTGTATCTATTCGGACAGTTCTTCAAGAACCCCGTCGCTTGCTTGACGCTCGCGTATTACCTACCTCAGAATGCAGGTGACATAGCCAGGAAATACATGAAGGACCCCAACCTGTTGGCTTTCATAGACGCCGAGTGCTTCATTGTGAGCACTGTGGACGCCTGCCGGACGCCCATGATCAATGCCAGTATGGTAATGTGCGACAGACATTACGGAGGTATCAACTACCCGAAAGGAGGAGTGGGGCGGATTGCACTGGAGCTTGCAGATGGCCTCGTGGAGCATGGTGGCCATTTGAAGTACAAAGCCAATGTGACGCAAATTCTTATGAAGGACGGGAAGGCAGTAGGAGTGCAGTTGTCCAACGGGGAAACGCTCTATGCGAAAACAGTTATCTCGAATGCTACGAGATGGGACACTTTTCAGAAATTGCTGAAGGCTGAGGATATGCCGCAGGAGGAAAAGAATTTCCAGAAGTTGTATCGGAAGTCGCCTTCTTTCTTATCTATTCACATGGGCGTGAAGGCCGAGGTTCTGCCTCATGGTACCGAATGCCACCACCTAGTACTCGAGGATGAGTGGTTGAAGCTGGAGGAGCCGTATCAAACCATCTTTTTGAGCATTCCAACCGTTCTAGATACCTCCCTTGCGCCGCCTGGGCGCCATATCCTTCACATTTTTACAACGGCATGGATTGACGACTGGCAGGGCTTGTCTCCGGCTGATTATGAAGCGAAGAAGGAGGCAGTCGCTGACAAGATTGTGAGCAGATTAGAGGCCACTCTATTTCCGGGTCTCAAGGATGCTACGACGTTTCGTGAGGTTGGCACTCCGAAAACACATCGGCGGTATTTGGCGAGGGATGACGGTACTTATGGGCCCATTCCAGCTGGGAAGCCCAAGGGATTGCTTGGTATGCCTTTCAACACCACGGCTGTAGAGGGACTGTACTGCGTAGGCGACAGTTGCTTCCCAGGTCAGGGTGTCATTGCTGTCGCGTTCTCCGGCACTATGTGTGCTCATCGTGTTGCTGCAGATCTTGGTTTTGAGAAGAGGAATGCCGTCCTGGACAAGGGACTGAGCTCTCTCTTAGCCTGGTTCCGGACGTTAGCGTAGAGTTTCTTATCTTAAGCCCATCAGGTGAGGGTTTTCTGAACTGCATCAAGGAGGTTTAGGGTTTAGAGTTATATTTCTGGTCGGAATCAAAAAAAATTGCATTCCATGTATATTAGCATCAATGGAATCGAATGGGGCCTTGGACTGAGAGTGCCAGTGTTGCGTGCACGGATCCTTCCCAACGATGGAGTTGTGGTTCGAATGCTTCATTGGTAGGTGAGCTACGTCTGCCTATTAGAAGCTGGAGCATTTTGCAGTGTCTTAAGATTGGTACATGTGGTACCATGCTGAATGAAATGGCCTGTTCTGTTTATACCACGCTGATCGTTGATCCTTGTTGCTCTCAATGGAGGTTGGCTTAGAGATGAGTGTTAGGCTTTCTCAATCCTTTTATGGACATCATTTATTAGTGCCATTTTGCGGGTCTCACTCCCATCCATTCGGCATGAGCCAGAAACGTACTTCGAAATCTGTGGATAGTCCTTCATAACTAGAGAACGTACATAATGAGTACAAACTGGAGAGTCCTCAAGTCGCCAGTCTCCTTCAGCTGTACGCTCTTTCAGTGCACGTTATTTGCTCAAGAGGTCTAGGCGTTAGAATTTATTACCGAACTGTAAATTTTTACAATCTTCGGAGGCGCTGCTTTTCTCAGCAAAAAATATTTTTGGGGGGGTTCCCAAAATATTGAAAAAAAGAAAGCTTTGCTACAAACTACGCGACACAGTTCTGTCAATAAATCCTGCGGCCATAATCTGCGGAGATCTTTATGACGGGAAACTGTCACGTATGGTTCGGAGGGCGGGGAAATCTCCGACTCCTACTTTTGATGAATACCTTGAGCGGTTATGGACATCATTTGTATTTTATGGGGATTGTTAGACCGTATCAGAGATTGCTTCAGAACTCAATCGAGTATTGACCGTTTACTGTTTTGCTATGTAGATCTCATTAGAAAACAATTGCACAGATGTTGATATAGTGTTCAGATGTCTACGTCTTTGGCTAATGATGAGACTCAATTTTTTTTTTTTTTTTTTTTTTTTTTTTTGTATGTGCCGTATAGGTTGTCAGTTCAAAAGATTAACATGTTTAAAATAATTTGTTATGTTGATAACTGGGAATCATGATTATATATATATATATATATATGTATATATATTTCCTTAAGAAAGTTAAGAATTTTAACTTGTGGCATATACGTATGTGATGTTATTCTGATATCATGATGCAAAGATATGTTTGTCGTACATTCTGAATTTAGATTTTATTCCATTTTGTTCAGTATTGCATAGGAGCAAATGTTTGATAAAAAAACAACATCGTTGTATAATATGAGAATATTGGTATATGCTACGAGTTAAATCATGTATATATATATATATATATATATGTAACTAAAACTAAAAAAGCACCAAAAATAAAAATAAATAAACATTACAAATATCAATACTACTATTCACTTGTTCAGGAATTAAAACAATAAATATGCAAATAACTTTGTCTCAATAGCTAGTTAATTTGGTGAGTGTTTAGAAAAATAACCTTGTTTTTTTATTAATAGAGAATATTGAGTTATCCATTGGTAACTCAATGCTAATTGAATATTGAATATATTTTAAATTTTTATTTAAATATAAACTTAATAATATTTCTTATATGTGAAAGTCAAAATTTAAAATGTACGAAAAATAAAATAAAATAAAAACATCTTGTGGGTTCTACAAAGTCTAGTTTTAAAATTTCTTGATGTTGAAATAAACTACAAAATTGCATCTAACATAATAACATACAAGTAAACATCTAAGTTATAAATAGTGTCGAAAAAAACAACGTTACAATTAAATGTAAAGGATCTATTTGTTGTAGTAGTGGCTATAAGATTGGATTTTAAAATTAACATAATCATAAGTATATATTCATGGAAATAATTATTTTTGCATTATTAACTGTAAAGAAAGTGAATTCAACAAGTATTTTTCATATTTTAAATTTCAATATATAACCAAAAATGCAATTGAGCTTTTAAAAAGATGTTGAGATTTTGAAATCATTCTTAGAATAATGCAAGTGTAGATTTGCCTATATAAATTTAGTATTAAAATTATTTTATTTTATACAATACAATACAATAAAATATCTAATTATTTTATTTTAAAAATTAAAATATATCATTAAATAGATAGATGTAAGATCCATCAACCAATCTTTTAAAAAAATAGGTATTAAAAGAAAAGCATTTAGCTAAGGATATATTTAGATTTAAGGAAGTAGGCAAAAGATTACAATTTTCTAGACCCAAAATTGGTTGATGTTAAGAAGCTCCTCTTTGTAGGCTTTGTGCTTAGAAAAATTGATCAAAAAACCACAAGAAGAAAAAATGAGATAGAATGCAATTTTTGCCACATAACATAAATAGTGTTTTTTTTATAGAAATTGTTTTAATTTCACCCATGTGACATGTTCAAAATTTAAGCTTGAGAAACTATGTCATAAATTACTGAATAAAATATAAAATTATATTTTTTAAAATACATGTTACAAGAAATATTTATATTTAGAGGCAAAAAAAAAGAACCACAATTATCAATGCTTATAATTGGTTGGAAGCAAGGAACTATATTTAGATGGATTTATACTTGAAAAAATTAACTAAAATACTATGAGAGAAATAAAATCTTCATATAGGAACCTTAAAAACATTTTAAATCATGATCTTTTAAAGTGAAAGTATGAATCTAAAGACCCTATAAGATGAGAATTCAAACTTTTGCAACACACAGCTGTTTCACTTATTGTGCAAACTAAGTCATACATTTTTGAAACAAATAACGAACTTCTGTATAATAATATTCAAGTAAAATTTATTATAACTATTTTATATATTACAAACAAACCCATTACATTTTCTGGTCTAAAATTTTATATTGCTACCTGGCAACTATGACTATACATCTTTTTATCAATTAAAGCTAGTATTATTTTATAAATACTATTCTCTACTCCGTTTGGGTAGAGGTGATACTACACAGTTACAATCGTTAGATTGCATAGGATGTCTTCACATACCGACACAATCCGGTAATGAACGTATATATTGGCGTAGATATTGGGGAACTTGTATTAAAAAAATACACCACTTAATATCACCAACAGTTATGATAGAATGAAGTTTGGTACGACAAATGTAAAAAAATTGTCGTGTGCTTGAATGCGATGGTTTGGTCTAGAGGAAATGAGGTTTAGGAAAGCTTTTTTGGTGGCACAACTTTCAAGTTTTAGGATTTTGGTGGATCTGTACTCATGTTGCAGTTTTCAGAAACTTGTGAATTTTGTTCAACTTCCCTCACAGATTTGCAGAAGAAATTCAAGCAAGCATTCATTTCATATCTTATTCATTACTTGCCTCCGGGGAAATGCTGACGAGGAGCAAAAACATGGGTTTGCTTGGAACTTACCAGGGCTAAAGCTTGCAAATGTTTGATCAAGTTTTTCGAAAAAAACTGACCTGGATGGAGTTGAATATGTGACCCAGTTGAGTTGCTGTGTCTAGAATTGTCGACAAGCACTTGTTTTCTGAAAGAATGATCATCGAAATAAGTTGAACAGCCTGTCGGAGGTTCATGAGCTGGTTGGGGCACCTCGTTTTATAATTCATCGTTGGGAATTTGTTCAACCTTGTTTGGAGCTCGTGTCTGCGCAGGTTTTGGGAGTGCGAACGGAATGGCTGCATTCTTCTTCAAAAACTGGTAGAGGCCTTTCACGGTTCTGTCACCGTGAAACGTGATCTGCAATCTCCAACCATCCGTTGTCTCAGGAAAGGGAAACCAAAACATGGCTCACAGATCATTGTCAATGAGGAGCTTGTACATGACCATGGACAACAATGAATCGCGGATGTTGTGGAAGGGTTAGTAGGAGCGGCACTGCAGTTTTGTGCAATAGTTGATGTCAGAATGCTGAGCACCAGGATTCATGAAGAGGGAGAAGGATACGAAAGACTTGCCGGCTTGGTGCTCTTATTTCCAGCAGAGAAGAACAGGATGGTCGGAAAGCCGTCGACCTACAGAGAAGGAAAACACGAACCAAGGATTAGTTGATTCACGCTGATAGCATGACGTATTTGAGCAATTTTCGATAGGACCAAACATCGATTCATAGAATTTCTGCTCGGAAGAAAAAATAAAAACAGTTAAGGTCACCTTGGCAAGAGGATGCTCGTTTGCTTCCATATTCATTTTGACAATTGAAAGTGAGGGAATGCCCATGAGACGCTTTGCAAGTCTATTGTATGTCGGTTCCAGCTCTTGGCAGTGATGGCACCAGGGAGCATACAGCTGCCAAGATAATAGATCATCAACAAACTCAACTAGGAAATTGTGTAGCACTAGAAGAAATGACAAGACAACATCCACGCAGTTAAATCATGACTTAGGAACAGTAAGAAGCAGGAATTTTTACGTCTTACCAGAGGAAAGGTAATCTATTACTGCATGTACCCATTTGCTGTCTCGGAAAGAAAGCTGGGTGAGGGAAACGTATGATGGTATGAAAAGGTTTAAAGACTTAAAAGATCATTGAAAATTGTTCGATGAGCTCTACGCATGACATGGTTGTAAACCTTTACCTCAACAAGGGTATCCTTGGCCTCGTCAAGGACGATCTCCTCAAAATTTCTGCCAACCGCTATCCTCACAGCTTCATCATTCTGAAGCATTCATACAGAACCAAAATTATTGGAAACAGACACTTGGTACCGTAAATTGTTGACTATGGAAAGTAGGGGTACATGAAGACCTACGCCTTGCACCAGAGGATTTGAATCTGCCACTATGAAACTTCACGGCAGGTGAACAGACATCAAAAAGATTCTCGCCCTTGAGAACCTTTCTGACACAGAATCTGAACTTCAAAAAGGAAATTCTTAGAAGGATGGCTTACCTGAGCAGGAATCCTCTCCGACTTATAATAAGGTCGCAGCTTATTCTTTGTAAAACCCTCCACGAATTTCTACCAAAACAAACTGCTGAGAGGTGATTATTCTCGAGAAATGACAAAGTTGAAGGATGTCAAAAGAGTCATCATGTCGAACATTCGCTACCTAGGAATTTTCAATAGGAATACTGACCTTGATTCCTTCAACAGTGAATTCCCCTTGATGGAGGTACTTGAGACCGTCCTCAGCTGTCGAAAATGCCATTATCTGAAACGTATGAAAAGTAAAAAAATAAAAAAGCTTTCGCGGCGTAATCCACATCGGAACAACGATCTTCGAGTAAAACTGAAACCGAAGCAACAGAATCTCTCTCTCTCTCTCGTAAAAGGTTAACATTTTGTGCCTCGAAGCATCACATATATGCAGCAATGTCAATGAGCCGTAGTAAAGTTGATCCTCCCATTTAAATTCAGTTCCTCTGTGTGACTCATGAAGAGATCTCAAAAATTAATCCTCAACAATGATAAATTCGTAGCGTTCAAGATAGCCACTGAACATAGCAACTCTCATGCTTATGGACAACAGGGAGGGACATTACTACAATGGGGTTCTCCCCCGTTACACCAAAATACTCCGCAGCTTTTAATCCCTCTGAACTATCCAGAACCACACGTATGAACATTGCCTGTGCCGCATGAAATCAAGATAGAAGCTGAATTCAAAATGGTGCACATCCTTGATTTTTAGTAAATAAAGAATAAGCCAATTAAAATCTGCACAACAATAAAAGAAAACGAGTGAAAGACATCAATTACAGGCTCAATGAACAGATTCGGTAAGATTGCCATGCCTGCCCTTTAAAAGCCCTTGCAACTTCCTCAAAAAGCGGCTGAGCATAACCCCAGTATTCATCATCCTGTACAAAACAGAGGACCTAAAACACCCAACCCAACAATACAAGAGATGCCGAAAGTCAAACGAGACTCTTCACAACTAATTCCACAAATATGATCTTCCAGCTCCTGTTCTTCTCACAGCAAAAGCGAGAGCGGGGTGTGCAATCCCATTAGTTAAAAAATAGTGCGGGAAGTCCAGAATCTGAGTAAGAAGCACAGCCTTCGTACTTGTTTTTTCATTTCGTTCTCCATTATTAGTGAGGTTGTTTCTTGTGAGAAGAATATCACAAGTGGCAACTTATTTGTAGACACAAATTGGTGAAGCGGTGTCCTCTTAAAAGTACCCTCTGCACCCAAATACGTCTATTTATTGGTGAAAAGCATGGCATTTGCAATATTAGGAACGCAATTTGTAACCTCGTGTGCAAGAAAGAAGGCTATGTAAAAACCACTGGGAAACGAAAACTACCCCACCAGCAACTCAAATGTGATGAGTTTAAGTATTTCGTACTCACTGTAAACCACCCGATTGTCTGGCACACTCTTCAACAAAACCAAAACCGGTTTGACATTGACATTCAGTCCAAACATGGCAGCCACATCTTCATTGCTGGTCATATAGAATATCACACCATCCACTTGCTTCGCTACAGTTGTCAGTTCGAAAACCTCAGGACCCTGTTATAAGAAACAAAGAGTGCATGAGTTGGATTACCGTCTGAGCAATTCAAACTTTCGATCATACCATCTTTCTTCGAATATCACAATACCGAGTGAATGCTACGGGAAAAGGGAAGGGAAAAAAGAAAAGAAAAGAAAAGCGAGTTATCCTGATGGGGTCAAGGCTAATACAACATGGGTACACCTAAGTCAAGACTACGACACTCAACCGAGATGGTATAAGAAATACCTTCAACTTTTTCAGATAAGCAACCGCAATGGGCGTGTTGACCTCCACGAGAGACTCGGCGTCCGATACGGACATGAGAGCCCTGACTGTTAGATTCATCTTTCCATTCACATACGCCACAAAAGCATCCCTGTAACGGAGGAATCACATAAGTCACCTTGCCGGCTATAAACCAAAAGAATTGCAGTCACGGTGCCTCATCTAAGACCCGAATATTTTAATACGTAGAACAATGACACGATCGCAACAGGCTTTTGAAGCAGTCAACATCCAATCGCATAGCATGAGTTGAAGGAGTAAACAAACTGCAAACATTGCTAACTAATTTCTACGATTGACATTGGGAAACCGACGTACTTGGATCGGACGCCATTGTAAGGCGAATGCACGCCATAAACGAAGAAGAACAAACTAGGGTAACTGCTCACATGCAGCTGCTCACTGATGTCCGTGTGCACAGTAGCGTCGACCTTAGCAAAAGGAACTTGGCCCGTAAGAGCAGTGGCCGTTGCGGCCCACTCTGGTGCCAAACTCTTGCAATACCGGCACCAGGGAGCGTAAATTTCCACAAACACATACCGTTCCTTCATCACAAACTTGGTAAAATTACTGGACCCAAGCACAACAACATCTCTCTCGTCATAATCACCCACCTCACCGCCCTCATTTCTCTCTTCTTCTTCTTCTTCTTCTTCTTCCTCTTCCTCCTCCTCTTCTTCATACCTGTTTCCTAAGTTCAATAATGGGTCGTCTTCATCATCTATCCCATACTCGTCTTCATCATCTTCTCCCCCATAATCGACTGCGTCGTCCTCTCCTGAATCGGCCACATCCAGTTCCGGGTCCTCCCCATTCTTCTCCGATTCTGCATTTATTTGGTCCAAACTCGATATTACAAGGAGACAAAGCAGCGACAACGTGAAGACAATTACCCTGTGCTGGATTATCGACGCCATCGCAGGACAATTGCAATGTGGCGAGGAAGTAGTCCATCGAAAGGCGAAAGGCTGGTAGAGTGGTTTCGAGTGGAAGAGAAGGTGACAAACCCAACGAATGTAAAAGCAATTCATCCCCCACAACGGCCTCCATGTTCACCCCACAAACGTGTAATTTATCCACGATGCACGCCTTTGTGGCCATGGTCAGTTCACTCCCTCACTGGCACGCACACAAGCGAACACACGAAACCCAAGATGCCAAGGCACATGCATGCAACTGATCGACAAAAGTGGTGTTAGATCAGTGATCGGTAATGAATCGGCTGGATTTTTATTCATGGCACGTGCTTATACAAGCGGGGTCATTGATTTCGACAAATTAAATATCTACAAACGGAGCCATGCAGCAGTATTGAGTGCTACTCAGCTCAACCAACGGGTGTACAGAATTTAAGAAAGCAGAAGTTCGACAATCCTTTCAAAACAAAAACTCTCCTGCTTCTTCTCCTCCATCCATGTCGCCCACCTTGCTCATGTAGACACGAGCGTGGGAGGCATCAGACACACGTTGCGTGATGTGAACTATCTTGAGCTGGTACTCCGTCACGTGGATCGCTTCATCACGTCGTAGACCGTGGGCCAAATCGCACAGTCCAGTGAAGCTCCAACACGATCGTGAAACCTTCAGGTCCACTCGTGATCTCAACAGCCTCCAGCACGTTTTGAGTCTACGCAGTCTCCGTCGATTTCACTGAACTATTGATCGAGTGAAGGACCAATGTGGAATAACCTTCTGGAGTTGCAGCTCACGCCTGGTCTTCTGTCTCGACTGAAGCCAAATGCATGGACTCAAGCGAATGCATACCGTCGCTTTATCCAGCAAGAGAGCGTGGACTGCGAGCAGTGATAGTGAGCATTTCACGATCACGCTGGTAAAACAATTGTTCCGATCATTCTAGAAGCTGTGAGGTGCTGGATTCATCCAGAGGGGTGCAGTGTGCGATGGATGCTTGTCCACAGGATACTGTGGAGCTGCGAAGACTGTGTGCAAGAGCATCGATGCAGTGAATCAGCGTCGACGTGAGATCCAAGGCCTTGTTTATTCTCGTCGACGACCACTTGTGTGTCGGTGGGTGTCGAGCTTGTGTGATCCACAGCGTCTACGCATTGGATCTCACGACGACGACACATAATCGTTGCTTATTCTCGTCGTGACCACTTCTCGTCGGGGCACAACATGAATCAGCAATTACGAGAAAATTAGCGGCGATTTATGTTGAATGAATTTACATAGATTCTAAATAAAATTTTCGAGTATGATTTTCATGCAAATTTTAGAGTAAATAGAGATAAAAATATTTTTCGTGCAGAAAATTTCAATACAGAACACATGTATGAAATATGTAAGCAATTGTATTTTAATACCCGAATTACTTTTCAAAAAACAATTCTATGTGAAGGAAGCATTTGAGATTCTAACCCCTATTGAAATTACTAAACCGAACAATTTTATAGATTAAATTTTCATTAATAGAGCATGGACATTTATCCAATCCAATACTAAAATTCTACTTATTGGTGTGATTATCTAGATGGTAAGTATGTAATATACTAGCCAACTCTTCCTTGTCTGCCTTGACATAGGGTGTTAAAATAAAGGACAATTATGTTATATTTTTCACTATCAATAGAATAAGTATTATTTGTTTGCATCAACTTACACAAATATAATTCTTTATTAGTGTTGGGTCCTTGCTTTGCATGGGATAAAAAAACTAATGTAACAATTTCATTGTCTTAAAAATACGGAATTGTTAGATTCATGCTAAGAATACTCAAAATTTTGTTAATGTTGTTTGCAACATCATGAATTGGGTATCAAACAACATGGACGTGTATGTTACATCTATACAAGTCCCCTTCTATACTTACCATGAACAAACTATACATAATTATTCAATCAATATTTCTCCTTCAAAGCTACAGAAATACCCTTTTTTAGCATAAATTAAAATATACGAATTTTATGCAGCAAGTTACATAACACAATTATGTGAGCGTGTTTTGTAAAAAACTTTTTGCTGATTTCTACGTTGTAGACACAAAATACCACAATCCGTCTTCTGAACACGCCTCTGAGTAGAGAAAGAGTACTTTTAAAGAAAAAGTGAAAGTAGAAGATTCATCCAGTGAAGAATGGATGAAGAATGGGTTCATCCACCCCAATAGGCGGGAAGCTCAAGCTTGAGCTCCTTTGGTAAGCTCCTGTCTGTCAGTGGAGCGAGGGAGGGGGGCTCAATGCGATTATCAGATCGCGTAGGCGAAAATCTGTGTCTCGCCATCGCCATTGCTGCTTCTGCACGCATCGGGCAATCACAGGAGCCATCTTAGACAGTCACAGCTGCTGCCTCTTCTGTTTTTCTCAGCGCATGATTTCGTCAAGTGTCGTGGAAGTACGCTCTACTTACTTGTTGTTCCCTCTGTGTCGGGGACGAGGAGCTTCACTATTTAGGTTCCATGTTCTGTTTTCCTCGGTTTCTTTTGGCGTGCGGTTGTGGCTACGTATGTTGCGGAAGGTGTTGGTGACGAAATCTCTGCTGGCATTGAAGGCTCGGTGTGATGAATGTCGCGGGTCTTGTTTGAGCTCTCAGCCGCTCATGTGGGATTGTACGCTGGGGGTAGTATGTGGAATCGTTGACGCGGGTCGAAAATGCAGAGGGTTTAGTGGAGGGCTGTAGCGTAATCAAGTGGAATGCCTGCGGTTTCGGCATTGTGTCATTTGATCAGTTTGGTTGGACTCTGTCAAGCGTAGTTTGGGCGTATTTATAGAGATGGTTTTGATCGGTGATGAAGTGTGCGGGATGTTCTTGAGAGCGAAAGCTGAGGAGACGGGGTGAGAAGGAAGGAGGACGGGGAAAAGAGCGTGAGTCGAAGTCGTAATCAATATGGATCCGGCAGAGTCAAAGAAAGTGAGTGAGCTGCTGGAGGATCTTGTTCGACTGTGTAAGGACAGCTCACAGACGGCGTCCTTGTTCCATGACAATCTGCAGGAGCTCTGGCCCTCGTTGCAGAGCGCGTCGTCGCATTCCTTGCCCAAGGTTCCTATCACTAACTGCATGCACTCAATGAAATTTTCGCTTGTATGGTAAGAATGGAACTCGATGTGTCTATTCGATTGCAAAGACTGTTCTAAACAATGGCGGAAGTCCTAAACACGGTACTTTCGTTCATTGTGATCTATGTTTGGTATTGTTGAATTACAAGCTTTTACTTTCTTACCTTCAAGATGTCAGTTTATTTGTAGAATTTTGGAGTAGCATGACAACAGCTCTTTGATGAGTAGCATCATTTTATTTATTTATTTTCTATTTTCCTCAAATGAACCTGCCTATGTTTTGATGCAATGTCAATTACATTAAATCACCCAATGTGGCTATACGAATCTAAGCGTGTAATTGACGTCGATTAGGTTGTTTATTATCCCTTCAATGTCCCATCAAGGCAATGCTGCCTTGTTCAAGTAAAGCCACACTGTAGAACATGTTGGTCATGGTTTCAAGTGAATTCGTATCATTGCTGCAGACGAATTTGATGAACTCTTGCTTAGTCGGTAAGCTCAAATGAGGACTAACTTTCCCTGCCCAACCCTTACTAAGACTGGGTTCAGGCTTCTGAAAACCTTACATGGACTGTTTAGCAACAGCTGTGCAGATGATCTGCGTCACATGATGCTAGTCTTCTAGCACGAAAGGTTCTGAATTACACTAAGACAACTCATATGGTTTTTTTCTTGGGTTAGAGTGATCCTCATCAATACCTTGAGTGGCTCCTCCTGTGTTCCACCCGCTCGCTTCAACCATTTCAGAAGAGAACCTCATCAGTCTGATCATACTCGTACAATTGCTGGGCTTTCACGCAAAGATTGTTGATAGAGTAGAAATAGAAGTGAAGAGTTTTGGGTTGGATTGCCTGGACAAACGACCAGATTAAGTACGTGTGTAAAAAATATCGACAACGTTATGAAGAAACTCATTCCTCGTTCATTGATCTCAAATGCAAGCATTTCCGCATACCAAGCCCTTCGTTTGATGGGTGTATTGAAAAGATGATCTCGAATCCTGCCTTTCCCAATAGTGTGGTGGTGTCTGTCTGCTTTTGCTGATCTTTCCCACCATCCCCCCCGCTGCGAAGAACTACTCTGTTTATTAAGCTGGTCACAGATTCAGTGGTTGTTGCAGACTGACCTCAGTTCAACGTATTTTGCAGCTTCAGCTTTTACAAGAGCAAAGAGTACTTTTGGCTTCATCTCAGCATCCGCAGAGGTTGATTCAGAAGATTGAGGAACTCAAGGACGCTGGGTATTTTCTGCTATTCTTCAAGGCATTAATAGCCAAAATGAATTCCCAGAGGGTGTTCTAGAAGCGTATGTGTGATAATAAATTTGCATTGAAGTTGTTATATTTCTGAAGCTTTCTCCAGAACTTTGTTTTTGTCTTTGCCATGTTGTTCTAATGTCTCCAATTGTTCGTTTGCGTTCAGAGTGCAGGGTATCGACAAGTACATTTGGTTGGTTGGTCAGATTATTACAGAACCATCGTTGAAGCAGCTGTTGTCCAAGGATGGGAGCTCAGATCTTGCTACTGAACCTCGAACACCAGATTTTTCTGGATATGCTTCATCCGAGGTGATAATCAACCGTTTGATTGTGTCATTCCTCTTTTATGCGTATTTGGATGCATGTAGGTAAGCTTTGCGACCCCTAGTGTATCTGCATTTACTTTAAAGCGGGTATTAGACTTGTTTCAGGTATGAAACGTTTGATAATTTCTCTTTGTGCTCTTTCGTTGTTTGCGTGCCTTTGTTTCTGATACATCCACATCGGTATCGTTGCAGTCACCTACACCTAATTTTCAGCTCGATGAGGGTTTTCCATCAAAAAAAATGAGGGAGTCTGAAAACATGTTAAAAACTGCACCTGGTTCTAAGCAGCGTAGCCTGAACGCTGATGATAGTGGTCAGCCGGGATCTGCAAGCTGGATTTCTATACGCTCTGAAAGTACGTTGCGTTTTATTTTGGTGGCTAATGTTAACTTCAACTAAAACTCTTGAGGTGTTGGTTTTCTTGGTTAACACTTCTCTTCTTCAAGTGATGCGTACCAGCGTGTGCAACCTTTCTATATAAACGAGAGTCATGGTACTTTTCAAGTATGAAATCCTCTGAGCTGATTTGTCTCGCAGAGATCACGGATGTGCCCAAGTCACTTATTGAAGGTGTATCCTACCCAGCCACTCCGAGATGGAATATAGATAGACCCTATCTTACTAGTCAATTATTTCCACAGGTATTCTCGTGCTAAATGTTGCTTGGTTGTGCTCGCCTTTTCTCAGGTCACAGCGGTTGTTACGTTCCTAATCAGTGAAACGTTAATCTGTTTTATTTAACAGCATATGTCTACATTTCTTTAAATCCATGTCAGTAATTTGATATTTTTTTATTATTTTTTGATGTCTACAGAGCTATGCACCAAGACGAAATACAGCTTCTAAGGCGAGTCCGCATGAAAAAGAGTCTAACAAGTATCTTCTTCTTTCGCTATCTCAACTCATTTATGATTTCTACAAATACATTCAGTCTGCATTGTAATCGAAATTATTTATAAATTGTGAAAAAGCATTATTGAAGCTAATTGCGATCAATGTAGTTAGAAAGAGAAAAAAAAGAAAAAAAAAAGGATGGTATTCATCAGTTGAATTTGACAATCAGTACTATATGTGTATAATGCAAATTGGTGGTAATTTTAACTTATTGTAACACTCTTTACTCAGATTATATAAATATTTTGACACAGTGACACCAAAGTAGTCTTCTAATCTGTATCAGCTGCTCGTTTTCACTTTTGCAGTGATATCCTATCATTGCTCTTTTGAGAATATTTCTATGTAGTCTAATTTATATAATCTAATTTTTTGACATGATTATTTCTACGTTGCAGTCATGGAGAAGTACTCAAAGCGCTTTCCAGTTTCTCATCCTCTGTCCAGGTTAGTCTCACAAGAAAACGTGACAGAAGCGAATACGATTATGCTGGTAGTTCACCTTTGCGCTCTGCTGTTGAGTGGGTCAATTGTTTCATCAATATTCTAGTTGCTATGAAGTGCATACCTTCATTTTTTGCAGATAGCTGATTTCCTGCAAATGGCAGGAGCTACTGGTGTTAGAAGATTTGCTTTCTGCGATGGTTGGCATTGAGGGTAAATATGTATGTTTGCGAAGGGGTCGGCATAAGGACGGAAATTCTTTCTACTTTCAGTTGGAACCATCTTTGGATGCTTCTTTAAGCGTAAGATTTTCTAGAACTATATATTCGTGATCATTGTGCTTCTTGGAACTCCCTGCTCACATCATATGCCGTAGCTGCATGTGTATGGACATAATTTTTTTTTCTTTAGTCTCGGAAGAAAAAATTACATGCACTCCTCATTCAATGAGCATTGTTTTGATGCTTCGTTTCAAGTTTCAGTAGATAGGAATTTATTTGGAAGAATGTGAAATTAGGAGGAATGTATCCAGTTTGAAGAGGTTTATACGTTTTCAAACATTTGCGTATGTACTTAATAACGAGCACTCACCTTTCTTATGCAGGATCTGGCCAAAAGGATTTTACCTTTATGCGAGAACTATGTTGTAGTTAGCCAATTCGCAGAAGCTCGATCTCATTTTAAGCACGGTTTGGTCAATCATGCCTTTGCGTCCGCATTGAGGGCTATCTTGCAGGTTCTTAGACCTATTATTCTGTGCTTTTCAATAAATTTGTTGAGTTACATGTCTCGATTCATTTGTGGAATAGCATAGTTTTTAACTTCCATTCCCAGGTTTTGTTTCGATTGTTGGTTGCAGAGAAATTTTTAGCTGTAGTTGAGGGATTGGTATTTAAATCTTCACAAATTCATCCATCGATTTCTTGTCTGAGCACTTCATGTTACTCTTATGTTGACAATACTAGACAATGCATTATTATATCTGTACGACTTTGAATTTATTCATCGTACGCAGAGATCTCATATAAGACTAAGTAGGTCATGTGCTTGTGTAGGATTATCACGCGATGACAGCCCAACTTGAGCATCAATACCGTTTAGGTCGCCTTTCTCTTCAGGGATTGTGGTTTTTTTGTCAGGTTTTTAACTCAACTTTAATTCCAGCATCATCCACGTCTACCATGTGTTTCGTTTTCTGTTGCTGGGTTTGGATACTCATTAATGTATGGTACGCAGCCATTGTATGCTTTATCAGAATGTTAGAAGCGTGATTTTTCATGGATTTGTACGATAGACTATGCTCCTCGCTATGTCTTGATTCCAAACTTCTGATTTTTTTCGTGTAACAGATATAGAATCTCCAACTTAAATCATCTAAGAGGTTCATACCAATGGTACCTATCACTAATGTAGATGGTTGTTTGTTTGCAGCCTACGGTTGCTGCCATGCAAGTGCTTTCTACGGCGGTTCAGAGAGCGATCATGCAACATGCATCTGGTGCAGCAATGCTCAATTTGCTGCAGAAGCAGGTGAACCCTCCTTTCTTTGCCTCTTGGTCGTTTTCCTGACTATGATAATTCAAAGTGGTCTTTGGTAGCGTTCTGTTGTTTAGTTTCATGCTTCACCTTATCTTCAATTGTAATATATTTCTTCCTTTCTGACTGATTTTTAATATCATGTGGGGAAAAGTGTGAATGACCCTTAATAGTGAAATATTGGTAATCAGTTGATGTATGATAATCTTTAAATCCTTGCAACTTCGCTTCTTCTGACAGCCGTCTTACTATTATACACCCTCATAGTTCCTGCTTGAGCCAATGCTATTTTTACAGATATCTAGTTTTGTGTATCTGGTGGAAGACAGGTTTCGTCTCAGAGTGATCCGGAATAGTTTGTAGGAGTGTCACTTATTCCTAGTATTAATGGTTGATCCCATCATGGTCCGCTGCTCAAACTAGAGACATTACTTTGTCAAAACCATTACAGTAATAACTAATAGTTACGTACCAGATGAAACATTATTGTAAGTGTTGTTTGTGACTGACACTTAAGAGATAAGCAGGCAATAGCTATGGCTGGCGATAATGGAGCCAGGTCTCTACTTCAGAAGCTCATTCATGCAGCAAGTACTCCTTACTTTGGAATTTTGGAGAGGTATTGTGCTTAGTTCTGAAGCTAACGCAGTTATGGACTTATGAAGGGAAACAGGGTGTTGCATGATTGTCTAGTATAAGGAATAGTCATTCGTTTCTAAAGAAATTACTAGCAGCAATGTTGGACGTTTGAAATTTTAAGCGAAGCAATTAGCAAGGTAGATTTTCTTACTAGGACTTTCTGCTGGGTTATGTTACAACAGCTTATGTAGGCATGAGTCAGAAAAGGATTTTTTTGTGTTCCATCTGGTCATGTAAACAAAAAAACTAATGTGCTTGCTTCCTATGTCTGAGTATTGATTTTCTTACGTCATGTTTTTGGTGCATGATAGGTGGGTTTATGAGGGCGTTATTGATGATCCTTATGGTGAATTCCTAATTGACGAGAACAAATCTTTGCAGAAGGTATATCTGTTCGCTATTGTAGATATCACTAGTAACTCTACAGACTTCGTATCTCTGTAAGAGTTTGTTGTGCTCCCTTTTTTGAGTTACTTGGTTGCCCCCAAACAAGCTCTTGCCAGTCAATTAGTTACTTGCTAGGTGTAATGTGAAACTTGATCTGATGATTGTTTTTCCAGGAAAGTCTTAGTCAGGATTACTATGCCACTTACTGGCAACAGCGTTATAGTTTACGACAAGAGATTCCAGGATTTTTAGCGAGCTACGCTGAAACTATCCTCACCACTGGGAAATACCTTAATGCAGTTCGTGAGTGTGGCCATAATGTCCAGGTACTTTGTGCTGTTGATTCTACGACCTCAACAAAGCTAACCTCCTTGCTACATCGTCTTTACCTTAACCCTATTGCGTCCTTCACTAGCATTTTAACTAGCTTTTATGTGCATTTGATCTCAATTGTTGGCTCTTATATTTTTGCTGTCCAATTTTTGTAAAACCAAGGGTGTTTTTCCCTCAATTTTTGTCATTTACCACATTCTTTAACCGTGTTATTGTTCTTTGAAGCATGAAATGGCATGGACCAATTCATATCTGTTTAATTTCTATTGTAGAATCTTTCGATTTGAACAAGAACTTCAAATAGAAATAACTGTCAAATATCATTTGTAGATTTAACTGACGTCTTATTCAATTTGCATGTTGCCAGGTTGTAATAATGCTATAATGTAAATGTTATACCAACTCTCTCTCATGAAAAGCCTACTGCCGCAGGTTCCATCAGCAGAAAATGGCACACTGGTGAAAGGGCGTGTACAACAGCCAGTGTTGGAACGCATTAATGTTGCACATAACTTCGCAAGTGCTGAACTTCTGAACTTGATTGTACAGAAGGTTGTGCTCCTGGAAACGTTTCTGGGCATATAATTTCTAAAATGTTCCTAGTCTTCATGAGTTCTCTCAAATTGATAGAGACTGAGTTGCATTAACGTAATAGTGTAAGACTTAATTATCTATTGTCTGTTAATAGAGTGAAGGCTGATATAATACTATTTAAGAATTTTACAGGACAAATACTGCATAGGCTTTTCATTGCTTCTATTTAACCTATTTAACCTATTTAATCTGTTGTTCGTTTGACAAGTAATTTATTTCAAATATTTACTTGTGATGGTTTTCTATATTCATAATGTGAAATTTGACGTTTTCGAGGCCACTGGTGCAGTTTGACTTAATAGGGAGGCTTCGATCTGTGAAACACTATTTTTTTGTTGATCAGGTGGGTTTCTTGATCTGCATAACCTGGGGATAGTGACTTAAAGATTCATTGTAGACCTGCTAAAATAAGCTATTTGCCCTCTTGTGTTAGAAGTTTGACTTGGTGTGAGCTGGAAATGCGTGATATGTGGCTCTCCCTTCTGTGGGTTAGCAATTGTTACATGTGTGAGTAGACAAACTGAAACGCAGAGTGTCAATTTGTGTCATTTTGCGGAAGTGCAGGGTGACTTTCTTGTCCACTTTATGGACACAGCTAAAGATGAGCTTACAAGAAAACCATCAGCAATGTCCGTTGAGAAATTGCAGGTGAGCTTTTTTTTCTATGAAAGATAAATGTTTTTATGTTTAAGTAGATAGGAAAAGATCGTCAAACCTCACTCAAATATTTTATTTTTGGTGCACAGTCCTTATTAGAGTTGGCTCTGAGAACATCAGTTGCAGCTTCGGATCCATATCATGAAGACCTCGCATGCAGCATCGTAAGTTTATGACTTCTTTTTATTTTGGTTTGCTCAAGTTGGAAGGTGTTTGTTGCAAGGGATTTTCGTTACAGATATCCGGATTGAAGGCTGACTTTGTAGTTAGGCAGCCAGTATTAACTGCTAGGCAAGTTGCTCCCATAGAATTTTTAGTCTTCGTCCTTGTCTGGTTGCAATTCTATGTAATGTTATTGCGAACAATAATTTTCGAAGAACTTTTTCATGACTGTTATTCCTGGAATCAGATATCTGGAGTTTATCTCAGTTGTTGAAAGGCTGGTTTGATACTACGCAGTTTACTGTAATTGGGTTCTTTACAACTGTGCAGTTGAGCTGTTGAACATTGGTTTGAATGATTGCAGGAAGAGTTAAGTCTAATGGCACAACTGCATAATATTGTGCGGAATGGAAATGTAACTTCCCAGCAGATAGGCTCTGCAGAGAGTGTCAATACACCAGTGCTTGCCAGTGGAATCACGACTGGATTAGAGACTTTCACTTTAGAATACAAGGTAATTTACAATTTTACTTGAATCAAATCATTTGGAGACACATGAGACACTGACGTTGTTAATTAGTTTTGTACGCAGTGGAGGGCAGCACGGAGGTAGGTGTTTGTGAGAACTGGGTCTTAAGTTTGGTCAATAGTCAAGTGATTTTTTCTTGAACTGTCAGCTGTAGAATGCATTCTGCTTTAAATTTTCAAACATTCGTTCGTATTGTTTGCTCACGGGAATATCTGCAGTTTTGTAAGAGATCTGACTGCACTGGGAATGGCAGGTCAGATGGCCGTTATCACTGGTCATCTCGAGAAAAGCGCTGACTAAGTATCAACTCATATTTCGGCACATTTTTCATTGCAAGCATGTAGAACGTCAGTTGTGTGCGACTTGGCAAATGCACCAGGTAGTCGAATACCTCTCAACTATGGAGGGTTTACGATTTTGATGAAATTGGCGCTTTTCGAAGGAGCAGTGTTTGATTTTAATAGCTGCTACGTATAGCATGTGTTGAACTAATGTTTGTGTGTCTTGTGCTTCTTTTTCACCAGTCAACAGTGCGCACAATTAACACGTTGGGAACTGCCATATCTCGATCCTATGTTGTTTGTCAACGTATGCTTCACTTTCTGCAGACTTTCCAGCACTACATGACATTTGAGGTGTGTTTAACTGGACTGGTATTCTAGTTATTTTATATATCTACATCGTTGTGTATACACAGACAGAGATACGGGGGGGGGGGGGGGGTGGGTGGAGAGAGAGAGAGAGAGAGGTTCTTGTGATGAGACACTTGTGTGTAGCACGTGTTATGTGAAGACATGGTTTTAGTTGTACTCAGCCCCTATCTTTTCGTGAAAGTGAGGGTGCATGTCAAGCCTCACTCTTCATTATTTGTGAAGCCCTTAGATCTAAGATTTGGTTGCAGGTCTTGGAACCGAACTGGCACCTGATGCATGGTCAACTTTTGAATGCTAAAAGTATTGATGAGGTGGGTCCTTGAAGTGTTTTTTAATGTTCTATCACTTCAACTTAAAGCTTGTGATAGTTGTGATGGGACCAAAAATACCTCCTATACTGAAGATGTTTGTGTTGTACCTCATATTTCAAAACCTGGCATAATTTGATTTGATATTACGAAGTAACACGCACCACTAAATTGGTGTTCGATCTCTGTGGTCTGGGTGCAGGTTATGCAGCACCACGACGCCTTCTTAGAGAGATGCCTGAGACAATGTACACTTTTATGGCCTCAAATTTTGAAGGTGCGTTTTTCTATTGTTGGGCTAATGTTATTACGTTGCATGGAAAATTGTTTAGGAAACATCTGGACCTCTCGAAGTATATCGCCTTGGTATTTATGAGACGTAACGTTAACATTAGTATTTGTAGGCTCTATACAATTTCGTCTTTGAATTTCTACTTGTTCAAATTAATCTTTAAGTCTTGCATGAAGTTTTCTGGAGTAATAGATCCCACTGAACTAATGCTGTTTTTCTCTCAACAGAAAGTGGATAAATTGAAGTTCATCTGCCTGAAATATGCGACTGCAACTCAGTGGTTGATTCCAGCAATATTCCGCCAGCATGATCATTTTCAGCAATCTGGTACCACAGGCAAGAAATCGAAGGGAAGCTACAAAGAGAGGAGAGGACCACGTGAGAATCCTATCCAAGCTAGACAAGCAGCTGAAGATAGCAACTTCAAACTAACAATAGGGTATTTGGACATATCCCCTGATTTTCCTTGATTTAACGAACTCGTGATGGAGTTCGTGTTAAATACAAGCGCTGGAGCTGCATGCGAGAATCTGCTTGAGAACTTCTGTTATTGGTTATAAGTATCCAGATCTCTACGTGTATTCAATTGCTTCCGCACTAGATGAAGAAATAGTTTATGCCTCGATTTCTGCTTTCTCAATTAACTCACTATGACTTGGCTGTGTCAGGAAAATAGATGAAGAGTTTTTCAAGGAGCTAAAGCTTCTCGTGGCGTTGCTGAGCAATGGGTCACAAAGTGAGCCATGTTTTGCACACCTTGCCCAAGGTTTACAAGGAGTCGCATGATATCAGTTCAAGTGCATGGTTTTGAAATGTACAAAGGTCGTTCTATAATGAACTAGATGTTTGTAAACTGTCTTGATTTTGTGGCTACAGATTCTCTGCTTGCATGCATGTGATTAGAAATCTCTTCCATTGGGTGGTAAGACGTGCTTCTCTCATTAGTACTATTAATGAAACCAGAGAATGTCAAGACATTTAGGTTAAATCAGACAAGGTCCTTCGCTTTTCATAATCAACCAGTGGCCTGCTGCTTTCTCTTGGCTATAGCCTTTAATCTTGTTTCATGTAGGGGGAACTAATTAATTTTGGGTTTAGATTGTTGCCTTGAAGTTCAATTTCGAATCAGATATTTCGGCATATAGATCTGTTGATTTCTTCCTTAACATTTTTTCGTCTCATTCAGTGATTGGAATCATAATGCATGTAATTGCGCACCTAGTTTTATATTCCTTTAGTTATCCTATTTAAGGTCCCGTGGAATACCTCATCATTTGTGAATATCTTCTAGTGTGCAATTTGCAGTATCACGTCATTCTTCCTAAGTCTTTTTCTGGATGGATGACTGATACCTGTGTTCTCAAAAGCCTGTAGGTCGTACCAGTTTGCTTTAGTGTTAGTCTGATTGCGAGCACACTAAGATAGATTGTGTGACTGTTCCTTGATGGCTCTGTGCTACTACTAGGCTAGTCGACTTCTCCATTGATTTCACGTAGTTGCATGTACTTCTCTAGAGTAGAGTTTCAAATTTCCTCACTCGAATGCTAGTAATGTGCCTAATATGCTGGTTTAACAGCTGCAGTGGCGCACATTATTTCAAGTTGTTGGCTTTCAAAGGTTCTGATCTTCGTTACTAGTATTCCTCAACCGTGCGGAAACGTTTCCACCTTTGACGATGGAACTTTTTCAGATACTACTGGAAATGGTGATCCCTTTTGTGCATGCTGCCCACAAATGCCAAAACATTTTTGGTTTGAGGGCCATCTGCGTTCTCAACGATGAAACTTTCCCGTTAGCTGGAAATGACTACTGACGTTGCTGCAGTGCAGCATTGTGTTCGGCATCATCCTCACCAATCGTTGTTTTTACCCCGTCTCCTGTTTTTCCATCCTTGTTTTTAAATGGGTAGTAGCTGTTTTTGAATCCTCCCCTCTTTGTCACCGTGAGTCTACGTTCTCTGCCTTGACTGGATCGTATTGAATATTTTCGTCTGATACTCCTAGAAGTAACGCATCCGCTCGATTTGGACCTTCACACAATCCAGTCCAAACGTAAAGGCTAGGATCACTTTCTTTCATATCCACAATGTCGGCCATGTCTAGCAAAAACTCAGTGACAGGTTGAAGAAGAGCTCGACGCGTCTTGTCATATCCATGACTTGCAAGGACACTAGATAATGGCCATCCTGTGAAGTCCAGGAACCAGCCTTCAAGGAGCTCGGCCCAAACACCGCCCGGGTTCCTTAACAGAGCCCAGAAAAGCACTTGTCTCAGACCCACCTTCGCTACTGAGAGAATTCGCATGTTCCGACGGCTTTGTGCAAGCGTGATGATTTGATCGTCAGGGGCAGGACCCAACTCGAAGCTCACAATGTCTGGCATCGCATGCAACAATGACTCTATTGATTTGAACTCACCCAAGCTGAGGGGTCGTCCACCAGTTCGGTCCATGTACACGGTGCGAAACTCTTCTATTGTGAGTCCATTCTCCATATAATCTGGACTTCCGAGTATCATCCGTGTTTCGTGTTTCAGCTTGTGGGACGGATTGCAGGATTGCTTTTGCACAGTGACCACGAGCTCTGTGGTCAGTGTTGGGGATGTCGGCAGCGATGCAAGGTTCTGCTCGTCAGATGACATCATGTCAAGTGGAGTTAAATCCCGATCCACAGCGCCGCCTTCTTCCGCCACTTCATGATGCTTAGCTTTTAAAGCTTCACTGTTTATCCTGGCAGGAAGTTGGGTGTCCATGGCCATGACTACATGATCATCGGGCTTTGCTGGTGAACTTATTGAGGAAGCAGCAGAGTTGTTAAGTGTTTCCTTGATTGCATCCACGTCTGATTTCTCCCCCTCGCCCTCCGGAATCCCTCCAGACACATCGCAATCCTGAAGGTCAAGCAGCGGAAATTCACCGTCCCGTAGCTTCACAATGAGGACACCATCCTCTCGGCATCCAAGGCGGACGAAATCTTCCATATCTTTCAGCAGCAATCGGAGTTCAGGGCAGTCAGGTAGCTGGAATTCCGACGGACTTCTGGATAAAGATTTCCCTGTTTTGATCAAATCCTTGAATATGTAACCATTTGAACTGAGGATCTCCCAAAGTTTACCCGAGAGCGTCTCTTCTAAACATTCCACAAGTTCCAAAGGTTCTAGGCCCGCTGGGTATCTTGCCAACAAAATGGCAAATACTGCTAACCTTAAGCCGGAGGTAATTGTGTTCAAGACGCGGTTGTTATCAAGGGTGTTGATGGGGAAGACCCACCTAGGATTTGAGGTTTGCGTTAGCATGACATCCCGCCATGCATCAATAAGCTCTTGCAGTGACTTGAAACCAAGGGTTGGTAAATCAAGTGGCACCGCAAACATTTTCTCATATACGGATGGCAAGCACTCGACTTCGATTCCACGGCCTTCGTCGTGTAAAGCAAGGAGTAGTCTGAGACGTAGTCGCACATGAGGGGACAGATCTTCCACGTTGTAAATCGATGCATCCCTGCCCAAGTTATTGCTCTCAGCTGCACAAAGTGCTCGAAGATCGGATAGCTCCTCCGGGGCCATTCCAACGGGTCCTGTTCTCGAACAATCAGGACTCGATCGTTCATCAGTATCATCGTCATCTGGAGATTGCTGGTTTTCCTCTACGTGCAAATCCGATTTACAACCACTTACCTCCCGATGGAACTGGCTTATACTCCCTGCCAAGCCCACGAAGGATCTCTCTTGAATCGATTGCCGTAGGAGGAACCCGTCTGTGAGAGCAGGGTCTTCAGCTCCCTTGCACAGATAGACTCGCGTCTGCTCTGCGCGTTCATCGAGATGAGCAATGTCTGGCATATCATGAAGCATGCACTCCACCGAAGCCGTGTGGTATCCATGATCGATGAGAACCTCATGTAAAGGTTGCCCAATCGCTCCTTCACAAAGTGATTCAATCGTGTCGAGGTGCAACCATTGGTGGGTTCTGAGTATCTCATACACGATCCTTCGGAGTCCCGACCTAATACCAGCTACAATGCGATGGTTTTTAGGAGTATCCACCAACTGCAGTTTGCCTTCGTCAATAAGTAGTAACCTCTGCACAACATGAGGCATGGATCTGCACAGCCTAGCAGACGTGCTGAAGCCCGAGGCTTCAACGGTTCTCCCAAATTTCTTTTCGTAAAAACTGGAGAAGGCAGTGACAGTTCGGCCAGCGACATGAAAAGCTGGTGAAATAAGGATGACACGGACTTGATATTGTAATCGTGCACGATACTCAGGTGGTCGCTCCAAATATGTCATGCACTCATCCTCCCAAAGATTAATGAAACTTCCGTTCTCTGGTACCTCAATTGTTGTTGGACTGGCAACCATGTCATCTTTCCTAGTTCCAGAAAATGCAGCATCTTGGCTTGCCCCAGATTTTACTGTATGAAGTTGGTTGTCCAAGCCTGCTGAAACGAGATATAACATCACACAGGTGAGAGGCACATAACATGTTGAGAAGGCACGCATTGTATGACATTGTAGCTGGCATCATCAGTAGTCAGAAACCATCAGTTGCGCATCATGGAAGGCGTTGGATATCGATTAAGACTCAGTCTGTTACCTTGGCTGGAAATGATGGATTCTGGGTCCCCTTTTCTCAAGGCTCTCTCAAGCGATGTTTTGACCCTATATCCATAACATTCCTTGACCTTCTGCATGATGAGGTCCCTTTCCATCTGCTCGTTGTCCAGGACTTGTGCAGGACCCTCGTGCTTCTCCTCCTCATCCTCTATGTTGGCTAGGGAGTCCACAGTGACTGATTTGAAACCTTGATCTACTCCTCCTTCACCTTCATACAACGATTCTGTGCTCGCAGCGTCGACTTCGTTTTCAGCGTTAATCAGTCTTTCTTCATCCGCCAGGAACAACCCATCATTCTCGCCATTCACAGCAACGACACTTGTGGTTAGTAAGCCTGACTTCACCATTTCCTTAACAGCAAGAGTCTCGGATAAATCCGCGGGGAAGGCTACTGGAATGTCATCTTCCTCTAACTCATTGTTATCGACATCTTCCCTAACAAGTTCTGGCGATCCCCAGCAATGTGCAAGTGCCTCGCGGTCTGGCTCGTTGTAGGGCATTTTACCCGATTTATTTGTGATGTACTGAAACAATGCTGTTTCTTGGTCACCGGACAGGCCGAAGCCAAATACGGACCATTTAATGCGATGGTCATCAGATTCTACTGGTATTCCTTTCTCCAAATCGTCTTTGAAACGGGAAGGCTTGAATTCCCTGCTCTTCCTCTCTTCACCACGAGATGGCTTCAGTCCTTGTTTCTTCGGGTCTTCCAGTTCTTGGATTGGGCGGATTTTCCCTTGAACAGCATCGTTTTTTGCTTCCAAATTTGTTTGAATTCCTTCACCAACATTTTTAGAATGATGTTCTAAGGAAAGGTTATCAGTGATAGAAGCATCAAGTTTCTTTGTTTCTTTTGAACATCCATTCGCGCCCAGGTCATCCTTATCTAAGACCAGAAGTGCGGGCAAGTCCAAAATGCTCGTGGGCGTTGCCATACCAGATCTTTTACATCATTCTTGCGAAATCAATTTCTTATGAGTGTTTTCTGAACCAGATACTCTCCATTAAAGACCCTCCCTACCGAAGCTTTGAAAACAGTATCTCGATACCCTTTGTGCCAGACTATTTTAGATTGGAGGGGAGAATGAAGTGAACAAATGAACGACACCGGTAAAAGGATCTCTTCGTTCAACGCTAATTTGTAAACAGGTGTGGCTAAAATAAGAAAGGTTCATGTGCTTAACTCATAAGGAACATGCTCATACTCAGCGGATAAATTCTTCGCTGAAAATTGCCGTTTTTACAGGTGATAACAGGTCGAGAAATATCGCTTGCGGTGATGTGAGTGTGAAATTGCACCACCAACACTTGATTCCAGAACACTTTGAAGCTTCCACCGACTCAACACCAACATATGTATGCTGCAAGCTGCAGTAAATCAGTTGAGTCAGAACGTACACATTGGGAGCTCGATGGACGCTGCACAAGATCGGGCAAAAGCTGGTCGCATCTCCAACTCCGTCGAATAAACTACTTGTTGTACAACACCGAAGCTGGCCATATCTCCAGATCTCTTGGTCATGACCACAACGAGAGACAATCCACTCCAACAATTCGACGGTTTTGTGGTTTCCAACGGTACGCGACTTACCCTAGGCCGGTGGCTCCGTCCTCTTGGAATCTCGTACCGTCCATTGGTAGAATGAATTGAACTGAGAACTCGTCGTGTGGGTGAACTGTGGAAATCGGTGATTAGTGTGAACCTTTCCCTTGACCATCACACGGATTAGAAGGTGCCTCATCGCAGCGAAATTGAATTTACCTTCCGGATATGCAAATCCTCCAACTTCTTTTGAGGGATTAGAAATAGCTGGGTTTCGTGAAAAGTGGTTATCCATCTGAACGACCGAAAGCTGGAATTCCATTCCATCACAAAAACAAGAGCACAGCCACCTTATCGTGTCGAGTCCCAATCGAACTGGACAAACTGTGAAACATCAAAGACAGGTACATATATGATAATTCAGAGAACTAAATCGTCTGTAATCCGAGGCACAATTTAAGGCAATCTAAATGCGCAATTTGAACTGCAACAGAGTGGTGCAGCTCAGAAAGTGATCACACCTTGATATATTGCAGCCAAGTCTGCAAAACCGTCGAGTACTTTCCTCATCTGTGTACGTTGATACAGCTGTCGCTTCTGTTCGCAAAAACCGAGGTAAGTTGTCCATGTTTTCCTCAAACTAGCTCAAAAAAAATACGCCACTGGAAGTGCTTCAATGTGGTACTCTGCAGACGAGGGGCTACCAGAGACTCGATTCAGCAAAACAATAACCACGCGATATGTTGACAGACAAGAGTATCGCCACATCCATATTTCCTGAGCCAAAAGAGAGATCTCACCGAAAGTGGTTCTTGCCTATTTCTACATATTCCACACAACACTCTACAAGCATATCGGATGTTTCTGAGGGGTGGTAAGCGAGCAACTTCGGCAACAATCGCAGTGCACCCCTCCATAATCTGCTGTACTCTAGTATCAAGAGGACTATACAGCTTTGTCTCTGCTTTTAACAATGCCAACTTCAACTCCAGCTGCCCTGCCGCCATTCCCCTCAATTCCAACTTCAAAATCCTTGGAATGTATACTTAATGACACTATTCATAAGATACGGGCTCTCTGGCTATGATTCACACTATTCATATTCAAGTCTGCTGTGCACATGCTCAGGTCCACATGATTTGTACACGGGGACCTCTCCTTCCTCAAATCTGTCAGAAAGTACTCCCTGTGTGCCTTCTTCTTATCCATACTGCATCTAAATAAAAGCAACTTCTGCACAGACACCACACTGGGGGGGCAAACACCAACGGAAAACCTCTACATGTATGCGACACCTTTACGCAGCACCACCCAATAGCCCCCCTCTGATAAACTTTTGCTAGTAGCACCAGATTCTCATCACGAGCTTCAAGGTTCATCCCAATCTGAAACCCTTGCAAAACTTAAAACAAAAATTGGGATAGCAGGGACCTTCCTAAGTTTTAGAAATTGGAAAAATCAAAGTCTACCTGGCCACATGTGATGAAGAGAGCTGCGAGTTGCTTCTCTGTTACCTGTAAGCCCATACCAAAGCAAACAATTTCCAATAACGTATTAACAATCAAAATTTATAAAACCAGGTTTTCAAAAGATTATATTTTCAACTAACATTTGACCCCTTCAGAAAGCTGAGTACACCGAGAAATAACAATTTGATCCATCCATTCAGCTCCAAATTGAATTGCAAGCTAATTCCCTTGAGTGATTCAAAGTGTAACCTCAAACCCATCTGGTCGCAAACGGAAACGTAAGCTATATCTTTGAAGTTATCTCACGCAAACTCTGCATTTGAGTTGTGTCTCGTTGGATGGCAACCTCTGCATTGCATTTTTTTAACCCTGAACTCCTTTAGTAGCCCCGCAGGAACTTCGAATTTTGGATCTAATGCGGAGGAGGGAGGAGGTGATAGCCCACAACGACCGAGACAATGACAAGCTTATCATTGTCAATGATCTAGTAATGATACTACAATTCTTTCCCTGCATGTGGATGGTTGACGCCGATCCATCCATTCAGCAATTGCATTCAGTCATCGGTTTGTCTGTGATGGCAGACCGGTGCACAGATTTTTGCAGCACCTCACCGCATTCTAATGCTTATAATTTGGAGCTTGGAGGGATTTTCTTGGTTTTTTGGGGGCGGAGCACTCAATTTGAGATTCATGTTCCACTTCATGGCCACTTTTCAACACCAGAATTGTCGAAATTGATCAAGAATTGACCACGAGCACTTTTTCTTTTTTTCCTTTTTTTTTTTTTCTTTATTTTTTTTTTTCTTTTTTTTTACTTTGAGGGGTTAGTGTTGTAAAAGCTGGTCATCGTTGCTCTGTTCAGTCTATTTTTGCCGTTTTGAAGGTGGGAGAGGTGAGTCGTTGTTTAGTTTTTGTGGGTTTTTGTTGTCATTCCTATTACAATGATGATGATGCTGCTGGTGATTGTTGGTGGCTGGGGGCGTTTCTGCTGCAGGTAGAGTTCATTGTGGGGTAAAAAGGAAGAGTACTGTGTGAGTGATTGATGTTTTGTTTGTCCTCTTTTGCTTTCTCGTCGGGGCGGGGATCATTGGTTTGAATATGGCAAATCGAATTTTGGAGGATACCAGGTTTCTGTTATTGTCGTGGATGCGAAGCGGGCGTGCACTGGCGCTACTGGAGCTGGTGAGTGTTGGCTATGGTTGTGTTTGGCATCTTCTACCAAGCATGACGCAATTACATAATTTTTTTGAATAAATGATATGGTTTTGGTTCGCGACTTTCTGGTGCATGGTTTGGCATGCGGGTTTTTGTTCGGCGATCGTTGATGTGGTGCACGTGAAGGGCAGGGATACGTCTGGTTGAAGCACCGCAATCCAGCAGGCAAGACGTGGCGGTTGCTTCACCGCAGCAAGCTTTTGTGGGAGCAGCTGGTTGCAGATTTAGTTGCTATGCTTGGGTTCTTCTGCAGTGGTTCTCAATCTCTTCATTATGTATATGAAATTTGTTATGTGATCTTGTCTGTTGCAGTTGAAATATTGTATTCCATTTTGTTGTGTACAGTGTCACCATATTATTTGTTATCAAATTCCATTGTCATTATGTTATTATTTTCTGATATTGAATATTAATATGATGGATTGAGTGGAATCGTTCCTCTTTCTTTTCTTTTGCAAATCTTTGTCAATTTCAAAGAGACATCTGAATTGGTGTTATTGTGAGGCTCATACTTGTTTTATTCTTATCTCTCCTTTTGTTTTCTCAATTTGACTAGTAATGACAATTGCAGAGTCCTGATGCTGCGTCGACACTTGCAGAGTTCCTAACATCACAATGTTATCCATCTTTTCTTTGGTGCCTATTGTAGCAGCATTTGCACGTGGGCAAGACAATAGAGATAAAGGAAAGAGGAGAAGAAGCAGCAGGAGTAGGCACGGAAGACGCACATGTCGACGCAGCATATCGAAATCACGCAGTGGATGATCACGAATGAAGCTGCCAATTGCAAGAAAACTTGTTCACGGAGTAAAAAGACGATGTCGAAGGTTATTTGTAGTCAGGGACTCAAACTAGCAAAACAGGTGGTATGGCACATTGGTGTGGCAAATTGGTGGACAATTTTGATTGGTACCAGAAGGCAAGAGTGAAGTTCTACTCAACGTTATTGGTGGAACTTGACAAGTATGTTGGCAATGCTAGACATCTTGTCTTTTGCCTCCAATACATTAGCAATTGTAAGGTCATTGTAGAGAGGATCAACTATCTTTGGATGCAACACTTCATGCAGGCCAAAACATTACAAGGCAAATGCAAATCGGTAAGCTTATGATTAATATAGTGCAACTGGCACACATCAAATAAGAGAGCATGTTTCATTTGAAACTCCTTAGATGTCACTTATGCAATATTTTATAAAGTATATTTAAAGTTGATTGATGTTATTAACATTTTATTAGTAATTTGTAGGCAAGTTTCAATAAAGGATATTCAATGAGAACATAGTTGAGAACATTGGCAAGGTACATTTTATAATTAATGTGAAAAATAGCAAGAATCTCGGCTTTTGAGGTAAAAACAATATCAAGTATATGGACTTTGTGTCCATAGAGATGGGCATGATAATGGTCATCTATATGATTGATCATTCATAATAATATGTATGCCTTTCATGATCTTCGAGAATGAGAATTATTCCTATCTAATCCTAGGCATATTAAACAACATTTCTGGTGTATCTTATTGGTCGACTAAGAAGGACTTCATGACAAAAGAAATATAGCTACAATGGCTTAAAGAATCATGTGCTCGACAATACAATTTTCCTACCATCAATATACTAGAATCATGGATTATTTACATGGACATCTACAATACAAACAACAACAATCTAGAGGTTTTCAAGAGCCTTGCAATATTAAGAGCCAATATTTGCAAGCTTATAGGATGCACAATTAATAAGGTCCAATTCTACAATAACTTTATAATCTGCAAGATTAAAGATACTAGATCAAATTTATGGAAGCACTACAAGTTCAAGGTCTTAAAAGATGGTATTTAGATAAATATGTTAAGAGCCATTGAAAACCTTGGTAAGCCATTCTTTTTCAAGCTTATACAAGAAACAATCAAGTATGCTAACAAAATGAGGGATGAAAATGGCCTCATATATGCCAGCAAGACCATACTTTGGTATGGTATATTGCTTGATATGATTGGTAAGAAAAATATCAAATAATTCTTGCACAAATTATAGTTGATTGTGGCCAAGTATAAAGTTCATTTTTATAGTGAAGTTGAGCCATTTTTTTGTTTACATGAATAATCTGATTATTGATCTATAATAATAAAAATAAATAATAAATAATTATATTACTAAACAATGAATTAATAATCTCTTTTATCTTATGAATGCATGCTTCTATTCTTGATAGCTTAATAAAATTATTAATAAATTTGTCAAAAAATTTGGATATAATGGAAGATTAAGTATAGATTTGATGATCTTAGCAATTGTTTAACTTTCTTGTACTTGTAGTATTAACATGAGTTTCATCTATTTAATTTTTGATAAATTTTTGTATTTGTTTGTTGCAATGAATATGAAGTCCTCCAATAAGGTGGACAAGTATAATGTACATATATATTTATTCCAATAATTACTTATATGACTAAGTAGAAGTAACTAAAAATAGAATAATTTCATAATATTTTTTATAATAACTTCTTGAAAGCTTTATAGATGCTACTTTGATTTTACAAGTGTTTGTAATTAATTAATAAACTAGAAACTTGGTCAACAAGTTAGCCACGTATGAAATGTGTTAATAGCTTGTGGAATAAGCTAATTATATGGCCCACATATAGATAACTTAATTTGCAAGTTAAGACATGTGTGTAATAAAGTCAACAAGTGTTGGAGATTTTATAGCACATTGCTACATAGCTTCAAGTTAGAGTATATATGGAGGCAAGAATGAATCATTCTTCACTCTTGTCAATGCCTTCATAGTCCTTAAATTTGTTTCAATACTTTTCAATCTTCTTCTATTTGGCCAAAACTATTCTAATTCAATATTATATCATCTTTGAGTGATTATTTAGTCTTTTTGAATGAAACAAGAATATATTGACTTTTTTAGTTCTTTGAAATTCATGTCCTTGACAACAAAGAAGGCTTGCATGGCAAATGATTTGATTAATTTAATTGTTTGAATTAAGAGAAGTACAATTTTGCAAACATTGCAAAGTGTACAAACTATTTAAATGTGAATTTGATCAATGAATATCACATTGTGTGTGATACACACTAGGCTCTCATGTCCAAATATATCACTTCACAAAATAGATATACACTAATTAGGGATATCTGTGAAGCTTTCTACTCTGCATGACTTTAGCAGGAACCTTGAATCTCAGCCTCGCACTCCGACGTCACACCTCAACTCTGCAGTCCCCATGGCGAGGATGGCTCCGAATCCCTTTACCTGGCGGGTCCCAGGTTGCGTTCGTCGGAGCTTGTACGAGAATACCTACCTCGGTCGTGAAACGTCGTCCAAAAATCCAACGAATCCATGCAATCACGCACCTTCCCCTCCGTTTTGAAAGCTTCGGAAAATTGGGTTTAGCGCCAATCGACGGCAGATTGATGTAGTTGAGTGTAGTAATCTCGGATTCATTTCAACTTCGTAATGTTAATTTCCGATGCGCTGAAGGAGATGGTGTTTTCTGTGTGAAATTCGGATTGATGTAAGTGGAAGGATTGTAGAAATTGCCCTCTCGGATAACACCGTGCTCTTTTAGATAGGCCTCGGCAGGTGATATGGCTGCAAAATGTGGTCGTGAAGAATTTTGGTAGTTTACCAGTCTGAATTGCATTTTCAGACTGTCCTTCGATGTTCTGGTGTCAATTTAGTAAATCATACTGCAGTTGCTGTCATCTTATCACTTTTTTTTTGAGGTTTGTTATTTTTTTTTAATCCTTGGAGGTGGTGTAGAGTTGTCAAATCCTCCTGAAGGAAGTAATAGCAAGCAGTTGCGAAGAGGCGAAGAGTTCACTCGGGCCGGAGTGTTGTGAAATTGGTTTTGGAGATTGTGTATTGTTGAAGTCACGACGCAAGAGGGAATGCAATCGATACAATGGCTGCGTATTCAACTTCCTCATCGAGCTCCCTTCTTTTGACAGCACGGATTTCTCCCTCTCCAGAATTATTTGCGAGCAGAGGAGGGCGCAATGCTTCCTTGACCAATGCTCGCGGTCGTGGCGCCCATTTGAGGATGCTAGTGTTGCCTTCTAAGCTAAGGCGGCCTGGTGTTCAACTCAAAGGACAGCGAGAAAGTACTTTGATTGCTAATGCCTCTACAACCTCAGTGCAAGGTATTGCGTTATGGCTAAGTTTTGTATCATTACGTGGCTTTCGGAAGGATAAATAGTCTGTATCACCATACAATCTCAGTTCTTATCCCTAATTATTCGCTGCGGATCCAGACAACTTTCTTTCTACATGGATGACTTACATTTGCGGATACTCCCTTAGTGTGGCAAGCTGAAGGCCGTATTCGATTCGACAAGCAACGTCTGGGATCTGAGTAACATTTTTCTTGAGTCAAGTAATGAGGATTATGTAGCACGAATTGAGAAAGCAACTTTTTGAAGCACATATCTTCGTCTTTTTATGATGCAATGTAAGAACTCAATTGTGGAAATGGGTGTCGCAGGTCTGGATGCAGATGTGGAGGCTCGTATTTCATTAGCAGCCAGCACCGGTCGATTAGATCTTAGTGATTGTGGTATGCTTTCATTTCGTGTAATTACTGTCTGTATTTAAAACTAGTTCGAACTAAGTGCAGAATATTCTCATGTGTGAATTTTATATTATTGATTCTTAAAGTAGTTCAATTTTCAAGCTTGCAGTATCCAAAGTCAACGAGGTTAGACTGCCCCTAAGAAACCTTCAGCGCTGGTGACTTGAAATGTGTCATATTATGTCGAGAGAAACACGTCGTATAAATCGGAGTTTTAGTATCGCAACCTCAAATTCTATAGCTCGTGGTGAATTTCTGTTAAAATCAACGTGCTCCTGTAGGTCTTGAGGAAGTACCTCCCCGGGTGTGGGAGATTGAGGACCTTGTTGATCTCTCCCTCGCTGGTAACAGGATTACCTCTTTGCCAGCAGACATCAAAAACCTGCGAGCTGTATGACCCTCCAACTCTCTGCTTTTTTTTTTTTTTTTTTTTTTGTGTACAATAGTATCACTTTCTCACAACTTTCTTTTTTAAAGTTTTACGTACTTGGGCCATATCAATAGTTGCAGATTCGTACTATGGCAATAAGGGGTATGTTGATGCGAGTGACTACCTATCACATATAGTATGCGGTGACTCTGCTATTTACTTGAGCCCTCACAATGTACCATATATCCTCTCGAATAGTCATTATGCCAAAATGTGTTTTCAACCAGCTCTTGAGATGTACGGTAATCATCAACTCATTTTAGCCGAATATAGATTCATCTCTCTCAAGCGGGAACTATTAATCTACGAGTCAGTCGTGTCCTGTGTTGTGTACTGCTTTGAATATCAGCTGGAACTGTGATTGCGAACAGCTGCGCAGGCTGGGCCTAGCTGGTAATTCGCTGAAAGAGCTGCCACAAGGAATAGGGAATCTGCAACAGCTTGAGGGTTTATGGATTCATGGAAACAATCTTCAATCATTGCCTCCACAGGTTTGCAGCCATGGTTCTTCTTCCTAGAAAGTTCGTTTATCTTTACAGATGCTAAATCGATCAGATTTTTAAAAACATCTGCACAACCCAATTTCCACTGATCTAAACCTGTTGAAGAAGATGGTAGTCTTCTTAGCACTAGCGAGAGCCCTACCATCGGACGGTTCAGCGCATTAAATCGATGATGTGTGATTACAGATAGGAGAGCTAAAACAGCTGAAGATGCTGGCACTTGCAGGAAACAAGCTAACCGAGCTTCCAGAATCTATTTCTGGCCTTACAAGTCTTCAAGTACGTTGCAGAAATGTGTCGTTTCCGTTCACGATAGTGTGTGTCTTTAGGAGAGCTACATTGACATCATTTAGGAGGTTTGATCTGTTTTCACTATGCACGACAGTTTCCCATTTTTTCCTCATATTCGTTGGATTGCAATATGCAGTAACGAGCTAGATTTTTGTGTACTAGATTCTCTCAGTTGCGGGCAACAAATTGCGGGGGCTCCCATCCGGTAGGTTTCTTTCCACCTCTGCATCACTCTCTAGATTCTGATCCTTGTTTACAATTTTCATTCGGAAGGTTTTGCTTGTCTTTTTCATGCCCTGGCCACTTGCTCTTGAGTGTAAGTTGTACCTCATTCACTTTTCACTATCTTCTAGATAGTAATCTGTATAATCAAAACATGATGGTGGCAGGCATTGGAAATCTGAAAGCGTTGACTATTCTAGCAGTGTATGGGAACGCCTTACTTAGTCTTCCCGAAAACTTGACAAAGCTTACATGCTTACAAGACCTTTGGCTTCAGGTTGGTGGAACTTGACAACATTTCTGAGAGTCGATACTTACACATCAACTTCACACAAACTCGCAGTATCTTTTATTCCTGACATGAAACATATGCGGAAGCCCTCTGAGCTACAGTAACGAATTCCTTCGTTTAACACAAGCACTTTCATTATGTAACATCTGGATCCTGCAAAGGCTAGTATTATTGATTTACTTTTTGTGTTATGCATATATTATGCGTCAATCTTTCTTACATTGATCTCACGCTGTTTCGAAACCTAGTCGAGTTCTTTTGAAAAAGAACACGGACCTGCGCTAATTACATTTTGAGCAACAATACAATAGGACATGTGCGGCTCAGATGATTGATAAGTGGTATATCAGGGCAACGAGCTTGAGGCGCTTCCCGAATCATGGGGAAGAATGTGCTCATTGAAGCAGTTGTCTTTGGCTGACAACCGACTTGAAGCTCTTCCTGAATCTATTGGAGATCTTCAATCGTTAGAAACTCTTTGGATGTAGGTAATATCTCCACCTTTACTTATTATGGCTCACTGTGTATGGACAGCTCCGTGTATTTGCTGTTAATGCTCGTTAAAAAGAAAGTATGCCCGGCTCTAACTGGATGCCACGTTCTTCCAATCATCAGATATTGCAACAAGCTCAAAACATTACCTGAGAGTCTTGCAGCACTGAAAAAACTTCAATACATATGGGCAGAGGTAGGTCGCTGTTGCCTAAATCATCTGCTCAGTCCTTATCCTAGCTTGCAAGGTCCGTTGATCACTTCAGCAGTGCTTATAGTCGACTATGTCAATTTGAAACTTATTATGGCTTGCCTGGTATTTGAAGCTTGTGCTTATAGTCGACAATGTCAATTTGTGATATAAATTGAATTTTACAGCTCGCGAACACGGCTGATAACGGTAGGTCGGATCCTCCTCTGTGGTTAGGGGTTGATTTAGAGCAGTTTGTGATTTCTACGGCCCTGGATGTGCAGACTGTAGATTACATCAGTTGGCATGTGTATCTGAACATGTTCTGGCACCTACAGGGAAATCCTCTGGAAGGTGAACCTCTTCGGGAATCGTTGGCATTGCTTGCTGGCGTAAAAGCTCTGGGTATCAGCTCTAATGTGGTAATATCTGGACAAGCATTTGGATTTTGGATACTCTTTTCCTGCCTAGGACAGGTTTGGTAGCTTCTGAATAATCATCGGAAACGAATTTGAACTAATGGGATTTTGGTAAAGCTGAAATAGCTTTCCAATGTTAGTGTGTATTCATTCACACTTTTGGGTTAAGGCATGTGTTATGCTGAAGTCTTCACGATAGCTCTCACGCGTTTTCTATTATAAAGAATTTTTTAATTCTTTACTTAGCTTAAATTCGAGTTCATGAAATCTACCTTGCAGATCTTTCCAAGTGCGATGCCAGAATCAATGGAGAAGGCACTGTCTCTTTCAGAAATTAGTGGATCCGGTGACGCATTGGAGCGTGGAGGTTACTTTAAGGTACCTTAGGGTGCTCGTTCAGTTTCTGATAAGATGATGCAGTCCTGCTTGAATTAGATTCTGATACATCTGACGTGAATGTTTGGAATCGAAGATCTTATCTTTACGCTAAACACGTTACGCTTAACAAGTCAAGACAATAAATTCCAAAGCAGAGTATAGAGAGTTTCACTAAGAATGAAAGGAGCAGGAACACCTTTACACATGATAAAGGTAACAATTCACTATATGAATGTATATTCATAACATGACATTCTACGCCTCTTGTTGGACTAGTATTTACGAAACGAACAGTCTAGACACAACTGATGAATTTCATTAAGTGTATCAGCTTCAACAATGGAACTTGGGAAAGAAAGCAGACACTGTGATTGTGGCCTTTGGTAGCGCCCCAGCTGTTCCCAACTGGTGCGCCTTCTTAACATCTCAGCTTCGTTAACGTTGACATATGAGTTAGTGGTGTGGGTCGAGCTAGTGTGGAGTTGAAATAAAATTCAATTGTCCCAGCTCATCGAGGATAAACTTCTGTTAAGCAATTGTTAGTTTGTCGAGGGATTTCAATGCATGACATGTTCAATGGACATGCTAGTTATTCTCTCAAACTCTGCCTTTATATGCTCAAACCTGCTCCTCCTCATCTGTGGAGGACATTTCATTTCCCTCAATTGTACGCACTCCTTGACATTGCGTGGAACATTGGAGCAGGGCTGGCTTGCTGTCAAAGGTTAAGGCAGAGATGAAGAGGAAACAAGCTACGTCAACCTTCGATATTTTGTTTGTTGTTGACAGCAAGAGGTCTTGGTATACACATGAAGATAATGTGGAACTCGAAAACTATGCGGAGTCGTCTACCAGTTCAGGGAGCGGAAATGTTTCTTCTGGAATGGGGAATTACTACAGAAGAGAACTGGAGGTTGCAGTTAAACCGTACAGGCGGGTGATAATGCTTGGCGATTCCATGGGCGCTAGTGCGGCGCTTATGTTTTCTCCATTGGCAACAGCAGTAATCGCTTTTTGTCCACAGGTACAGCAAGCCAAATCATCATTATCACAATCTGCACAAGTCCAAAGTTTGGCATTTCTAAAAACCGGAGATGAGATGAGTGTTTCCTCTCCCTTAATCTAGCGCTGGATCAAAGAAATACTTTTAACTTCTAATCACTTCCTTTGTTATTTTGTGCTTTATGATTCGTGAGTTCTCTGTGAGGATGCTCGTGTTACTCTGGGACATTCGTAGTGACTCACTCCACTACATCTTTTGCCAAACATGATGGAAACGGATTGAAATTGACAGATTTTCCTTTTTTATTTTGTTTTTTTTGCTTTTGTATTTGGCAGGTCGACTTGAGCACTTCTTCTATCAGGCCAGGCCATTCTTATTCATGGCTTAAAATCTTCAAGGACGAGCTCTTAAGTGCTGTATCATTGTCATCTGCAAGAATCATTGTCCACTCGGGTACATGGTCACATGATGTCAATCAGGCGAAACTACTACCCTCTGACAAGGTTACCAAAACGGCCCCTTTCCCTTTTTTTTTTTTTGCCTTTCTTTTTTTTATTTCCCTTGGAGCCCAGTTGAGGGCTATGCCAACTCATACATCAACTTTGAAGTGATATTGACAATTCCAAGTTAGTTAATGAAATGCTAGTGCAAGAAGATGCTTGTGGTATATATCCGTTTTCTCTTAAGTAACGCCCTCTTCCACTTGAATGTTCGTAGGTGAACCTGAAGATCCACGATGTAAACGACCACCGTCTAGCACTGGCACTCAACACACAGAACCAGCTCCTAAATATCGTTTTGCATGAGATACAGGAGTGTAATCTTACGGTACAATAGTAATCATCATCATCATCATCATTAGATTGACAGTAAGAAATACAACCATTAATCATGGCTCAGACAAGTCAATTTTAAACACTCTGTTCCCACGTATTACCCCAAAAATTGTTCAATAAAACGCTGCTGCTAAATTCCCCTCACAGTTCAACATTCTCTGCCACGAAGCTCAGGCATGATTTCCTTGGTCGGTTTCACCGAAATTACTCTGGACAGAATCGACTTTCTTTGAAACCTGAACTCCATTTCAGTGGAGCCAAGAGGAAGATGGAACAGGCTTCAAGGATGATCAAGTTTCCTGTATACTAAATTTAGGCTCGAGGAGTCCAAGCCTGTGTGTTGATCAGCTATTCAGGGCGTAGAATGCTATAATGAGGCTTGGAGTTTGTAGCCAACTTGTTTTGAGCTAGTGTCTGTATCTTGGTTCATCCTGTCTCTCCATGGTAATTGGGGTATCCATGATTGGAGAGATTCCATGGCAGGCTGGACTACACCACCCAAAGCCAGAGACGTGAATCACAGTTTAGTTATTTCAATTCTGACGCATCGATTCAGGCTGGACCCGGTTCCGGGATTTCATCACGTTAGTGTGCAGATTCGCACCATTAGCAATGGATTTCTATTGGTCATGAGTCTTTGCATTTCGGATCAGATTTCCCATCGAGGTTTTATTCTGAAACCGAGCCAACCAACCGACGTCACTGTGCCACAAGTGGACGAGAATGACCGCAGTAATAACAGCTAAATGTTATCAAGGGTGGATCCTCCTTTTGGAAGCGCCTTGTGGCGGTTCTGGCCCCAGACGTCACGCTGCGAAGTGCAACCAGCCTGTGACTATGAAGGAAAAAAAAAAAAAAAAAAAAAAAAAAAAAATCACAGGAGAGATCATCCACGCAACACTCACCAACACAGGCTGAAAATATCCTCCTCCTCCACCTCCTCCAAGAAGTTTGTGATGTGATTCGGAGCCGTTAAGGGTGCAGCAAATGGTCACACAAAAGCAAAATGTAAGTAGCATGACCCTTTTGCCTTACGACACATTAGGGTTTTCCTTGGCTGTTGTAACTTGAGCAAACATATCAGTGATCGATCTTTAGTATTGTTGTTGTAATTGTCACTACTAGAATCCCTGTTTCACTGCCCTACAGTCAGCCCCCCTGCTGACATCTAACAATGTTATTTCACCCATCTCCCTTGGTCTAAAACTGATGCCTATCCATCCACGTTCTACCCATTTTCCCCATGCAAATTATGCCATCACATTTTGTCAGGTTGCTGAGAAGCTTGATGTGTAGGTGGTAGGTGGGTTGTGTGGGGGCCACTTTGCATGTGGACTATTGTGCACCTTGATCTACCTCTGAGTTGAATCAGCATTTCACCACATCCAGCGGTTGGTTTGAAAAGGGGAAGGGTACATTGATCCAGTGGAGAAGGCATGCATGCGAAGGAAGAGAGGGAGGGAGGGCAGTGAAGATATCAACCCTATCATTCCAAACATGTGAAGGTGCTGCCTTTACTCAAAGCCCATATTAATGGATGAGGTGGATTCCTCCCTGGTTGGAAAACTCCATGGCTCTGGGAGTTCTACTTTTCCTCCACACCTTTTTAGGAGTTCTTTTTCCAGCTCCCCCTTTCATGAGCCACTCACATGCCACTGTCCCTAGAGCATCCCAAAAGCAGACTGGGAGCTAGAAGAGAGAGAGAGAGAGAGAGAGAGAGAGAAAAATAAAAGAAAAAAAGAAAAGGGTATATCTTCTCCCACTCCCTTGAAAGCCTGGATGGTTCCCAACCTTGAATTCCTAGCTGAGCTACAAGTGTGTGTGTGTGTGTGTGTTGTTTGTGTGTTTTATTTTTATTTTTATTTTTAAAATCTATTCCAAGTATTCAGAGCATTTTCTGTACTGCCAAATCCTGCAAAACAGCAACTTCAGAATGCAAACTAATAATGTAATTAATATTTATAAAAGCAAACCAAAAATGTGGTTTCATTCTATGGCACCTAGAGTGCAAGCAACTAGGTGCCAATCCACATTTGTGATCTTTGCAGACATCTTTAATTTTGTGATGCACTGACCTTGGGAACATGGTGAAAGAATAAAATCCTTGAATAATGGATACAGAGATAACTTATAAAACATGCAACAACACAACCCAACAAGTAAAGTGACTCAATAGCCCTGGAAAAACACTCACATGTTTTGCACTGGTGCTCTCTTCACATTGATGGAATGTTGTGATTCACAGAATCAATTGACTTGCCAGACTTTGACCCCCCCCCCACCCAAAAAAAAAAAAACCACAGAGAAAAAAGAAAGAAACATCTCTAGTGCTCCAATCAGCAACTAGGCTGTGTTTTAATTTTTAATTTTTTTAAAAAACGTGCACTTTGTATTGTCCACTGAAACTACTCAAGATTCTTCCAACAAAAAGGCACTTTTGAAGATATTTTAAAAAATATTACTATTTTATTTTATTTGAGGAGGGATGCATCTAATATTTGTGTGGCAACTGATAGAAGAGGAGGATAAAGATAACAACATGATCCTCTATATTGAGAATCTTAACTTCCAAAGTTACAAGATGGTTTTTACATGTGGATGGAGGAGTTGGCTTGATTGGTTGTTAATGGATTGTTTTATTGAATAATTCTTTGAGATATTACAAACGTTTTTGGTGAAGATCTCCCTAATCACATAAATAGGCATGGGTAGATAATCTCCATGAAAAAACACAAAGAGCATCATTCCAATCCACAAAAATCTACTTTGAAATCAATAGAATATTCCTCTTCTCCACCACACTCTTTGGTTTTTGTTATGCATTCCCACCATTATAAGGAAAGATGGTTCTTTTCCACAATCTGGATTGGGCAATTAAAATCTCACTAAATTCATTAAAAATTTCATATCATTTCCCACCATGGAAATAAAAATATCTTCTTTTTCTTCTTTTTAATTATGCATTGTATTTTTTGTTTACCACCATCTAAACCAATAAACTCCTTTTATTTTACCACTTCACCATTCACATGGGAACGTCAATTACTGACCTCAACATCAAACAATAAGAAAAATCTCATATACATTCGTAATTCACATGACACATGGATGGATACTATTACTTTTATTATTATTATTATTAACAACAACAACAACATGGAATGGGAACGAGTTTGCTTCCTAAAACGAAAACACAATGAAGACCTCAACGACGACGAAGAACGACATCAACGAAGAACAACATCAACGAAGAACGACATCAACGAAGAACGACATCGATGAAGGACGACGACGGTGAAGACAACGAAGAATGACAACGTGAACGACGAAGGACGACGACGACGACGGTGAAGACAACGAAGAATGACAACGTGAACGACGAAGGACGACGACGACGACGACGACGAGAGGCAGGCAGGCAGGGCGGCGGTGCTGTGGCGGTGGAGTAAGGGCTGCTGCGGGTGATGCTGCTGCTGGTGATGCATAGCGAGTGAGAGAGAGTGCTGGTGCTGGTGCTGGACCCATGAGAGCGGCAGCGCGGTATGGCATTGCATTGCATTGCAGCATTAATGCAGCAGCACCACCACCATCAGGGGGAGGGAGGGAGAAAGAGAGGGAGTGGAGGGATCGCACCGCAGGGATCGCACCACCCGTGCGATCGGGGCCCCTTTTGCTTGCTCTTTTTTGCTACTTTCCTGTCCTTTCCACACTACTGTTGTTGTTGTTTGTTGGTTGTTGTAGCCTCGCCACTAGCATCTACATCCTACATCATACACTACTTCAGCCTTGGCTTGATTTGGCCTCGCCACTAGCATCTACATCCTACATCATACACTACTTCAGCCTTGGCTTGATTTGGCTTGGCTGGGCCTGCCTTGCCTGCTTGCTTGCTGCTACATAGACCTCCACATCCATCGCACTTCTTCTCACGCCCTTCCCTCTCCCTCTCCCTCCTCGTTCTGCACTTTCCTGTCCAACCGATCGCTTCAGGATTGCGCTTCGAAATCCCACACAAGACCCACTCAACGTCCCCAGGTGGGATTCTTCCCACAATTGCTGAAAATGTCTTGTAGCCGCAGGGAGAGGGGGAGAGTTGGGGTGGGAGTGAGTTGCTGCTTTGCGGTGTTTGTGTGTGACGCGGGTCGTATTTTCGGAAGTGTAGTTCGCTGGAGATAAGTGTTGTAGCGGTGGTGTCTAAATTGGGATGATGGGCGTTATTTTTGGGTTGATGTGATGTTGAGTGGTTTTTGCGCATTGGGTCTTGGTGGTGCGTAGAACTGACTCCCTTTTACTTTGCTTGCTTAGGTGGGCAATCCTTGAGTTGTCGGTTTGAGTGGACTGGAACTTTCGCGTTTGGAATTAAACATAGATTTCTCATGTACTTTTCCCTTGGATCTTCCTGACTGTTGTAGAATTGACAGAGAACTGGTCGTTTCCACCCCTTATACTGTTATGAAAAAACAGAAAAAGATACAGAAAAAGTGTACATGACGTTTCAAGTTAAGAAATCGTTCACTTGAAGGGAACGTCGATTTTTCTCCACCGTCTGCCTCTATATAACTCCCATCAGCATCTGTGCGAGAAGACACACGACATAGCTTCTTCTATATAGAAATAGGGAGAGTGAACAGAGAATAGAAGGCAGAACCCAGAAGTTGTCGCCACAGTGCGAGAGTAGACAACTGATACAAGATGAAGAAAGTTCGCGACAGACTGTATATAGGAAACATTAAGGATGCCGCCGAAGTTTTGACATCAGCTCATCCTCCTGTGACGCACATGTTATCTCTGATTACGCCCAACATGGACCCGCTGGAGTTCAAGAAGCCCACCTCAGACGAAGACAGCCCTAGAATTCTCAATGTCGCAAACGTCGAACTTGACAAGCTCGTGAAGAAAATTGTTCCCATCCGTGACATCGAATCACAGAACTTGTTGGATCACCTCGAGGGTTGCCTCGACTTTATTGAGCAGGGCAGGGATAATGGCAGTATTCTGGTTCATTGCGTTGCAGGAGTCTCTCGTAGGCAAGTCCTCAAACTTACTCTATCTTATTACTTCTATATTGTGGACTTCACTATGGTCTTTCGCGCATATATGAATATCAGTAGGGAATTATTACGTTTGTTATTATCATCAGCATCATCATCATCATCATCATGTCTTGCTTGTCTTATTATCCTTCCCGTTCAATTACAATGGATACATTTGTGTTAGAGAAGTAGTGTGATACATGTAAAGGCTCTCTACTTACCATGTTCCTACTAGGCATAATGGAACTTCGTAAGAGGATTCTTATCATGTACTGTTTAGTTCTCTTCTCTACTGTTGGTGCTCCCTTGACATTGTGCAAGAACTCTTTGTTTTAAGTTGTTTGACATTGTGATGTTTTTGAATCATATAGTGCGGCTGTCATCACTGCATACCTGATGCGATTGGATAGACTTTCATTGGATGGTTAGTTCTTCTCTACCTATTTTCTTAGTCTTCTTCTTCTACTTCTTCCTTTGTGTACAATCACTTTTCTTTCAGAAGTTCAAAACGCCAGCGTAGTAGTGAGCAGATTATTAAATGATTTTTCACAGTTCGTTGCCATAGTATTCAACTAGTCTCAATGTGCAGTGTGACGATTTTTCTCAGTAGACGTTGGTGAAAACGTTTCTTTGTCAATTTCAGAAGCACTAGCATCCTTGCAGCAAGTGAGCAGTAAAGTCTACCCAAATTGTGGGTTTATGCAACAGGTACTTCACGACATTTATTTTTCAGATTTATGTGCTTGTAGCCTTGTAGTGCGTAGGGCATGCTATTATATTAAAAGCCGTGTATATTGGTATTACTTGGGTTTGTTTGCATGAATACTAGCTTGGTTCTTTTGAAAAAACGCATCATAACTTCATGTGATTTCTTGATCTCCTAAATTTTGTAAAGTTCTGTCCAGCTACAACTCTTCGAAGAAATGGGCTACGTTGTCGATAGGAAAAATCTGTCTTTCAAGAGGTTTCACCTTGAAAATCTTGGTGAGTATATTTGACCATCTTGTTTTAATAATAGATACGGCAAGTAGCTCTTCTTGCTTCAGTTAAACTGGAGTAAGATATTAATAGGAATTTTCGCGATCCAGGAGAAGCTTTTTGGAGGGGGGAGAAAATCGAAAATCCTCGTTATGCTGCCGATCCTGGGGTCAGTGCAAATGAGTTTGAGGAAGATGTTGGGGTTTCTTCCTCACAGGTCAGTGCGCTATACTCTTGCAAAAAGTGCAAGCGAGTGGTGGCGTGTCAAGAGAATGTGATCTCTCATGGACCCGCTTCTGGTGAGAGCCCTTCAAGGTGGAGACGGCGAGGTGCCCGACGTTGGGGTGGAGACCATGATGACCCAGCTTGTACATCCATTTTTGTTGAGCCCATGCAGTGGATGAATCTAGGTAGCGGTTTCTCTTTTTTTTCCTTCAAATATATATGAACTGTCTCTAACCTCAATTAATCTTATGTTACCTATATTCATTATTTGTTTGCTGGTAGTTGGCGTGACCCTCATCACAGAGTTTGTAACGTCGAGCATTTAAGATACACGTAAGAGTTATTATTTTGTTTTAACTCCCACGTTGTTGGGGAAAACAGGTCAAGATGGAGATGGAGTATACGAAGGGAAACTTCAATGTTTGAATTGTGAGTCACGGTTGGGAAACTTCAACTGGGCAGGTATTCCTTGCAGCTGCGGCAAACATGTCAAGCCAGCTTTTCAACTGCACAAGTGCAACATAGATTCGTCCCTTACGGCGTAAGATTTCCCCTCCTGATCTATATCTGTTTCTGTTTCTGATTGTTTTTTATTTCTATTTCTATTTCTTTAGTGATTTCCCTTGGTTGGTCGGTTCGGGTTTGATATAACTTAGTAGAAGCTCTCATCTTTTCAAGACATTTTACAGTTATTAACTAGCACAACTCTACTGCGTTCCGAGACATAGCAGTTTTACTTATCTACTTGAAGGGATACACTCTTTGAGTATTTGGTCGTTCGACTTATTTTTATGAATTAGGTTCTGATTCATTCATTATCTTATGCTCACATTTTGCTCGTAAACACCACGCAGGGTCGAGGCGGACGCATCTGATTCCGAACCAATGCGATACTCATATTCCTCTGATTCCAGTAGTTTTACTGCAACTCGACACTGTGGCCACCTGTTGGTTTAAGAAGGAATGGTATAAGGTTTTCGTCAAGTGGGATCAAGGACCAAGAAGGGATCTAGAGGTTCATTAATCATATTGGCGGCGTGAAATTTAAAAAAAAAAAAAGAAAAAAGAAAGAAAAGAGAACTGAAACCTTTGCACCTGGTTCACGAGAGAAAACAACTGTATTTTTTTTTTACTCCTAGCCACTGAATGTCAAGGAGTCCTGACTCAGACGGCTTGGAAGTATGTGCGTGAGAGTCGTGAGTGTGAATTATTGTTTTGGCCAACATCGTCAATTTGCACAAAAAAATGTATTTGGTGTAAAGGTAACCTTGCAGATTCCCCGGGGCTAATAGCTGTTGTACAAAATGATTCTCAAGTTTTGATAATATATTTCCAAGCTTGCCAATAAGTGTACAAGCTTGTGTTTTTTATTTGGAGAACTACAGTTGGGTCTTCGCAGGATTGATGCAGTCTTCTTTGTTGACTATCTTTCTTGGATTCATGTCGTGCTAGAAGTTAAAATTTTGATAAGGATTTTTTGGTTTTGATTGTGCAGAACCTGTGTAGTCATATCTAAGCTTAAGAAATTGGTTCAAGGCAATCAGCAGATTGGGCAAAGTAAATTAGTGTTTTCATGGAGTGGTTCACTCTTTATTATAGAATCGATTTTATTAATTTATCATTTGAATTCAAAAAAGTATTTGTCATTCGTGAGTAGTGTTTGGATAACTCCTTTTGATATAAAGCGATTCCAAAGTGTAAATATGAAACAATAGCCTTGATGTGTCATATGTGCATCTCAGGCAGATTATATGTCACCATTAAAGACATTGAGCTAAATTTAATGTAGATGTGTATACATTTTACAACATGTTTTTTTGATTTTTTTGGCTATGTTGGATATTAATTGACAATCTTAACAAGAAATATCAAGTTACCAACCCTTGCAAAAATGCCGAAACACAGTCCAAAATACTTTCAATAATTGTATGACAAAATCACTATGGTGAACGAAACATATTGCTTAATGAACTAATGTGAATTTCTGAACTTTTTAATTGAACATTTAAGAATAAATCTAATGGTTTTTTTGATACATAGTTCTACAAAATTGTGGTCACTTTTCAAACAACACATTCCACAAGCCATCAAGTATGACCCAAGTCAGCTTCCTACTAAGTAAGCAATCAATGACTTGACAAAATAACTTTCTCTTTCTTTATGTATATATGTGTATATATATATATATATATATATATATATAAGGAAATAATAAAGCAAGCCAAACTTTTATTAAATCAACCTATATATTTAACCATTGTACTCTTTCAACCATGTCCCATTTCCAACCACTTCCCTATTTCCAACCATCGCCTCCATTCCCGATGTTCTCAATTCCTAACCATTGTCTTTAGCAACAGCTTGGAATATGGATGGGTGGGAACATGTAGGAACATAGATGGGGTTGCAATGTGCAATGATGGTTAAGATAGAGTGAGTCACTTCAATAAAAAATTTAGTCACTTTATCATCTCTCTCTCTCTCTCTCTATATATATATATATATATATTCCTTTCTTCTCATGAATATATATATATATATATATATATATATATATACACACTTAAATACATACACACACTAAAAAAAAATCAATGAAAAGAATTTTTTGTATTAATGTATTAAATGAAAGTCTTGCAAACATAGCTAATAAGAAGTCCATCAACATGGTGATTTCCCAACAACAGCATAATTTTGGGTAATTTTGAAATTAGATGTTAAGCAAATTTTATTAGAATTCCAAAGCCTCAGCCTACAAGAGCTACGAGATATCCAAACACAATACCCACCTAAAAGCATAGAATGACTCAAGAAAGTCGTTTTCAATATCAACTATAATGCTGACAAACAGATGCCGTCAGTTTGGTGTTTCAAAGTGATCCAATTCCACGCAACCAAGAATCATTTGAGCTTGTATGATCTACCTACGGAAAAATCTGCTCAATTTGATGCTCGAATCCATCTCCATCAGTCTAGTAGCAACGGATCACATTATTGAAGAAAAGAAGTCTAAAAGCTACAAATACTTAGCATCAGCAAGGATTGTACTCTAAAAGAAGTGTAAAGAAAGATGATTCTTACTTCCAACATCTTTTACTTATAAGTGGTAGTTTTCTTATCAACGAGGCAAATTCCATCCTTTTGATATTATATCCATTTCTACTTCATCCAACTAAATCCTAGGTGCCACCATAGTAACTTTCTTTAACTCTTTGCTATCTTTTGACTATTAGCAACATACTATGCTTAATCTCTATGTGCTTGTAACTAAGCAAGTACTTGTTGATCTTCAATACTCTCACTTTACTAATTTTCAAAAGGCTTTCAATTCTAATCTTTGTATCAACTCGTGATGTCTATCCTTCACTAATGCCTTTGTAAGCACATCAACAAGCATGTCATTTGTAGTACAATTCTTCATACCTATTATTCCATCTTCAATCTTCTCTTATATGAAATGATGTTAAACATCAATATGCTTGGTCCTTGAATGGTTTTCTTTTTCTTTTTCTTTTTCTTTTTCTTGGCAAATACAAGACATTCTTGATTATCACACATAATTAGAGTTACTTCTAATTGCACTAGACCAATGTCTTCTTAGAGTTGCCTTATCCAACATGCCTCTATTGCACAATGACTTACTGCCATGTACTTTGCTTCCATCATTGATCTTATAATGATAGATTGTCTCTTGTAATTCCATGAAATAGCTCCTACTCCAATGACGAAGACATATTCCATTGTGGATCTTCTATCATTTGCATCTCTAGTCCAAACTGCATCACAATAATCTTGCAAATCAATGTTCTTACCATGAAGACACAATTTGAAGTCCTTTATATCTTTTTCGTACCTCTATATCCTCTTTAATGTTGTCCAATGCAATAGTCTAGCTTTAAACATGTGTTGGCTTGTGCCTTACTACCACACCCATTGTATCTTTTTTAGTCCCAAATACCCACTCACAACCAACACTAGATCGATTTGCTAGAAGAGATGACAATTTCCATGTATCATTGTCTATAAGAGATTGGTACTCCTCTTCCATAGTCTTTTCCTTCTTGATTGCATCTTGGGACTTCAATGCATCATACAAAGATAACAGATCAGTAAGAAGAGCAACATTTGCATGTTCTTTACTTATTTGAGGAAAGATATGATCCTTTCACCATTCACCACATTGCCTTCTTTCTCTCAAAGGATATCTCCTTTCATTTGTTGAAGAAGATTCACCTTGTTGCACTCCATGTTCTTTTCCAACCTTCTTTTTTCTTAAACCTTGTCATTTCTCACTCAATGGTTGATATTCCTAATCATCATCATCATCACAGTCTTAAACATCTTCATTTCTTTCATTGTTGTTCCTAGCAATTATAGGAGCCTTCATCTTTTCAACATTCTTTGGCTTTTCAGCTTCATCATCTTCATTGTCTTCATCTTTTTGTTTCTTTGTTGAATTCAAAGATGTGTCCACAAACACGCCATTACTCTCACTTGGATTTATCTCCAAGTGCTCACAAGCACTCTTATGCTCAAAAAACTCAACATCATGACTTTTGATGATCTTCTTGGTTTCCAAGTACATTAGCCTATATGCCTTAGTACCTTCAAAACAACCAAGAAACACACACTTTGTACCTTTTGCATCAAGTTTGGACCTCATACAATCTGGTGTTTTTGCATATGCAATGCAATCAAAGGTTTCATATGGAAAATGCAAGGTTGTCTCCCACTCCAAGCTTCTTGTGGTGTCAATGATGCAAGAGCACTTGTTGGATACCTATTTCTTGTATACACTGCATTCACCATAGCTTTTGTCTAAAATTCATAGCCAAGGTTTTACGCATGAAGCATATTCCTTGTCATCTCTACAATGGTTCGATTTGACCTTTTAGCAACACTATTTTGTTATGGAGTATATAGAATTGTGGTTTGTCTAGTAATTTCTTCATTCTTCAATTAAACATCAAATTGCTTAGACATGTACTCACCTCCATTGTCTGTACATAGCACCTTCATCTTGCATTCACTTTGTTTCTCAACAAGTGCTTTAAACTCCTTAAACCTCCAAAAGCATTCACTCTTAGCTTTAAGAATGTAGATCCAAATCTTTCTTGAATAATCATCAATGAAAGTGAGAAAATACATTGATCCTCCAATATTTGTATTCTTCATAGGTCTATATACATCCAAATAGATAATCTCCAACAACTTGGTAGCATGTGTTGCTACATTCTTTGGAAATGAGGCCCTTTATTGTTTGCCTTGTATGCATCCTTTACATACAAGTTGTTTTACATTTTGGCTTATATTGCCAAGATCTAAGCCACTTACCATAGACTTGAGCTCTCTCATGCTCTTCACATTCAAATGGCCAAGGCGACGAAGCCATATAGTCAACTTATCTAATTTTGATGTAAATTCAGCAAATATGGCTATATCCACTCCATTCACCTTCTTACAAATGAGGTAGTACAAATTTCCCTCTTTCAAGCCTTTAAAGACCTTGTCTCTATTCAATGTTCTTACAAAACATCCATTCATGTCAAATTGAACTTTAAAACCTTCTATTGCAAATTTACTCACCGAAAGTAGATTTTGCTTCATCTCAGACACATGAAGGACGTTTTTGAATTTGATCCTATTGGTTTGTCCATTCACAACCACCTCCACCATAATAGAGCCAATTCCAATGGCTTCGCATGTACTACTATCTGCCAACCCCACATTTGATACTGAAATAGCCTCATAAGTGTCAAATGAACACTTATAAGGTGTCATATGCTTGGAACAACTTGAATCTACAATCCATCTTGATATAGCAGCTATAGAGGTTCCATTTGTTGTCGTGAATGCATAATCTTATCCTCCAAACTCATCTTGCACACTATTTACATTCTCTTTCTTTATCTTTTTGCTTTTGTAGCAATTTCGAGCAAAATGACCTACTTTGCCACAAATGAAGCAAGATTTGACATTACCTCGTTGATTTGAATAGTTACCTTATCTTGACGTGAGTAGAGTGCTGAATCTTCACTTTGAGGCTCCTTTTCTTTCTTCTTGGTTACTTCATGGGGAAGTCTTCTCGTCACATAATCCATTGTAAGCTCTTTTAGCTTAATGGACTCCAATGCCACAATAAGGTAGTTGTAGGATTCGGGAAGGCTCATCAACAAAGTCATAAGAATATCACTTTCTTCTAAAGGCTTGTCAACAATTGCTAGTTAGTTTGTAAGAGCCTTTACCTTATTGACATGAACCATGAAGTCTTCACCTTCCTCCATCTTGCAAGTGAAGAACTTCCTCTTTATATAAATGATGTTAGATAAGTTCTTGCTCTTATAGATGTTGCAAAGAGTCTTCCATGCTTTCGTTGGTCCTTTACAAGAGATAATATGGAAGAAATTGGTTTTATCCACATTGGTTGCAATTAATCCAAAAGCCTTCTTTTCACGACGTTTAAATTCCTTCTTCTCCTTCATATTGGCATCTATGCTTGGAGCCTCTTCACTTTCATCTACAATATCCCAAAGTTCCAAAATTGCCAACAAAAACTCTATTTTTACCTTCCAATGGTAGAAATTCTCACCTCTAAACTTCTCAATAACTCTCAATCCTTCACCTTCATTTGAAGCCATGTCTAAAAAAGAGTTGTATCAAAAAAAAGATTGTAAAAAGAAGTCTTAATGTTTTCAAAATCAGCAAGAAGGTTTTGCTGCCTTAAAAGCATAGAATCTTTCTTTGTGAACAAATTAGTGTTCTTACTCCCAAAAACACTCTCAACTTCACTTTTAAGACTTTTCACAAATTTGATGACCTATCTAAGTGTCTCAAATCTGATTTGTCACTCAAAAATCACTCTTATGCTCACAAATGACTTTTATACACCATTAGAGGCCTTTTAAGTACAATTAGCAACTTTAGGACATGAAACTATAAAGTTGGATCACCAAGGATCTATCTCAGCAATAGCACAATGCAAGTATTCTATAACTTTTCCTTAAGGTGGATAACCAAACACTAGCACCAAAAATGCTCTTAACCTCAAGTAAGAGCAAACCAAGATATAAATCTAGATTTGAATCTAAAAGTTAGGTACCTCTAAATCCTTACATTAGCAACAACAACTTAATCTAATCTACACATCAACAACCACTTCAAAGAACTTCAAAACACTCAAGCAAATATGAGTGGATCTATAACCTATTGAAGAAAAGAAGTCTAAAAGCTACAAACACTTAACATCAGCAAGGATTGTAGTCTAAGAAAAGTGTAGAAAAAGATAATTCTTACTTCCAACATCCTTTACTTATAAGTGCTGGTTTTCTTATCAACAAGGCAACTTCCATCCTTTTGATATTACATCCATTTCTACTTCATCCAACTAAATCTTAGATACTGTAATTTTCTATAACTCTTTGCTACCTTTTGATTATTAGCAACATACTATGCTTAATTTCTATGTGGTTATAACTAAGCAAGTACTTGCTAATCTTCAACATGCATCTAAAGACTGCAACAATAACCCTAATAGAGCGAAGAAACTAACCATCAAAATGGTGGGATGCAGTATCTCTTCTATGGACATCAATACATGAACCATAAGTTGCTGAATAATTTGAAGCTCTCGTGTTCCAATCCATGGGCAATGCCAAGATCGATGTAGCACAGCTGGTACTCTGACTGGTTCAAAGAGTGCATGCAGAGCTTCAAAAGCTGCTCCTACCCCTGATTCCTCTGCAGTGACCAGTGAAAGTACAATGTCATGTCCCAGGTTCTCTCCTATCGATCCAACACGAACAAGTAATCCTCCTCCTTTGACCAGCCTTCCTCCTTCCTGCTTAGCTCGATCCCTACAATGGTGCGGGAATGACCCCTGTGCTGGAAATACAAGGGAGAACGGTTGCTGAGGTAGATGGACTTACTGTCGGAACTGCCACTCTCCTCGCCGTTGAAATACTTCCAGATCCAATCGGTCATGTACTTGTGGTTGATTTCTACTCTGGATGAATGCGATTCATGCGGTCCCCCTGACTTACCCTTGTTCGGACTGGATTGTCTGCATGGCTAGTTGTGTGCAGGTAGTTCGAAAACGCGCTGTTCTTATGCTCTTCCATGCACGTGAGACATATGTCAGGATCGTCCGGGCTTTATCGTAAAAAGTGCAGTTCTTCCTTCTGATCGGGAAGAACGATGAGACGATGTTCTTCCGGTGAGTCCCTGGCTTCTTCTTCTTCTGCTGGGGGGGTAGGAGAACTCGGCTCATGGGATGGATTCGTATTGTCATCAGAGCGCCGGCTACTGCTGGACAATGATAGCCGACTGAAATTGTTCGACTCCTCGTCTTCGATACTACTACCTTGATAAATAGGTTTCTCTGAACGCGATTCCCCCTGGCCTTCCAAACAGTTCGTCCCTCGCTTACTAGGCGCGGTGCGGAAGTCTACAATACGTGCTAGCATTCCAAAGGAACGCATCACTGCGGCGCATTCTGTAGTTCCGATCCACTTCTTCGTGTCCCGAATTCGCCAATCGAAATAGTCCGCGCCCAGGACATCAAACCCTTTCAGCCACGCAATTTCCAGCCATTGCTGTATCGCAGCGAAGTTCGGCACGAAGCCCGCTCCGCCCATGAGAACTTCCTTGCACTCTGGATCCTGCGCAAGCATGTACGAGCTCAACATCTGAATATTACGCCATCCGCAGCCCCAGCCGAGGTCTTCATCAACCCTACTCTGGAAGTGCTCAGTGTATCCCGAAAGTGCGACCACAGAAGAACGCTCGTCATTTGATTCCAGACAACGTCGCAGCAACGTCATAATTGACACGCCGGCGTGCACAGAAGATTCGCGAATCTGTCTCAGAATCAAGTTCCGAGTGACCACCTCCAAATTCAATCGTTGTAATGCCTCCCTGTTCTGTTGGCAGCTACCTGCTCTTCCGTGCTTGCTCGGGATATCTGCATCGTTGCTACATGCCTTCATTCCCTCTTTCTGCTCCGACATTTACAACTCTCTACCTCATTTCGTATCCGATTGCATCTTTCCCATTGTTTGCAATTACTCCACATCAATTCCAGCAGGGAGGAAAAATAGTGTCAGTTCGGAGCTATACACAGCTTTCTCTTCTTCTTCTTCTTCTTCTGCTAACTTCCACATCCATCGATATCTTTCACTCTCTTCATTTGATAGCCAAAAAAATAAACTGTACTGGATTTACCCACCCTAAACAAGCTCTCTAAATTCACACCACAATCAAACTCAGGTAAACGAAACCCCGACACCCAGAAGTTACACCGACGCTCACACCCAGGTGCATGCACAGACTCGTTTGTGGAGGTCACAACCACCACGTCCGCCACCACCACCACACTTCTCACTGGTTCAAACCCATCAATCACGAAAACACGCTCATCGAAACAACACAACACCATCATCAGGCATTACAAGGACCCCACCCAACCCCACCCTTACCGTAAAGCGATCCAGAGAAGCTGCTGCAGGCAGGGTGCGACCAGAGTGGCCAAATTCGACACACAAGCATCAACCAGTCAGTCCTAAGACAAGACAAAGGGCGAACTTGACAGACAAGGAAAGAGGCGGAGCGGGACCAGAGCGAGAGGGGCGTGGCCACCAGGGGAAGGCACGCGCGCTGCTGCGGGTAGGTAAGCAGCAGCTGGCGCGCGACGCGTCCAGGCGTCGCGGGGCGCGCGGGACCTCGCTTTCCCGGCACCACCAACCAAGTGGAGCCAAAGTTGCCTCCGTTGTATCGCCTTCCACGTAGCGGCCACGTTGGCTGGGCCTCGCCCGAGCCTCGCCTGGACACCTGGCGGTTGACCTGCGTTCACTGTAATGATATTGTATTCTAATTATTAATATGTGTGTGTGTGTGTATGAATTGCACTATTTATTTTTAAATATTAAAAAATTAATCTGAATTTTATATTATATATTTATATATGAACATTAATTTAATCAAATTATATTAAAAAATACTTAGCCATAAATGTGTATATATATTTACTTATTTATTTATTTATTTATTTATTTATATTTATAGTTTTACTGAATTAAAAATAAAAATACAAAGATACAAGAAAGAAATAAACTCTAATATAAATTTATTATTTCAATGAGGTTAGCACTTTATATTTATCTATTTTTTAATGCATAATACTCATAAGTAATTTTAAAAGACTTAAAGAAGAAAAATTTGGGAACTTTTTAAAAAGTTAGAATATTTTCATATAAATATATGTTGAAGAATCTAATGATAGAAAAAATGAAACTATTTTTGAGTTTTAAATTACACTAGCACTTGGCCCTTGCTTTGCATCGGATAAAAATCAAATGTAACAATTTCAATGTCTTACAACTATGGATTTGTAAGATTCATGCTAACACCACACAAAATTTTGTTAATGTTGTCCGTAACATCATCAATCAAGTAACAAATAACATGAAAGTCAAGTGACATGGTGGTAGTATATACTAATAGATAGTGGCTACTTTTGTTAGGGCACTTCTAGTAGAGTTTTGTGGTCTACATATTAGTCAAGGAAGCCAAGAGCTTGTTGCGCTCTAAGAATCAACAATATTGCCACTCATGTGAAGAATCAAGTGGTGTCACGGCCATAATCATGTAAGCTAATAATTACATATAGAAATAGGTAGAAGTAAGTAAAAGTAGATAAAAGTAAGTTAATTCTATAATATTTAATATAAAAGTTTCCTAGAAACTTCCTAGACGCTGCTTTGACTTCATAGGTGTCTTTAATTGACTTTTTGGATTAGAAACGTGGTCAACAAGTTGGCCATGTGCCACACATGTTGTTAGCTTGAAGATCAAGCTAACTATGTGGCCCACACGTAGAAAAACTTGCCTTGTAAGTCAAGGCATGTGTCCTACAAAGTCAACACATATTGGAGGTCCTATATAACGTCGCCACATAGCCCCTAGTTAGATAGTATATATAGAGACAAGAGTGAAGGCTTCTTCACTCTTGTCAACTCCTTTCTTGCTTCTAGTCCAGGTTCAAGAGTCTTTAGTTTCTTGTCTTGTGGCAATAGCCATTCCAGTTTCCTTTTAATATACCTACTTGTTTATATTTTGACTTATTATATCGAGATAGCCTTTTTGTGTATATTTTCCCTCATCGAGTCTTTGTCCTTGACAAGTGGATCTCACCAAGGTCAAGTTTTTGTCCCACCTTGTTTTCTTTCTTGTGCACAAAGATGGTTTATGTTTCTTAATGGCATCTATTGGATCTCTAATGTTTTGGGAAATTCTAAAATGAGTAGGGTGGTTTCTTTCTTGAGCAAAATGCAATGTCTATAGGGAACATCCATCTCATTTTTCTTTCCACAACCATTGTGCGTCAAGAAGAGATGAAGATGTGCTTAACATTGAATGCAATTGAAGTCATTATGATTGTGGGTTATTGTGGAATAGGAAAATCTACCACATTGTGTGCACTTGTGGTCTTGTTGCCCAAAATTGAGGTTGTTGCCAGAGACCCCTTAAAAAATAATCGGATTAGTAATTTTAAACACACACACACACACACACATATATATATATATATATATATATGCTCTACATGTTTTTGAAATGTTCAAAATGTATTATAATAGATTGTATTTGATTATATCCAATATGTACATGGTGAAGAATGAAACTTTTTTTTTTTCAAGCTACTTTAGTTGCTGTTATAATCTGCTGCACTCCATAATATTGTCTGTTAAAATCTTGACTTTTTTGTATAAAAAACATTATTTGTATGACTTCTGATTATTTCAATAAATTCTCAATGAGTTTGATATATCCACATATATACATGTATACATATATTCTACTGTTTTAATGAAAACAAGATTGTAACAGTGTTCTGCTTTATTGACAGTAAAATCAATTATATATTCGTTAAACAAGTAACAAAATGTATTAATTTTGATTCATTACAAGTGAACAATATGGAAAAACTACCTGCCTGAAAAAATAAAATAAAATAAAATAATTGTGTAATGAATATGCATAATGGCTCTATATATCAGTTAAATAAAGTGTAAGAACAACACAAATATTTATGTTAATCAGTGTAATAAAGCTAAAAACTCATGTTGAATATTGAAGGCCAAGTTCGAGTCTTATAATAATTTGTTGCATGCAATATATGTACTACGTATTATAATATAAAGGTTGAGTTTATATACCATCATTCATTGTGTCTGTCTTATAATTTTATTTTACATAAATACATGCCAAATTTTCATATTTGCATGGTGAATTGTAAAAGAATCTACCATGCATCTAAAAAAAAAGTTTTTTAAAGTAAATAAATAAATAAATAAAAAGAACATGGGCATTGTAAAACATGATGACTAAGTAAGTGAGATTCTTGAATTATACGATATCTTTTATTAATTTTTAATTTTTTGAATGAAATGAAATTGAAGAAATTTTGAAGGAAGTTGACAATTACCTGATTTAGGACTTGAGTTTAAAAATTTGGCGGCTTGAAATAAAAGTCTTTAAATACCAACGATCATGGGCCGTTGAAAATTGAAAACTATAGAAGTATTTTACCAGATTTGTAGCAAGGAATCATTGCTCATTCACATTTATCACAAATTTAATGACAGTTTACTGGTTTGTAAATTCATAGTTATGAAATTTTCATATCAATGATCCCTTTTAATTCAAATATAACAATCACATTAAGTCATCAATAAATTTTGTAAAGTATGGGGGCACATACACTTAACCGGTAAACTTTTATTAAATTTGTGATAGATGGTAAATATCAACGTAAGATTTAACCGTTTTAACGTATAAAGTTTAGTGAGGCTAATTTTGAATCAACATTGTTTAGATATCATAGAACTTGTGCATCAGAATGTATTAAAATTAAATGAAGTCGCAAGCAAATGGAGTTTATTTAATTGAAAATAAATAAATTTAAAATCTTAAACATTAAAGAGTAAAAATGTGGAATGCTTTCATTAATTTTTTAAAAATATATATATATATATATATATATATATATATTTTTTTATTCAAACTGTACCAATCTTAATAAAATATTCAGTAAGTATTTAATTCTTTCTGTTTAATAAGTATTCTACAGAGGTTGAAAAGGAATTGCACATTTCAAATTAAACCTTCTGTAGTTCAATTGCTAATGGGTTGTACTAATTATTTTTTCTGTAAAAACATTTTATTTACAAACAATGGGCTCTATATATTCAACTGATGGTTCATGCCTCGAACATCAGATTTTATAATTGCTTTCCATAATCTCATATATTTTAAAAAGAAAATAATACGTTTTTAATAATAAGTATTTTAATATCACTTTTTGTAGATTGAATTAGATCTATGCATTTCACAAGATAAAAAACAATTAAATTTTATTACTTTAAGCTAAAATTATTTTGTTCGATGTGTTTATTTAATGTCAAACTTTTGTATCAATGTAAAAATGGTTTTATTTCAACTTTCATTTATCTTATTTTCATCTCAATAATTTACTTTTGGAACAATGTGCTAGTTTACATCTGTTTACACTAAATGACCAAAAAAAATGATATAATTTTGTATTTTTTAAAATTTTATGGTGCTTTCTCTTGATGCCTGAATGGGTACTTTTAATAGACTGTACATATCATTTGTGGCGCACTAATTAAATTTTATGCAAAAGTTTATGCACATTTATTGATACAATGATTTTACTAATGTAGTAAATACTGTAGCTTGACATGTCTTTTATTGTATTCCGAGCTAATACTCCTTGTAATGATAAATTATCAGAAAAAACGAGAACAATGAACACTAAAATAGAATAAAAAATGTGTTGCAGAACACATTTGTTTTTTAAAAAAAGTTAAAAAAAATGTACACGTAGCTTTAATGTCTATACATAGTGTACCAAAAACGCAACAAACATTCAGAAAATAACATTGATATTAAATTCTTGACACCTAAAATTTGATACTAGTCTTTTAAAAGAATCATTGGTAATCATCATTGATGCAAAAAAGAAAAAAGAAGAAAGAAAGAAAAAAAGTAGTTGCTAAGAATGTGCATCCAGAGCCCAATTAGGAAATGCTTTAAACCCTAATTATAAAAAATAGAAAAGCAATAAAAATAACTTGGAACCAGTCCGCCAACAAAGAGAGGGGTCTGTTCTCATGGGGCACAGCAGAATGGAATCCTCTTCTAGATGGGCAATACTACTACTACTACTACTACTACTACTACTTCTTCTACTACTACTAAATATAATAAATGTAGTAAATAAAAAGTAAAAGACACACAAAGGAAAAAAGAGACAAGAAAGTATGAAAACACAGACCCCGCGTTTGAAATTTGAAGCGTTCCACCGTGAGTCCCAAGGGCGGACCTCACGGGGCCTGGGTGGAGTGGCGGAGGGGGGGGGGACCAAGGGAGGCGTCATGGTGTCCGAGTAACATCGGGCTGGGCCGGGCCCAGGTAGGGGAACGAAGCGCCGACGGGGTATGAAGGAAGGAAGGAAACACCCACCACCCTCGGAGGAGAGGGTTGACTGGGGACTGCGGCGACGCTGTTTGTTTGTATGTCTGTGAATTTCGAAGGACTTGAAGAAGAAGAAGAAGAAGAAGTTGATGTTGATGTTATTGTTGTTGTGGGTTCCGGAAAGGGGGTGAATTCGGCGTGAGGCCGAGTAGCCAGGTCCTCCTTTCCTTCCCCCGCATCTTCGAAGCTTCGTCTTCTTCTTCTTCTTCTTCTTCAGTCGGGCTCGTGCGTTTACGGAGTCGGGATTCAGCCAGACACCTGTGCAGCAGCAGCAGCGGCAGCGCCAAGGGGGTCGCGGAATTCGTCGCGTTCACGCGAGGGATGCATCCGTTCCGCAGCTTCCGTTGCGGGAATCTTGGGTGGCGCTATGAATGCTGTCAACGAACTGGGCAGGTCAGAGTTCGGTCCCTGCGGCGGATGTTTTAAAATTAGCCCCCCGCCCCTCCCCACCAGGTTGCGCTGTGCGTATGTAATCAATGCGGGTTCCGGTGCAACGGACTCGACTACTCCTGCACGCTGTCCTCACACGAGCGCCTGCCGTCTCTCTCTCTCTGTACACGTTCGAGATGTGGTTGTGAGCTTGTGCGCGTGTGTCTGTGCGCGACACGCTCTCAGAGAGCGAGAGAGAGAGTGTGTGTGACAGAGAGGGATAGCGTCTGAGAGACTGGGTAGTCACTGGTGTGTCTGGGGTGCTCCGCAGTAGTGCTTCCCATGAGGTACTTTTTTGTTTTGTCTTCGTCTTGAAGGTCAGAATTCTTCGCTGTGATGTGCATGGAGGGGGCTACCTTGGTTTCTGTCTGTGAGAGAGTGTGTGAGAGAGAGAATAGGTCGTGGAGATGAGTCACCGTAGACCAGATTCGAGAAGAGGTGTGAGGATGGGCGAGGTGGAGTAGACTTGGGGGTCGTTTTGTTGGGAGATTTGTCAGTTGATACAGCGATGTGGATGTGTGAGGGTTTTGTTTCGCGGAGCTAAGGGGGAACGAGGCGTGATTCAAACCACAGGCGGCCGGTGTTGGGTTTAGCTGTCGAAGAGGTGGGCGCCGGGAGGGAGGACGATATGGGGGTGATGGGATTGCCCACTTGGTTGACCCGTGAAATCTCGAAGCTATGGAAGAGAGGGGTAATCGAGCTAACGGTGGAGTGGGCTCTTCTGTTGGAGAACTGGAAGTTGATACTTGGAGGATTGCTGTTTCAGTATGTACATGGAGTCGGTGCACGCATCGCGCACTACCTACATCATCCAGGCCCGCTCCTTCACGATGTTGGGTTTGAGTTGCTGCCGGAGCTTGGGAAAAAGAATGCCCATATTAGCGAGAGCCTCTTCACGTTTGTGTTTGTTTCGTTCGTTCTGTGGACATTCCACCCTTTTGTGTTTTACAACAAGCGATTTTACACGGCCCTACTGTGGTTGAGGGTTCTGATTTGTTTGGTGATCTGCCAATCTCTGAGGATGTCATCGTTTATGGTGACGCAATTACCTGGCCCCAACTACCATTGTCACGCAGGGCAGCCAACGGCTACTTTGCCGCCCCCGAAGAGCATCAAAGAGGTGTTGCTATTGAATTTCCCGTATGGAGTGATTTATGGGTGCGGGGACCTGATTTTTTCCTCGCACATGACATTTGCCCTAACCTTCTTCCATGCGTATCTCAAGTATGGGACAAGGCAGTGGATAAAGTTCGTTGCGTTCTTGGTGATGGTTGCCCTAAGCCTCCTTATCGTAGCTTCCCACAAGCATTACTCCGTGGACATCGTCGTGGCCTGGTTCACCGTGTATTTCGTATTCTTCTTCGTGGATCGGAAGTTCGCTGATGCCGGAATCGGCGAGCGCGTGCCAACAAGCAATGGGCCACCACTTCTGCCTATGATTGCGAGGACAGGCAAGGATGGTCGCAGCAAAGAGGAGAAGCTGTTGAACGGCATTGCAGAGAATGGAAGCGTTGAACTGTAAAAGGTCTCGACGATGAGCCAGATATATATATATATATTTTTTGGTGATTTGGAAACCCTACCTTATTTTCAGTAGTATGGTAAAGGTAAGAATTATTTATTCATTGGCTCTCCTCGAGTGTATGTGTACTCTTGGGACAGAGAGCTCAGAACCTCGCACGGAGTTCGACGTAATAATTCTTCCATTCTTTGTAAGTGATTTATTCTAGGGTCTCTGTCATTGAACGCACTTAAGGCCTTACTTCCGAGGTGTGCCACAGCCTTCCTATTCACCCTTGACGGTAGTGTTTAGGATTAAGGCGAGATGGTGGGGACCTGAACTCGCCTGACTGTGTCCGTGACCGCCTTCTGAAAATCGCTCACTCCTGAATCGACTCTCACCTGCTGTCGCATTTTGAGGTGTGTTGTGTTCTTCATCCTGATGGGAAAGTAGGACTTGGATTTGAGATCACGAGACTCTGGGTGTCTGCTTCATGCTCTGTTTTTTTTTTTTTGAAGTCTTTAGGGTTTTCTTCCTTGTAAGGTGCAGTTATGATTTGTCAATTCATCTGATTTATAGTTCTTTGTTTGGCCACATAGCTGAGCCAGTGCGACTTAGTGTGATTTCCTATTTTGGCAGTTTCCTTCCACCCAAACTCGGCATCTAAACAGATTGGTTCTGAAATGTGGCAGTTGGGCATCTGGGAGAGAAGCGGAAGGTGGGAGTTATCGATGCATCATTAGTCGCATTAAGCGTCATGAAAGGTCTATTATCGAAGAGTCTCTGTGGGGATTGTTTCATCTTTTGACAAAAGAGACAACTCTGCATGTTTAGCTCTTTTTCCAGCTTTCCCAGCTTGATAAAGGCGATTTTAGAGGTTTTGTCGACTGATTAGACCGTGGAGGCGGACATTGAATGATCATATATATATTATCTGTAGGTATTCGTAGCTCCCGAAGCTAGCTAACGACGATTGCGCTTCGGTGTGTCTAATGCTAACATCGCCAATCACCTTGTACACTACAAGAGAACTCCTGGTAGAGGGTGGATATTTTTTGGGGTTTTCAGGAATTACTGATGTTTTTTTCAATATTTTGTTTACAATCTTCGGAAGAAAGCATAAACTTTTACACTTCCGAAACCGTCAGATTTTTTCTCCGTAGAGTTGACAATTGGTGGTTAGTTTCATTGCCTTCCGACCTCTGTGTCTCGTCCTTGATCAGTATCTCCAGCTTTGAATTCTTCTTGTAGAAGATGGGATGCAAGGGAGGAGTCATCTCATGCAGTATCCTGATTGCTACAAAAGAGAAAAATACAACGCTTTAGGGCCATGTCACACAATTTCAGTGACAGTACTGAGCTTTGGCGAAATGTATTGTGAACTTTTTTCTTCTGTCAATAGTGGGTTTCAAAGCAGGGGTTTGAGTTAATTCAACTTGCTTAGTTTTGTTGCATTTCAACTTGAGCAGATTTCACGGCCATGTCTAAAAAAACCATGAAAATTGGCTCAGAACTGTTGATAAGTTAGTTTCGTTGCTTTTAGGGAAAAGAAGGTGGTGTCAATAATGCAGATTTCTTGTTGTACATTGTAGACTTAATGTGACTAGTAAATATGAAAAATTGATGATCAAAAAATGAAATATTCTTCTTGAGCATGAATTGTTAAATATTTATATACATTGAACATAGTTTGTTATGGTTTTTATTATATGATAGTTTGTTAGTATAATCATGTTGTGTTTGGGATGTACAATAAATTATGAAAGGTGGTTTGCAATCACTAAAGAAGCATGTTGCTAATGTTACTACAGTTTTTGCCACTGCTGTTACAATTTATTCTTATTAACTTTTTCTATTATGTTTTAGTAAATTGTTATTATTATTATTTTTTTATATAAGTTGACATATTGATTAAACTAAAAAAAAACAAAAATTGCAAAGTAAAAAAAAACATTAATAACTTAAAAAAATATGTTGAGTGGTTGGTGGGTTGTTTTTAGTAGCAAAAATCATGGTGGTTGACAAATTGTGATGGTAGTTGCAAAAACTACGGTGATATTATCAATATTTTTGAATAATGATCGATTAGTAGTGACATCTCTTCACCATGATAAATGTTAGTATGGAGATAAAGGCTTTATAATGTTTAAAAAAATGTTAAACAAATAATAGAACAATATAAATTTAGTTCCAAATGAAAGTGAAATTTATTTTTTAAAATAAAACACATACATTACTACATATGGCATTAAAGTAGATGTCTAAGTAGAATTCTTTTGAAATATAATGTCAAGGTTCTTAACTTCTTCGCATTTTACTTCAACATTGTTACTACATCATTTATAATGCTTTTTGTCTCTTTCATGCCTTTTGTTTTTTACAGGTTTATTTCTTTTTTATTATACATGGTTAATGAAAGGTTTTACAAAATATGTATTTATTTTATTTTTATAGTTATCTTTTTTCCAAGTCTCACACTTGATGAGTAGGAAACATGGAATCTATTTACAAAGTTGTTAGAATCTCTGATAGTGACTGTATATCAATATTTAATTGTAGTTCATTTTTAATCCATAATGTAAAAAAATATCATTAATTTCACAAAATGTATTTGAAAAAGATTAAGAACAATTTGGTACTGCAGTTTTAAATAAGAAAAGAATACAAATACAAAAAAATCACACTTACTCAAAGAATATACTTGGGTTTCTGAGTTTTTTTTTTTTTTTTTTTTTTTTTTTTTTTCATTTTTTTTAGACAAAATGTTTTGTAACATAAACATTGTTGAATCAAACATGAGTAATTTTTTTCAAATTAAATTATGGTTTTTTCTAGAAATACTAGGGTTGAAAATCACCAACCTGATAAATTTATCTATAACATCAGCATTTTATTTCTTTATTGGCAATTAAAAAATTATAATTATATATTTCATTTTTATTTTTAAAACACATATCAAGTATTGAATAAGAAAAATTAGGAACTAAATAACACAAAAATAACATGAATAAATGTTTAGAAAATATTGAAAAGCGATTTAAATAGAAAACTAAAAGTGCAAGCAATATTTACTCTCAAAAAAATTCAGTATACAATTAATAATTATGAAAAAAACCATGAATAAGAAAAATTGTAATATGCAATAGCAAAGCAAGAAAGAACAATAAATGACAATGCTTAAATGAAAAAATCTTGGCAACATTAAATGCGTTCTTCTCTATAGAACTAACATTTATTAATGATCTCATGACAAGCCTTTGTATGCATGTGTTGTCATTATTTTCACAACATAAAATCACTTTTTTAAAAAATTATTCAGTTGTTTGTTCTAAATTTAAACAATTGAATTTTTTTTTTCATCCTTTACCACAATCTTTTGTATTCAAGTAGACCAAACATACTGCAAATCTTTTAGCACCCCAATGTAACTTAAGTTTGTATTCAATTTAATAATTGTTTTCACATGTTTTTAGCATGTAATAGATTGAAAATTAAAAATTGTACATGTATATATTCTATAATCTATATTTATTCCTTTTAATATATATATATATATATATATACATATTAAAAGGAATAAATATAGATTATTAGTGAAGGAAAGTAGTATGCCAAATTACAAAACACAATGCATCACAAAATATTCCTAAAAAGTTGGCAAGTGTAGCGGAATTGAGTCTCCATATCTCATTCATTCATATATATTTATTTTTATTGCATTAGAACCCCACAATACACACGCATACACACTAATTAAACTAAGGATCACATTCTTCCAGCAGATGAAGAAAATAATACTACTACTAATAATAAACTACATGTGGCTATGTGTATGTTTGAATTTTGATTTTTTGTGATTATTTCGTATCTTTTGGATGCTAGAACAAATCAGTCGTGCATTGAAATATTGAGTGTCTGTTGATAAATTTATGCATTTCACAGCATTTCTTAATTACTTCGATTTCATGTAGAGAACAATCTGGGATTTTATTTTATATTATTTTGTTATTATTTTGTATTAGCTCAAATTCCGAAAACAAATTATGCAAAGTCCGTTGTGGTTTTCAGAATAATAATTAAAACGTGATTACGAAATTTAAATCTTTCATGAATTCTATGAAATTTGATTCAGGATAAAATCTTCACTTCAAAATTATCATACAAATAAAAAAACTATCACTTATAGAAAAATCATGTTTAAATAGTCAAAGCCACAAAGTTATATATATATATATATATATATATATATAATCACATTTTAATTAAAACATAAATTTCAGCAAACTGTAAAGGAATTATCATAAACAAAAAATAATTTTCTTTCGAAATTAAACTTATAATTTTGTAAACTGTAGCTAGATCAATTGTATTTAACAAGTTAAGTATATTACCATGGTTATAAAGTTTTAAACTTTTACCATTCAACTTTTTATATCTATTTTTTCTTTTTTTCTTTTTTTTTTCATGCAAAAATATAAAATAATACAGAACTGAAACCTCAACATTTAAACATCAATTCTCTGTATTTCGAAAGATTGTTTTAGTTGAAGAATTTTCACATTCTAATGAATGTAAAACAAATGGTACAAGTGCACTTGTCACATTTCAAAAGACACTTGAGTATGTTTTATTATTATTATTATTATTAATTTTACTATTATTATTTTCGAAGTGTGAAAAAAAAATCTGATTTAAATATCTATGTTTCTAAAATGTCATTCAAAATTCTACTGTAAAGACAGCAACTTTGTAAATTCGCCCAATTCATGGACACTGGTTTGAGCATCTTCAATTCATGAATAGTTATATTGAACTTATCTCATTCTTATTACAAAAAGTTTGAGAATGTCAATATATCTTCACAACGATGGAAAATATACTATTTTTGACAATGGATTCTTAAGTGAACATGCAAATCATTGGCCAGGGCACCCAATACATGATGGTAAAATCAAAATTTATAATACAGATGTATGTAAAAATATTGAACTTGATGTAAATGATATTGAAGATAATAAAAATAATAATAACATACTATCAAAGTAAATATAAATAAATACATGACATTATCATACAAGATCCTCAAACCTTAAAAATTAACATCAAATAATATCTAACTTACTTGTCATTGAATTTGATATATATATATATATATATAGCTTCTCAAAGCAATCATCCTTGTGAGAAAGTATTATTTGCTGAAGAGGTTGAAAGTAAACCTAAAAACATTTCTACATTTCAACATTCCGAGAATAATATTATAAGGAATGAAAAACAACATGTTGTAGATTTTACATATCTAAACTACAGTGTTGGACCTCTTTCAAATAAGTCAAGTTCAGATCCCACATTTGACAATAACTTATCAACGTTGTCCAGATTACCTACTTGTTCTAATCTACAAATTGAGAAAACATATCTCAACACAAATGGCTTGTTTGAACCAATAAACAATACACAATATTATTTATCACCTCCAAGTGACATATTTCATTCAAATGAACCATCTCCTAATCAAAACTTGAATAATTTTGTAAACCATAGACTAGTAAACGTGAAATAAAACAATGCAAGCCATCAAAACATGTATGATGAGAAATTTACATGGAATGAAACAAACATTTGCATTGATGAAGAACCACTTTATGAGAAAAGACCCGAATCCATTTATCAAAACTTTAAAAATAGAGATGATTTGTTTCATGAAAACCAAAAAGTTTTTTCTCCTTCATTGGAAAATCAAATGTGCTATAGAGACTCAAGTTTGAGTTTTTCACTTCAAGATAACATGCTCTCAAAAAAAACAAGAATATCCAACTTTTTCAAAAGAAAATAATTTACCATGTTATCAAGGAAGAATTCTAGTTCTTCCACATGAAAGTGATGCATCTTTCAAACATGTAGATTCAATTCCCCTACATAATAATGACATTTTATGTCAATTAGTAGATCAACCGATTTTACACCAAGACAATTCATCTAACAAATACAACTTAGAACCAATATCTTCACAAGCAATTAATTTATCCTACAAATATAACCCAACTTTGCTTATTTCTCAACAAAATGATTTATATTCCCATTTACAACATTCAAGTTCTTTGCATGAAGATGAAACAATTTCTAAAGAAGAAGAATACTTGAATTGTAATCAAGAAAATGATGTTTCATTTAAAGAAGAAGAAGAAGAAGAAGTTTTACATTATTTACAAAAAGATAATGTTTCTATTGCAGATACTGTAATTTACCTTAAAAAAAATAAACCATTAATGGCACAAGAAGAAGAAGTTTTGCTTCTTGCACATGAAGATGATGTACAATTTATAGAAAACGTAGACTTACTTCTTTCTCCAAAAGATGAAATTACACCCTTTGAACAACATGTAGATTTACTTCTTTCACAAAAGCATGTAACACCATTAGAACAAGGTTTAGATTTGGTTTTACAAAAAGATGAAATACAACATGAACAAAAGGTAGATTCATTTCTTCTACATAAAGACAGCAAACCATTTCAACAAAATGTAAACATACTTCTTTCACAAAAAGATGATATTGCAACAGAACAAAGTGTGGATTTAATTTTTCTCGGGGAAGGGGATGCATCATTTGAACAACCCACAAAATTGCCTCCTCAACAAAACGATGTTACATCATTTCAACACAGTATAGATATTCTTCCCTCACAAAAAAATGACTTGTGCTTTAAACAACATGTCAAACGACTTCTTTCCCATAATAATAAGCAACACATGGATTTAACCTTTTCACATGAAGATGATTCAATTTGCAATTGAGTTTGTCCACTACACAAAAATAAGACACTTCACCATGTGAACACCAACACAATTCAAATTCCATACGTTAAAATAAAACACTGTTGCTAAACAACAGGTATATTCAACCTTGTCACATGAGAATGATTTATCGTGTGAGAAAGAAGAAGTTTTGTATCTTTTACAAAAAGACAACACAAACTTAAAACAATGGGTAGATTCAACAAATAATAATGATTTCTCTCATAAACAAATAGTTTCTCGTTTTTTACATGAAAACGTTCCACATTCTATGAATGAAATAGGTCCATCTACCTCAAAAGAAAATGACTTGTTTTGTAATGTACTACTAAATCTAGTTTTTATGCCACAAAATGATTTACCTTGCGTTCAAAATATAAATTTAATTGATCTACAAGCAAGTGACTTGTCTTGTTCACATGACACAGAATCAACTTTTCTATGTGAAAATGATTCATTTTGTAAACAACAAACAGATTCACCACCTACTTCACTCAACAAGCAACAAATAAACATATTATTCCAAAAGTTAGAAAATTTATTTCTTAATGAAAACTTGAAGTCGTCATTTAAACAAAGTATGCACTCATGCATTCAAAAACCAAAAGAACTAGAGAATAAAACAAATCGAAATATTACAAAATGTAATGAAAACCCAAAAATTAATATTCATACCACATAAGAAGAATAGTTGTCCTAATCTTACACATGTTGTAAGTACTTTCTTTTTTAAAACATATTTCACGTGGTTCATTAAAGGTAACAACTATATGAAAAGTTTTGGCTAATATTTTTTTCAAATCATATTTAAATAAAATTTTAAACAAATGGGTGACGATTTTAATTGTGCTTTAAAAATATGAAGAACCACAATACTAATAGAATTGCCAAGTAGGGGTGCCTATTGTAGGTTTTTGTATATAGATAAATGAATCTTATTTCTCTTAATTTTATTGGGAAAAAAATATCCCCGTCATTTATTTCATTTCTCATGTTATTAACTCTGTGTTCCAGCTGCTTCAACATTTGGAGGCAGATATAAGTACTTTCAAATGTGGACTTGCTCACATATTCTGTAAGAATAAACTTTAGACTTTGTTTTAAATGGCCTCAATTATATATATATATATATATATATATATATATGCATAGATTTTTATTTTTATTTCTATTTTTTTCATAATTCTTTTTAAAGAGTAACCCACAAAAGATATTCTATACCAAATTAAAAGTACTAATTATGCTTGGTTTTCATGGTTAATTTGTAAGCTAAAACAAAAAAGAAGAAGAAGCAAAGTAATGGTAAAAACATTTCTAAATTATGAATTTGCAAAATGCATACTAGAAATCATGTACATACACAAAACCATGTAATAGTTTCAGAAACATTACACATTAGAGTTAATTTTGGATTATAACCAGTGAAGGAAACTCATGCATCATTGGTGATAAAAACTACCAATGAATTTGACAACGAGTGCAGTGTCTCTGATGGGTCTTCAATTGACCATGCCCCATTATTTCTAGAGGTGATTGCGTATATAAAATATGCATTATAATGTAAATTTAAAATGTAATTTATTTTAATTAGTTTGATTGTATGCTTTCATTTTCATAATGCTTACATTTCCATGTTGATTAAGTTTCCTATGTGGAAGAAAGTTTTCTCCAATATAATCTTTTTGCAAATAATGTACAAATAATTAATTTCTTTCATTATTTATTTGTATCTTACAGAAACAAACCACCTTACATTTTTTCGACTAAAGAATTTTTAATATATTTTTTTGATGCTTTAAAATGCAATGTAATTTTTAATGACTAGGAACCAATGCAAATTCCCCTTCAAAATTTTAACTATGGTATAGTTAAATTGTTTAGAAACATATTATTACTTTGTAATTTAATACGATATATTTCAAGATATGTTTCAAGATATATTATTATATATTTTCATAAGATATATTTCAAGATATGCTGGCTTAAAACTACATAATACACAGCAAGCCAACATATCTTGAAATATATCTTTTTGATAATATTTAATTTTACTAAAAGATTATACTTCAAAGATAAAATCACCCAATTATGGAAGTTCACTCATGTAAGTGCAACATTTATAGAACTTTATACACATTTTTGTTTTGGAGATATAATTCTCTTAAAAAACATGTGTAACTTTTCAATATACATACATTTAGCTTTAATCATTTTGATTTTCTTGTTACTTTTTACTATTCACTCAAATAGAATAAATAAAGAAATATTTATTTGTTTATTGTGTGTTGTTATAATGTGTTAATTTTGTTTCTAGTGCAGTTTACCAATTATGGATGGCATGTTGAACATTGGACTGCAACAAGTAAACTTATTGTTGCAGAGAAATATTGATAAAATATATTTGAAATTTTTATTTTGTATAGTAGAAAAATTGATGCATAGCACTAATAAAGCTTGCTCTATATACATGAACTCAACTTATTTGAAACTTCATCTTGTAGTGTAGCACATATTGAATTGCACGAATTTAATGCATCTTATATTATTCTACGTTTTCCATACATAAAAGCCCTTGAATAGCTACATCACATTTTGAAAGTTTTTGATATATATATATATATATATTGTACTTGTGATTATACATTGGTCTAATATTTGATACATCTCAATAGGCCATTTTTTTAATTCCACATGAAAATATTGAAAGCAAATATTGTATTCTTGAAACATTAAATGGAGGGCATAAGGATTGAAATTCCAAAGTACAACCATACAAGAAACCTCTTAAATTCTTTTGATGATACACACACACACACACATATATATATATATATATATATATCCATAATTTTACTTTGTAGGAATAATTATGAATATTAAACTTGTGACATATTCTTTTACGAAATGAACAGAAATGTTGAGAAAATTAATAAAAAAATTCATGCTTTTTTCATGCAGAATTGAAAATGGATGGACGTGTTGTAAAGGATAATCAACTTTTTAAAAAATAATTTAAAAAATATGTACATATGTTGAATACAGAATAAAATATAAAGCTTTTCCTCGTTTTATTTACTCATTAATATAAAAATATTTATTTTATTTTAAATTAAAAAATCTGCATTCAATTTGATGAAAAAAACCAAGCTTTTTATTTATTTTTGTATACACATATATGGGTGTGAATTTAGAATGTCGGAATTCAGAAATTTTATCAAAACATTAAAAAAAAGGAGTAAGAAATCACCCCTATAGTATTTTAAAATAGTACACGTGAAAGTAAAAAACTTTAAAAATTAAAATAATTTAGTTATTTATTAAATGTGTCATTTATCAATTCATTCTGTAACCTTTATGCAATATTTTTTTTATTTTTTTATTTTATTTTTATTTACAAATCTGAAATCATCACGATTAAGTGTCATTTTTAACAATAATATTTATATTGTTATTCAAAACCACTTTAAACAAGGTTGATTTCATAATTGAATGCTATATATTTTTATTGAAATGGATATTTTATCACTTATTAATGCCAACCATAAAATCCATATCCATAATTCTTTTCAAAATATTTAAAAGCGTCCAAATTCAAGATGTCTAAATCATTTGGGTTGCATTATTATTTGAAGTTATATATATATATATATATATATATACACACACACTAAAAACTTACATGAACACTAAGAATGTAAACTTTATTATTAAATTATATACAAAAAAATCATAAAAAATAATGCTCAAAGTATCTGTATCTATATATATATATATATATATATACATATATATCATTTGCTTGTTTCATTAATCTTCAAAATGATTTTGTTTACGTTGCCGCAACAGCATTAGATCCAGCAATAATGTTCAGTATTGTCATTCACTCATCCATCCAAACATATAAGTGCATCTACACAATATATTCATCCGTCGATGTTCGGGGGGAGGGGGCCACTCCCCGTGAACACCCCGTGGCCGTGGTGTCCCTAAAGCTGTGCCTCTGCCATCGCCGAGCTTGATCGGGTCCTGCGATGGCCTGTTTTCCAGTGCAACGTGATTTTGCGATGATGATGTTCCAGCGTCACGCGTGATTGCGAGGCCGCAGTGTACAGCGCAGCTGCGTGGATTCGCGACCCAGTTTTCGTTTCGAGCTCGCCGGGGTCGGCAACAAGCGCAGCTCTCGGGAGGTGTTTTTAGGGCTTGCGTGGGAGGAAGTGAGGTGGGTTGCGTTTTTTTTCGAGCTGGGTCTTTGATTTCAATGCTGTTTTGTGTGTGCTGGTTTGTGGTTTTGAGCAGCATTGGACTCGGAGGTGGATCGGTGAGTTGGGTTCTTGGGATTCAGAGGTTTGGGTCCTCTGTGGTCGTTGTCATGTGTGTAGTTGTGCCGATCATTGCCTGTTCTTGTTTTGGACAGGAGAGAGTAGCTTTTAGGGATGTTGCTGAGAAATTCTTCGTGAGGTAGTCCAGAGATTGTTCGTAAACAGGAAAGGCCTTTTTTTCTTTTGAATGTTGTTTTGGGAAGTATCGTGCTTGGTTGAGATTGTGTGTGATCACTCCCAAATTGAACTGTGTTTCGGATGACCTAATAGCTGCATCTGAATCGGGCTGGAATTTCTGCACTGGAATGGATCTCTAGTGATCAGCCGCATTGATTGCTGCTAAATAGTGGTGCGGTATTCCCTGTATTATTGTTATGAATTGATGTGTAGAGGCGATTCCTCTCTCTCTCTCTCTCTCACACACACACACACATTCGGCGTTATGTAGTCAAGATTTGGTGGGACAGTTTCGAGTTCTGATCGCCGCTCTCTTCAATTTTGAACATTGTAGGTTTCTTTTATTCTATTTCTTTTCCTGGTCAGCCATAGAGATCCATGGCCTGGCAACCAGGCCCTGGGTTTGATCCTTATGGTGCGCAGCCGGGGATGCAGCCGGTGATGCAGCCGGGAATGCAACCAGGGGCGCAAAGATCTATGCCCCAAGCTCCCGTTGGGCCAAACAATCCATTGAATGACGTCTTTTATGGTGCCGGGTCTGGAATTTTGGGTACTTACCTGGGAAACAGCAAAGACTACGTGCAGAGCAACGTAAGTGGTCCTACGCTTTTTTCCAGTTCTACTGCCGACATTGATGATGTTAAGAATGTTAGGTGCTATGTTTTTATTGCCTCATTCTATCTGAGCATGTAAGTTCAACGGTCAGAAAATAATTTGTAATATCACTCATGTACATTGATTAATGATTTTAAATTATTTATTTTTATTTTTATGGTGAACAGGTTAGTAGATACTTGGCAACTCACGACATTCAGTACTATTTTCAAGTGACAGATCAATACGTAAAGAACAAGCTCAAAGTTGTTCTCTGCCCCTTCCTCCACAAGGTCGTCACTTCCTATTTCAAAGTTTCTTTTATGCTCAAAGTGTTTTCCCTCTGACAAGTGGAAGTTGTCTAGAAGCGCTTTCATGGTAAAAGCTGTACGTATCTATCGCATTTGTTTCGAAGCTGACCTAGTAGTGGCTTCCAATTTTAATTTTTTTCAGGGCCATTGGACTAGAATAGCAGAGCAAGTGGCGGGGGGTTTGAAATACAAGCCTCCCCGTCATGATATCAATGCTCCGGACCTCTACCTCCCTCTCATGGCTTTTGCAACGTACATCATGCTCTGCGGCTTCACGCTGGGGCAGATGGGCAAGTACGTAACTCCCTGCTTTTTCCATGTGTGACTTGGTCCCTTCCGTCTGGACGTCGGCATTCTACTGTTATTTGGTGTTTTCATTCATGTAGGAATAGCATATGAAGCACGCACCGAGAAAACTTGTCTCTCTTTGCTGTCGATTGTGGTGTGGTCCAGCTTTTCATTTGGTTTGCATCCGCTTCAATAACATTCCCCTGCTTACTCTTTTGGTTTGTGCTGCACAGCTTCAAACCAGATGTGATGAGTGGGCTGGTGACCAAAGCGACACTTGCATGGTTCCTTGAAACGATATTACTGAAGTCACTTGGATGGGTTTTAGGAACCGTAGATGCTCCGACATTAGATATTGTAGCGTACGGGGGTTACTCTTTTATCGGGGTCTCTTTGTCCGTGTTTGCGCACGTGTTCTCGACCTATGCTTACCACATTACATGGATTTATACGAGTCTCTGCATGGCGAGCTTTCTGGTGAGAACAATGAAGCGCTTGTTGTTTGCGGAGGCAAGGAGGTACGACAGAGATTCAACTCGACACCACTACCTACTTCTTCTGATTGCTGCGGCCCAGTTTCCTCTTTTTTACTGGTTAGTACATGTGAGATAGGATCATCTCGGTCCCCTTGTACATTACGTCTTTGCATTACTGCAAACAGATTACCTGTTATTCAGCAACAGTCCATTTTAGTTTTGATGAAGACACACTTCAGGAAAGAGTTTTTCTTTTTTGTTTAGTCTATGATTTCTGGAGGTAGTGCCACTCCCTAGTTTGACCTTTATCTTTTCTTTATGTGCGGTTTCACACGGATGATCTACTTTGGTTACCCATTGCTCTTTTCTGCTTGTAAATGTGATGGAGATGCAGTAGATGCGACTGTGTCGTTTATGCTATATTGTTTTGTAAACTAGATTAACAAATAATGCCCACCAACTAAAATATACCATTCACATTTTTTTTTTTTTTTCTCTCTCCGTATATTTTGAAAGACAAGTTCTCATGAAAAGCTTTCTCTTCAGCTGTGGATCTTTTTTGTATCTTGTATTTTTGGGATAATGTTTCGTTGTGTTTTCACAACTTAAGTGCAACTAGAATAGAAGACATGAAGAATGTCATGATGTACATGCAGGAGTAAAATACCAAGTTTGTTGGCACCATACTATATACATTACCACCAAACTATATACATTTATGTCACTGAGTAAAACAATTTAGTAGTATTGAGTATTATCTAGATTACGTCATATATATTTGATACAAACAACGCTTCATCTTAAATATTTAGCATTTCGTAGGCAATGACAACTCTTTCTGTTATCTTTTTAATTTAAACAAAATGACAATTCGTTTTAATTTCGAGTCCAGAACAGAACAAAAAAAGTTTCATTCTTTTCTCACAAACATGACACGTGATGTAATAATTAAATTAAAATGTCCAATTTTACTGCCATAAGAATTTATTTTACACAATTACTTCTTTCAGAACTACGTAAGTATACATATGAAGATTCCAATCATTTTCTTTGCAAAAAATTCTTTTGTATAAATTATACAAAGTGGTCTCTGATATTGAAGTTTAAAAGAGAAAATATGCGTTGCCTTATGTGTTTCTCATCATTCAACAATTGGGTACATTTCAAAATAAAAATTCACTTCTTCCAATGGAATGCGGAATCACAAACAAACATAGGAGTAGTTTTTGTTTGAATACTGGATGAAAAAGCCTTCATCACAATGCATCATGTTCAAAGCATTTGGTCATGTGTCAATATATATATTGTTTTGTTTTGTTTTGTTTTAATTAAAATTAAATATTGAAAGAACAATCCTTCCACTGCAAGGGGGAACAGAAAAAGGACTGGAATTTTGTCCAACTAGGGAAGAGTTGTGTGATAATGTTATCAAATATTATAGAACCCTATTTGCACATGATTTTTTATTTTTCTATTTCAAAAAACAAATTTAAAGGATCAAGGCTAGTACATAAAACACCACCTACTTCTCCATGTTCCCATGCTTTGAGAACCAAGAACAAACCAAGTTCCCTCTCACGTGGGAAATAAGCCAACAAGGAAGTGCCTTTGTGAGTTCCATGATTTAATAAAGAAAGACATAAAAAAGGAACCACAAGAGGAGATAAGATTCAAAAGGGGGAAGCTCCATATATATATATATATATATATATATAATAAATCAATTGGAATATTAAAAATAAAAAAAATAAGTTTATGATAATGATGGTAGAAAGGTTTCACATGAACTTCATTTCATCAAACAAGTTGGGAACACTAAAGTACACGAGGAGTATTTTCCTTATTGTGTGCAACGGTCAAGGCTTTTATTGTACTTTAATACTTATCATTATTTACATTATTATATGTAGTTGCTATATAGTTGTACACCTTCTATCATCATTCCAAATATATTCCATTGTAGCATTCTGCCTAATTTTATTCAATTTGGATTTTCATTGTTCATTTATTATTATTATATAGCTGATCAAAAAGTAAAGTTAAAAATGTGTTTTTTGAAAAATAGATGGAATCTTATTTTGTCCATGCAATCTTATTCACCACTTTGCAATCCCTTTCATCTTGATTTTCTTATGCTTTTGAGGTGGTACCCAAATTTCTAAGCCTACCGAGGTTTCTTTGTAGTGAATTAAAAATAAAAAAAAGAAAGTTCAGAAACAGAGAAAATAAGGTTATAGAACGAGACGGAATTCATAATATAGAAGTTTTACTTTTATTTCATTTTAGTTTTAAAATTTCTAAGACTAGTTCAAAAGATTGAATAAATTAGAATAATTTTCTAAAGATTTAATTTCAAATAATAAGTTATTAGATTGTTACTAGAATGAGTTAATTATCAAAATTTGAAATTTACAATGATAATGGAATTGATAAATTTATTGCATGTATTTGATGTAAGTTTGTGGATTGGTTTGTAAAAGAAACATGAAGTTGTCAAAGCTTTTAAATAAAAATGCATGTTTAAGTAACTAATTTGATAGAAGATTTAAAAATTATTCAAAATTTGTATAATGATGTGTTCAATTTGAAAACTAGATACTTTTGGATAAAAATTAATGAAAAGATCAAAGCAAATGTAAATCAGAAACTAAACGTACTTATAGTTTGACTTTAAATGTTTGGTTGATTATATGTGAGACGGTCATAGCTTCTACACCAAAAGGAAAAGTTTTTCTTTCCTTTTCTTTTCTTTTTGTAGAAATTGATAAAAAAAAAAAAAATTAAACACGTAGAATTCACAAATTGTGAAGCATAAACATAAATATGTCAAGCTTTTTGAAGCAATGCTGAAGCCAATAAGTTAAATTGAAAGAAACACTTACTATGTCCGGAACAATTTCTTAGTTCTTATTATATCTGTGATAATACATAACTGTTAATAATTTATGACCCAAATTTATGAATGAATAGATGATAGAATTTGGTCCAAAACAGGATTTTAAGCAAAAATAAATTGAAAAGAGAAAAGCAAAAATAAATAAGAGAAATTTAAAATTTGAAGAATACACAATAGAACCATAATTTATTGTCGTGTTTTTTTTTGAACGCTACTTGATCCCATCGTCCTCGCCGTCGTCGTCAACGAATATCCTTGATCTCGTTGTTTTCATAGTCGTCGTCAACGAAGCTGCCTGATCTCGTCGCCTTCGTCGTCCTGGTCATCTTGTGGGTCGGCACTGCGTCGTCTTGTGCCGTGAGCCGCAGTGTGAACCGCGCTTTGTCGTAGCAACTCGGGGATCCAAGCCCGCATTGATACTTCCCCGAGGTCCGTCGCGGTGGATTCCTCCGCAACGACGCAACAGGTCCACGCCGGGCAGGGAATTTAGGCCTCATCTCTGCATGTATGTGTATATATATATAGATAGAGGCATTCTCTGTTATCTCACACTTTCTAGCTCCACCGCCTCCCTACGACGCCACCCTGCCCGCACTCATGGCTGTAGTAGGAGGCGTCTCTACTGTCGTTTCATGATGCTGCATGATTACTCCATGATTTATCACAAGGAGATTCTCAAACGTGCTCGCAAGTAAATCTGCTCCTGCTTTGTATGTAGATAAAAGTATGTATAATAAATACATGCCTTGGCCAACAGCTCTCGAGTTTCGACTTTAGAGGATCGGGACTCGAAGACGAACGCAGAAAGAATAAGAAGAGGAAGAGTGGTTCTGGGCATTTTGTACTTCGGGAGGTGCGATTGTGGGTCAGTTATTGTATGGGCGAACACTCATTTCTTTAGTGGCTGCACTTCGATGACCGATTATATACTGCAATGAGTGGGGCGAATGTTGAGTCGGGTGACTGGAAAAAGTTTACTGGGTTCAGATTGTTTTGAGAGATTTGTGTCATGGAATTAGCTTTGGTTGCCTCGTGTGGTTGAAGTTCTTGAGGTTGTCATTTTCCACAGATTTTCGGTGTTGAATTGGTGGTGGATTTTGGTGGATGAGTGGTAGAATTCGTGGCAGCAATGGGGCTATGGAGGGGTGGAGCTTGAGCAGAGGGAGGTGAAGGAGAGGTACAAGAGCAGAATAGTTGCAGGAGCGGAGGGTTGCGAGCGATGTCGGGCGGTGGTGAGGAGGAGAAGACGCTGGAGAAGACGCCCTCATGGGCCGTGGCTCTGGTGTGCACAGTGTTCGTTGTGGCGTCTCTTTTGGTGGAGCGAGGAATCCACAAGCTCGGCCGGGTAAGGACCATCCCTCGCTGTGACCGAAATCCTGTCACAGGCAAACCGCTCTCTCTCCCATTTTTTCTTCTTCTTTGTGGCCTGCCGAGTTTGTTTGTGTTCGAATCCACCTTGCACAGGAAGACCCTGATTTGAAGACCCCAAAGGAAGACCCTGTGTGGTGTTTGCAAGATTCTGGGTAACAAAAATAGCTACTCAGGGTCTTCTTTGGGTTTACTTGAAGTGCATTTTTCCTGACCTGTAAGAGGATATTGATCTTGCATTCTTCCACATTCAATGCTACGTCACAGGATTTCGAAAAAAGACCATGGATTTCATTCGGTTCAGCCATCAATATAGTCCTCTCCTGACGTATTGCACAAGTCAACCTACGGGTCAAAAGTGCGCAAAATCATATTGAGTCGGAAGTGTCTGAAAATTCTTCTTGCTTCATCTACTGGATGTGCATTATTCATTGTTGCAAGTTTTCATGTGCAGTACTTTAAGCGGTCCAATCAACGAGAATTGTATCACACGCTTGAGGTGATCAAGAACGGTAAGAAACAAACGAAGATAGCTGATGCAGCCTTCCCCATTACTGCAACCCCTTTTCTTCTCAGTACAGAATTCACTGAAAGACAGCATCACTTGCACTTCAAGGATTACTTCAACTGAGAATGCTAACGACAAATGTGGTGGTCTCCTTTTTGCAGAATTGATGGTGCTGGGATTCATCTCTCTGTTCCTTTCTGTGTTCCAGCAAAAGGTGGCCTCGCTGTGTATGGCAGAGAGGCTGAACCGCATCATGCTGCCTTGCAAGTATGTCCCACCTGCTGAGGCTAATGCCGAAGCTGAATCTCCAGCGGTCCATCGAAGGCTGTTTGCAGTCGAGGCCCAATCAAGTGGAACTTGTTCTGCGGTAATAGCCTCAACCTACACAAGTCCAAATTCAGAAAGCCTCCAGAAGTGCATTATTCTATGATATGGTCACGAATTTTTTCGAAAATGCGAATTATAATAATTATTATAATTATAGTTAAATTTATCATAATTATCATATTTTTAATTATAATTATTATTATCATTATTGTTATTATTTGGTGGAATGACAGATTTTTGACAGGGCCATGTGCAAGTTATCTCTGAGGAAGGTCTCCACCAGCTGCACATATTCATCTTCGTCATGGCTGTGGTTCATGTGTTGTACAGCTGCCTCACCGTGCTCGTTGGGTTGTGGCAAGTAAGGTCCTTCTGTGCACTACCACTTAAAATACTCGGAGTCTTCAGACTTTCATTTGTCAAAATTTTATTTAGGAAAAATTATTCTTGATGAAATTTGTGAGTTATCAGGTGCACAGCTGGAAGAAGTGGGAGGTTGGAGCTCGCAACGAGAGATTAAAAGCTGTGAACGAAGGTATGCCCACCCATTCAACATGAAAGGGAAAGTCCTTTCATTCGGTTGACATTGATTCAAGAGTAAGATCGCAGGAAATTGTTGATTTTGGCTCTGATTAGTTTTGCGTGGGTTTGATTGTGAACAGCATTGACTCCCAAGCACAGAAAACATGAGCATGGGGATGAATTTACCAAAGGTCGAATACGTTACAAATTCTTGTACACATCAAGAACTGGTCTAAATCTCGATAGCTACATCGTAAGTTTGGCTTCTGAAGTGCAGAATCGACAAGGATATCAGTCATTTGTAACCCATCATCGTTCAAGAAGTCAAATTCTGTTTTGTGCGAAGTTGACGATCGTGAATGTCCATGCAGTACAGCTTCTTTCGACAATTTGGAAAGCCTATCTATAAAGAGGACTACTTGTGCTTACGAATGGGCTTCATCGCTGTACGTGTGTTCATACTTTGAATGCTTATTTCAATGATGCTTGTGTGCTTCGCCCTGCGCACATGGATGCACATCTTTTTCTTTACTACATTTCATAAGGAAAACAGTCTTCTTTGTGATTCGCTGATTAAGTTCCAAGCTTCTTCATTCTTTGTCTCTTCCCAACTGTGACCTTGTGATATGTTTTTGGTATTAGACTCATGAACTCAATGCTGAATACGATTTCCATAGCTACATCCGGCGTACTATGGAGGAGGACTTCAAAACTGTTGTCGGCATTAGGTGCAATTTTACACTTCTCTCATCCAGTTTTACATCCCAGGCATTAGAAAGGTGTTGTTTACTCCTGAGTAATTGTACACTCCGAGATTAAAATTTCCTTAATATAAATGTGGTTCCCCTTATGTGAATCGTAGTGTGTATGAAGGGCAGATTGGCTAACTTTATGTGGATGTCGCAGTTCATACTTGTGGGCATTCGTTTGCCTATTTCTTCTTCTGGATGTTGATGGTTTGAACCGATAATCCTATCAACTTTATTTGATTTTTTTATTGATAAAATTCCACTGATAAAATTTATCTTAGCTTTCTGTAATGTGAAAGTGGAAATCTTCTACCTGTCTGCCAGCAACATTACGATGCATGTGATCACCATAATTTGGTTTTTGGATTGCAGGCTGGTACACCTACTTTTGGATAGCGTTCATTCCCACGTTTGTGAGTTTACAACTTAATTCAAGTTCTAAAAATGTCTATGATTTTCAGTGCCTTCTAAGGCAAATAAAAATCTCCCACACTAAATTTCCGCAACCTCAACATTATCAAGAGACTCTATTTGTCAACTAATGACTTCTCATCTATTTTTGCGAAGTGTCAAATTTAGCTATTATTTAGTTTTACTTCGGGCAGTGGTCTTTTGAGGAGTTGTTCTACTAATCAATATTCTAAAAAGAAAAACAATAAAGAGGTAGTAAGCTCAAACTAGTAGCTAACAATCTTCAAATGAAGTCACCTAATGATAAGTTTCATCATAGGGTGTATCACACCACCAAGTTATTATGTGATTGATTTCTTAATGGAAGTGATATGAACACATCATGTCCACAATGCGACCAACGGATGTCGATTAACTACTTGCCTCCAATTCACTTACCTTTTTTTTTTTTTTTTTTTTTGTTTGTTTTTTTGTTTGTTTGTTTGTGTTGTGATGATTCCAGTTAGTATTGATAGTAGGAACTAAGCTCCAGCAAATCATCATTAATTTGGCACTTGAAGTAAGGGGAGGTGTGGAGAAGATTGACATTTCAACTTCAGGAACTATTGACGGAAGTTTGAAGGCGGCAGAAAAGCCAAAGCAGGAAGTTGTGTGCCAGCCTATGCGCCCTCGAGACGACTTGTTTTGGTTCAGAAAGCCTCATTTCCTGATCCATCTTGTCCATTTCGTCCTCTTTCAGGTGTGAAGTGGTCTAAAACATATATCTATTCGATGGACACATTGACCAATTGCACGGAGGACTAGGGTTCAGTATTTTCTTGAGTACCTATTTCACTCATGATTTCAGCTCAGTAACGTGTTTATCACTTGGGGCTGGCAGAATGCCTTTGAGCTGGCCTTCTTCTTCTGGGCATTGGTGAGCAACATAAAAAAACCTTTGCTCTCCTTGCTAAAATTTCCTTGGTGAATTAAGCAATCTCCTGTACAACGAAATGACTTGCTCTTGAATCCTCATTAAAGCATAAAGCTAATGCTTGCTAGAAAATAACCCCTTTGTTCTTGGTGTCACCATGTACTGAGATTATTGGGTGTCACAGTTTGAGTATGGATTTACATCTTGCCTAGTGGGGAGAACGTGGATGATCATAGTCCGCCTGGTGATGGGGTACTCTCACAGCAATCCAAATTCTTGTCTCACAACTCTGTTTCATTACACGAAAATTCTTTTCAGCAGAGAATCAAAATGTTTCTAGAAACAGGAATCTTTCCCAGCAATACTCTGTAGCTGTTGAATAAGACAAGTTAACACCGATCCTGATTGTGCTCAACAAGAAAGACATGCATCATAATATTGGTTAATAATTGTTTCATTTGGGAGATCTTTGGGTACTAAGGAAGAATTGTGGGTTCTTTTGCTGACAGGGTATTTGTGCAAATACTGTGTAGCGCAAGCACTCTACCTCTGTATGCTCTTGTTAGCCAGGTGAGCCAATTTCTCTAGAACTCAAGTATCACACTATAGATCGGGCCTCATTCTGAAACAGATTCGCACACTGTTCTCATTATAATTTAATTATTACAGCTAATCACTTCATGCCATGGTGCCCTGCCAGATGGGATCCACCGTGAGGTTTACAGTATTTAACTCGGAAAGTGCACAATCAGCCATCCACAACTGGCGGGATAAAGCTCACAAGAAACAGAAGGACAAGTTTGGGCACAAGACCCTGTCACACCATTTGGCTGGCATCATGGGGTTGAATAAGAGAGTGGATGAGCACGGGCATGTCCATGACGTTGAACTTCATCACCCTGGGGCTCATCACGAAAAAGGACATCACGATAAACACTCTGCAAAGGACCATCCTCATCTGCACCCCCACCCCCACCCCCACCAAGGTAATCAAACTCTTCATTCCAGGACAGCTCTGTCAATCTGCTTCCTCATGCACACGACACACCTTGTTACACATCTTTTTACTAGAATGCAACCACCCTCTGACGATTTTAACACAAACTAGACTTTCCTCGTACAGTAAACTCTCACACAATATTTTCCTCACGGGGTGGTGGCTTCGCAGAATTTCTCAAAAAGAATTTGATATTAACTTCGGGTGTTATAGCTGTATCTGATAAGCATGCTCTCATAGTGCATAATATTTTACCAGAACAAATCTAAGAATGGTGACTGATTGTTTATCATTCTTTTGTGAGAAACTTGATTCAGATGGTACTCATGTAGTGGAGATTGATCAAGCACCACTCAAAGTCACAGAGAGTCACCCTGCCTCAAGAAACGGTGATCAAGGTCCTCCAGTTTCACCAAAGCCACAATCCAAGGACGCGATGTCGCTGGTCAATGTTCTCAAACTTGCTCGTGCAAAAGAGAAAGGCCAAGCTCCTGGAGGTTCTTAAAAAGGGTTGACATGCCCACAATTTGTGCAGCGTTCTTCGAAGTCTGCTCAAACTTTTCATACTTGGATTGAATGAATAGGAATACAATTGTTGATAAACTATGAATACCACAATTACCTGTGAAGTCCCCATTCTGGAGTTTTCTGGTGCGGAAAAAAGCCAGGGCTCATTCTCGTACCTAATATCACAGAGGGTTCAGGATGTGAACATGCTCAAGGTATGAGAGCAGTGTGAGAAATATATTTGATTTATTTTCATGAAGCATAGTGTGTAATATATTTTCAAAAGATCAGTGCTTGCATTACTTTCTTACCCTGAGGATGACCCAGCTTGGCTTTTAGATGCCGGAGCAAGCCACCTTGTAATTAATTTTTTTTTTGTAGCAATATAAGATAATGTTAGAAGTAATGAATTTCTTACATTAGATCCAATAAGAGGAGAATTTTGTTTGGTAATGGAATTAATGCAAACAAGAACAACGTGTTCCTTGTATGATATTGTTTTACTTGTGCAACTCCTAACTACCGTTCAATTAAAGCTTCTACTAGATTTTTAAAATAATATAAGAATTTTCAACTTTTATTTGAGAAAAAAAATGTAGATATTAGTTTTAACAATATTCTTAGAATTATAATATTGATTTTTAAGAAAAAAAATCAACCTCTATTTGGATCAATTCACAAACTATTGTAAAACAAATTATTTGTCTTTAAGTATTTTATCAATAAATTTTAATAATATATATTAACATTTATAATTCTTTAAAGATGTACCAATATTTTTTGTAAATAAATAATAGATCCTTGCTGTTGTGTGTAGATTGTTGTAAACTCAATATGATGATTATAAAAAAATCTAATTCTCAATCATATATATTTTTTCTTATCAATTAATTAAAATAAATAAATTTCTATATAAAATCCAATATTAAAAAAAACATAATGTAGAATTCTAAACAAGTAAAACTAGCTAAATGTGATCTTACAGGCATTTGTTTCTTAATATTATAGCTATTTTGTAGTATTTAATAAATGATGTATGTTGTACACATAAAAAAATTATATACTTAAAAAAGGATTAGCTATTCTAAAAATAATACAAAAAAATTGTCTTCTATTATATAAGGCTAGAGATATAAGAATGTATGCTAAATTAGAAAAAGATGAATTTTATTTGATTCAACTATAAATTATGAAAGACTTTGTCTAAATTCAAAATTTTAAAAATGAATTATAAGAAAGTATTGAAATTCATAAATTAGATCAATTTCTAAGATATATATATATATATATATATATATATATGATTACTTCAGAAAAAAATAAAAAATAAAAAAAAATACAAGAAAAAGGAAACAAAAATGCATTGCAAGGGAATAAGAATAACTAAGTGTGAGGATTTTGAGGTTGGAATTGCCATTTCTATGGAAAAAAGGGGGTGGTGGAGGGAAAAAGAGAGGAACTTTTCAAACATTTTATTTATTTATTCGAATACAACATAAGTTCTATGGATGGAATAAAACCGTTGGAAACATTCTACAAATCAAAAATCATGAATTTGATAGTGAATGACAGTATGGAGCATAAAATTTGGTGTCTGCAATAATATATGTTTTTATATGTGTTTATGTTCGTCATTATGGTTGAAACATAAAAGTTATCAGTATAAGAAAATGTGATATATATTTTTCTTACAAAAGATGATTGATGCTTGTTATGAAAGTGACGGTATATTTAATTGTGAGATTTTTTTTTCAATTAAATATAAAAGTTGTGAATTTTAGATAATTATTTTTTAAGTTGTGTACTTAGTTTGATAGAAATTTATAAACTATTATAATAAAAATGCTTTATAATAACGTGCAATATATATATATATATATATATATATAGATATTTATATTAGTTTGGTTTAATCTTATTATCAATGATGATTTGGTATTACGACTTGCATTGACATACAATGAATAAACTAACGAAATTCAACGTAGAGAGGATCTGTTTTGAGAAACTTGAGGCTAATGTTACTCGGGCTCATGCATTTTCATCCACATTATGGAAGATATGTACTTATTTATATAAGCATACTAACAAAAAAAAGTCAATATCCACCATGTTGATTCAATTCTCTGTAGATAGGAATGTAGCTTAAAGCATCATAAAAAATTTATAAACAGTGTTTTTTCTGTATAATGGTCCTTTCATTCATTAGATCTAGGCTAAGTAAACTTGAAGCCATCTGAAGCAAATTTCATGCTCAGAAGTTGGTTTAAACTAAGACTTGGAGGACAAGTGTGTCTTGAAAAATGTGGTATTCTTTGATACAATTGTAATTGATTGGGATTTCAATTCATTATTCCTTTTGATGCAAAATTTGGACAACAAAAAAAAGATAAAATTACTGCATCAATCAATCAATCTATCAATCCAGTTGCTGATATCATTCAATCAACAGAAGCAATTCAAGTGTTGTCATTAAATATTTACTTTTTTTGTACAACCCAAGGCAAATACAATAGCTAAAATAACAGAGCAGAAAAAAGTAACATGGATGATGATAAACACAAAACCTTGACCAAGTCAACCCAAACGCAATAATTATTAAAAAAAAGAAAAACAAAAACAAAAACAAAAACAACAACTAAGAATTATTATAAACCGTCAAAGAATGGCAAGTGGCATTAAAATCAGGGTAGCGAATTTGTACCAGAGATGTTGGCGGTTCAAACCCCAACTGTGAGAAAGTTCCCTCCTCACCTGAAGGCAACTGACATATAGACACCCTCACTGCTGCGAAAACTTAAACAACCACAAGAAAGCAGGAACTGATGCTTTTTAATATTAAATATGAGAGTGGGTGTTTTTCAGAAACATGGATTAAGCCTATCAACGTGGAAGGCGAGACTGTGAGAAGTTGTCGGGGGGGGGGGGGGGCTCTTGACTCGCGTCGCAGGTCCACCCGCGACCTAAACTCTCGAGCCGCAACGCGACGCGTCGTCACGTAACGACAGTAAGTGAGTGTCGCGTGGATGCGCGCCCAGTAGGATCCGCAACGACCGCGGTGCGGCTCCGATTGAGTGCTTCGTTGACTGTTGCAAGCAACCCCACCTCCTCCGAGTGTATAGCGCGGGAGCTAAATGTAAGCCAAACTACTCAGCACCCCACAAACCCAAAAGCAGGAGGGCGACTACGACCCATCCTCACCTGGCTCCTGTCTGGCTTAGTACCGCGCGCGCGGGGCCCAGCGCCTCTCGCATCCTCTCTTTCACTCTATGCTCTGTGCAACATGACGGATTGCCTCCATCTGGTTCCGTGGGCGAAATTCGTCGACGCTGCTAGGGGTGGAATACAAAGTCAAGAGCTGGGTTAGATAACGCCAGGAATCGTGGCATCTCCCCCCGTAGATTGCCACTTCGGAATCCTGGATATCGGAGAATTATTACACAGTTTAGAACGCGGATCGAAACGATCAAAAGACGTGGGGATGGTTCCAGGTTGCGGGTGCGACGAGCTCCAAGGGGAAGGGTGGTGCTGTGTGGCGCTGGGACTGGCAAGGGTATTTTGTTTCCGGGGTGCTAGCTCTGATCACTTGTGGGGAGCGCCGAGAGTTAATCTCCAGGCTGGTGAGAGGTTGGGCGCGTAGCGTAGCAGTCGAAGTGTCAAACCCCGCCATCCATGTCGGTGTGGGGTTGCTGCTGCTGCACCGTCGTCGACTGCGCAGGTCAGCTCTCGAGCCTTGAGATCTAGGAACTATCAGCAGAAGTAGCAAGCATCGTGAATAGCAGTGAAGTCGCGGTTGCCGTCTTCGTCTTCGTCTTCGTGGTTACGCGACTGGGCTAGGCCGAGTTCAGTAAGTTCTGGGGTGCTTGCCTGGTGCGCTGACTGGTGTGGATCCTCGCGGGAATGAGAGGTTGAGTGTTGCGGAGTGGTGGAAAAGAGCAGGTAATAAATGCGAATCCTCCGTTAACGCGAGTAATGCATTGTAGGGAGGCCGGAGTTTGACCTTCAAAAGAGGATTCAATTTCATGAAGGACACGGTTCGTAATGTAGTGAATGTTACGGGCAGATCGAAGTTCTCTGTGTTATTTTCGATGATGTTTACGATTCTCTTCGATTTGTGTGTACGAGAGGCAAAGAATTACGCTGCAGTGAGTAGTAGCGTGCGCATTAGACTTCCGAAAGCGTGATTGGAGGTCATTCGTACAATTTCTACGTCCGATGCGCGATCGTCTCCATTCTTGAACTTGCTTCGTTGCGCAGAAAAGGCTGAAATTCTGTGATGGCTTATCGGTGTGCACATTGGTTGGAATGGAGTCGTTCGCAGGAGAAGTGGGTTCGTCATTGACCTCGTCTGTGCAGCAGTGCGTGCACGCAATCTCTTATCTGTTAGTATCGATGAATTCATCTCTAGGGTGCTCAGGAAAGGGCGAGATCGACGAATCAAAAAATAATTCCTCCTTTTGGTATTTCGAAAATATCGCCGAATTCTTGTCGGCTTTAGCATTAATGTCGTTTGTCCTGAAAACGGTAGTTAAGCTGTCGGCTTGCGATACAATATCACTGAATCGCTGTCTTAAGTGACGAGGAAGCCTGTGCCTTAGAACCCCGCCGTAGATTCTCCTCGTCCCAGGGTTTTAATTTGGGAGCGGTTGAATTCTCCGAAGGCCAGGGTGTATAAACCCTAGGACAGCGGCCCCCCCCGTCCCGAGTTTCCTGCTTCACGGCCAATCAGAAGGGTTCTGATCTGTTTGGGGTGCAGTCAAGGGGGGAATTAGACTGGTTTGGAGCAATGCAAGAAGTCGTAGGGTGAGAAGTAGATCAGCAGAATGTGTGAGTGGAATGCAGAATTACAGTTGACGAGCGTTGATTATGTGGTAGCTGCTAGCAAGTGCACAACTTTTGAAATTTTGAGTGGTGGTTGGAAGGGAGGGTATGTTCGGGGTGGGAATGCACTTGATCAGTGTGCGGTTTCGTGGCATGCATCAAGTGCATGGGAATTTCTTGGGGGAGGGGGGTTGTGTGTGTTAGGTGTGAGGGGTTTTGAAAATCAGCACAATTCTAGAAGACATGAGCATGATATGTTCATATACAAGTGTTTCATCCAAGTGTTGATGTCTTAGGTGTTGGAGTTATAGTCATCTATTTCTTGCCACAGTTAGGGATAACTTAAGTTTTACATGATCTATGATGTAAGGATACTGTTTTAAAAAAAAATTGTGATGAAAAGTAGTGTGTTATATTGGTATTCTATAGGTTTTTTTAATGAGATAAATATTTAATTATGGTAAATAGTATATTATAGTGGAATTTTTTTTGCTAATATATTATGTTTTGTGCTTGTAATGGATATTGGGTTTGTTATTGTAATTTATCTCATTTACTTATCAAGCTTTGTAGTATCATGGTTGATTTTCTAAACTGTGGGATGATACAAGATCTTATTCAAAAGACAAGTTTTTATAATTCTTTTTGTATTAATTTATCAATGTTTTAAATTTTTAATTAACATTATTGTATATCTAATGTGTTAATTTTATACTTATTATGATATTTAATTGTTTTGCAACTAACATTGTGATAGATTTGATAAAATTCATAGAAAGAATAATATTATTGTAAATCTTGTTTGTGGAGAAAAATAAGTTTGTTGGATTATTATTGTGTAGATTAACATAGATAGGAGTTTCAATTTGATTTTGATTTATATAACATTATGTTGTAATAATTTTTGGCTAATGTTATTCTTTTGTGTTTGTATTAGGTATTAGCTTTGTAAATATGATCTCAAAGATCATGGATCCATGTTGGTTATTTGACTATGTAAATATATGATTGATTTTTGTACTTTGGAATTGTTATATAATATAGAAGATAAATAGCATGATAAGAAGTTTGACGAGAATGTAGTAGAACAAGATTATGAAGACTATTTAGTAAGTACTTTGAAAAATTCAATTGTTGTAAATTATGATTGAAGTCCTAACTCATTGTAAATAACTTATAACATTGCAAATTAGATTTTGGTTGTATTTATTAGAATTTGTAGTAATAAAAAATAAAGACATAAAGTAAAGCTAATATATTGTGTTGGTTGTATATTTGTAGGAAAGCATCTAAATAATTGTGTCTACCAATATATTACAATATGAAAAGTCTTTTGGAATTACTTACCAAATATTTGTTCATGATTTGGAGGTTTTTGGAGGATTTTTAAAAGTAAGTATTTTTAAGATTTTTGAACTAATATGATAGTCATATTCAAGAAATTAACACTTCTACAAAGACGGAAGAGAATACCAGAGATATTTAGAGATACTGTGAAATTTATGTTGGAGAGATAAATGATATGTTAAAAAAAAGATATATTGAATAAAAATCAATGTATAAATATTAATAAGAAACTTCATATTCTTATAGATGTATATCAATATTTAATAATTCATAGCAACAATGGTTTGGAGTACAGACTTATATTTTGAGTTATTTCTTATTGTGAAGAAAATTGGCTTATTGGTAAAAAAAATTGTAGAGAAAGTAATTGGTCCTAAATAGTTATCTTCCAAATAAAGAATAAAGAAACTTTTTGGATATTTCTTGAGGATTTGAAGTATTGCTATGATGTAGCAAGTAATAAACTTTTGAAGCAAAATTTAAAGAAATTTGAAGGCTCTTCATTTACTATCTTTAATATTGCTACCTTTGATAAAATAGAAAGTGATGATAAAAGCTTATAAAGCAAGTTAAATTATGCAATTAGAGATAATAACTTTGAACACTTTGGATTAAAAAATTATTTATTGAAAAGATTAAAGGATTTGTATTGTATAGAAGGTGGAGAATCTAATGTAATGGAATTTTTAATGGATATGAAAGTATCATGGACATACAACTGAAGAAGGTCTGAGAAGGTTCTAGGAGGTTCTAGAAGGTTCTTGTAGATCCTAGAAGGTTCTAGAAGATTCTAGAAGGTTCCAATAAATTCTAAGAAGGTTCCAAAAGATTCTAATAGATTCTAAGAAAGTTCTAGAACATCATAGGAGACTTTAGATGATTCAGGAAGTTACTTAAGAAAGAACTTAGGCTTGCTTTCTTCCCAAGCTTCATGGAAACTTCTCAAAAAGCTTCTTAGGACCTAGTATATGTAGGAATCAAGACTAAGGGGATTCTCAGTCTTGACAACTCACTTCTTATGGTCTAGCCAAGTGTCAAGGACAAAGACTCGATGAGGAAAAATATACACCAAAAGGCTATCTCGATATAATAAGTCAAAATATAAACAAGTAGGTATATTAAAAGGAAACTGGAATGGCTATTGCCACAAGACAAGAAACTAAAGACTCTTGAACCTGGACTAGAAGCAAGAAAGGAGTTGACAAGAGTGAAGAAGCCTTCACTCTTGTCTCTATATATACTATCTAACTAGGAGCTACGTGGCGACGTTCTATAGGACCTCCAATATGTGTTGACTTTGTAGGACACATGCCTTGACTTACAAGGCAAGTTTTTCTACGTGTGGGCCACATAGTTAGCTTGATCTTCAAGCTAACAACATGTGTGGCACATGGCCAACTTGTTGACCACGTTTCTAATCCAAAAAGTCAATTAAAGACACCTATGAAGTCAAAGCAGCGTCTAAGAAGTTTCTAGGAAGCTTCTATATTAAATATTATACAATTAACTTACTTTTATCTACTTTTACTTACTTCTACTTATTTCTATATGTAATTATTAGCTTACATGATTATGGCCGTGACATTACCCCCCCTTCTAGAGACGAGTTCCATGAGGAGCGGTCATCATATGTTGAGGAAATCTATGATGCGACGAATTGTATTCGCCACATACTCTGATCTCTGTTCTCTTCGAAGATGATTGATAGGGCCTCTCAACCATCGGTAGTGTCCCATACCAGGGCGGAAAGACCACCCAGTTATTTGATCATTATTGAGGCCTTCATAACTTCCTTCGAATAGAATATTCGGAATACCATCAGGAGTTGTTCCTACCTCTAGCAAAATCACCAAACATCGGGAGTCCCTTCCCAAATCGTGATACCAAACGCGTTGTATCTCACCATCTGTTCGAGGAAGAACATGTCGTTCTTGAAGATCTTCATCTCGATTGCGTCATCTTGAAGGTTGTGACAATTGTAATGTCTCGTCCAGCAGGTGAGCAAACGAAGGTTCTTGAGTTGAATCTGCTGGTTGTTGGCTCTCCATCTAATTAGCGTCACAAATGCAAAGAAGTTACAAACAAGGATAGGAAATTGAATGTTATCTTGCCTCAATCTTGTCTCTTTTATAAGAGAGATTTTCATCTTGGTTTTGATGGATGTCGTTGATGAAAAACTTTGACTTTAGTTGATGCATTTGCTAGATTCCTGGATGGCTCCCATGTGCGTTCACTAATATCATATCCGCGCCAATGAACAAGATATTCCAGCTTATTTCGGCGCCGCCTTGAGTCTAATATCTCTTCCACCTCAAATTCTTCATTATTATCTACTTCTATAGGAGGCGATGGCATTTGTCTTCTTCCTTGTATATCCACTGTCTTATATGGTTCAAGAAGAGATACGTGGAATACAGGATGGATCTTCATTGACTCTGGTAGATGTAACCGATATGCGACTGGGTTGATCTGTTCAGAAACAGAAAAGGGGCCAAGCCTACAATAGTCCAACTTATCACAAGGTCGAGTAGTCTTGATATTGCGACGAAGTAGCCATACCTTATCACCGACGTTGATCTGTGGTTGCTCCTTACGATATAGATCTGCGTTTATTTTTTGTCGTTCTTGAGTTTCCTTCAATTGTGTCTTCATTATTGCATGTAACTCTGACAACCGATTTGCCATATCTTCTGCTGCAGGATTATCAACTTTTGAAAAATCAAAAGTATCAAGTCGTGGATGATAGCCATAATTGGCAAAGAAAGGTGTTTGTTGCGTGGAAGAATGTACCGTATTATTATAAGCAAACTCTACCAATGGCAGAAGGGTTGTCCAATCATCTTGTTGGTAGTTCATAGTACACCTTAAATATTGCTCCAAGACTTGGTTTATGCGCTCTATTTGTCCATCAGTTTGAGGATGGAAAGCCGAAGATAGCTTTATGTCCACTTTTAAAATCTTGAAAAGGGTCCTCCAAAATCTTGACACAAATTGAGTTCCCCTATCCGATATGATATCTTTAGGTAATCCATGATAGCGATAGATATTATCAATGAAAAGCTTAGCTGTTTCTTCACCTGTGATAGATTTTGTACATGGCACAAAATGTGCCATCTTGGTGAAACGATCTACTATCACAAATATAGAATCATAAGATCTTGAGCTTGGAAGATCTGTGATGAAATCCATAGAAACAGAAGACCATGGTTGTTCTGGTATAGGTAATGGCTGAAGAAGTCCGTAAGGTCGATGACGAGGAATTTTTGATCTTAAACAAATATCACATGATTGTACAAAGTCTTTGACTGACTTCCACATTTGTGGCCACCAAAAATCTCTTGATATGAGTTCCAAAGTCTTATTATATCCAAAGTGCCCTGCTGCTGGAAAGTCATGACGTGCTTGAAGAACACGTAAACGTGCTTCTCCTTTTGGAACATATAGGCGTCCTTCAAAATATAATAGATTATTCTTGAACTCAAACTTAGAAGGATCATGAGACTTGGAAGAATTATTCTCGATATCATAAACAAGAGGGTCTGAGGACATACTGGACTGGATTTGCTTGAGAAAAGTTGAATCAACAGTCAATGTTGATTTCATTGCTCGGAGATGAAATTGTTCGGGTTTCAAGAGGACCGTTCTTTGTTGCTCAAAAGCTGCATCTCCTTCTTTTGGTGCAAAATAAGAACGTCTAGATAGGGCATCGGATAAACCTTGTTGTTTTCCTGGCCGATAAGTGATAATGAACTCGAATCTTGACAAAGACATACTCCAACGAGCTTGACAACGATTCAACACGCATGCTGACATGAAATACTCGAGGTTCTTGTGATCTGTATACACAGTGACTGGACTAGAAGCGCCTTCTAGATAATGACGCCATTCTTGAAAGGAATCCACGATCGCAAGAAGTTCTTTATCGTGGATCTCATAATTGATCTCGGCTGCTGAGAATTTTCTTGAATGAAAAGCTATCGGATGGAGTTTGTCATCTGTTCCCATTTGTGATAAAACTGCACCCAAGGCAAAATTTGATGCATCTGTTTCCATAAAAAATGCCTTGGAAAAGTCAACACGATATAAGACTGGTGCAGAGACAAATGATGTCTTCAAGGCTTCAAATGCTGCTTCCGCTTCTTGATTCCATTGAAATTTATCTTTACTAGTCAAGCGTGTAAGTGGAGCTGCAACTCGTGAGAAATCTTTGATGAAGATCCGATAGTAATTGGCAAATCCCAAGAAACATTGAACATCTCTTACTGTCCTTGGAATCTTCCAATCCACGATTGTTTGGACTTTCTTAGAATCCATCATGAGACCATCATTTGAAATGATGTATCCTAAAAAGTCAACTTGAGTAGTGTGAAATACACACTTTTCCATCTTGGCGTACAATCCTGCATCTCTAAGTTTTTGTAATACTTGACGAACATGTATTTCATGTTCTTCGACGTTCTTGGAATAGATCAGGATATCGTCTAGATAGCAGACGACAAAATTGTCTAAGAATTCACGAAATACATCATTCATGAGATGTTGAAAAGCAGCTGGTGCATTCATGAGTCCAAAGGGCATGACATTATATTCGAAATGTCCATACCTGGTTCGAAACGCAGTCTTCCATTCATCTCCTTCTTTGATCCGTACTAGATTATATGCTCCTCTTAGATCTATTTTTGTATAGATCTTAGCTTGATTCAACTGGTCAAGGAGTCCTGATATCAAAGGTAATGGATACCTGTTCTTGATTGTGATCTTGTTGAGTCCTCGATAATCAACACACATTCGTAAAGATCCATCTTTTTTCTTTACGAATAGAATTGGAGCTCCTGCTGGAGATTTTGAATGGCGTATGAAATTCTTCGCTAAATTCTCGTCAATATATGTCTTGAGTTCAGCCATCT